GATCAGGACGTAGAACAATCGATACGGGGGATAAAGATGGGATCGTGGAGGAGTTAAGGAAAGAAAAGGAGCCGGAATTAATTTGATGGTCGGGCATGGGCGATGAGAGGCCCATGCGCGTTACGCCAGTTTCGTTTGTGCTACGGTAACCCAAAGAACTTTCACTTCGCAACGGAATAATTCTGTCTCGCCTCGTTCGCCGCTCTCTCGCGTTACTTCGTAGTGGGCGTAAGTTTTAGTCCCGAATCCACTCTCGTTGAGTTTTATACTTTGTTGATTCACGCCGGATGTTGCCACAGGCGAGCCACGATGGACGTTGGGGATCGTGCTCGGAATAGGAACTTCCTAACGCGCCGCGAATCGCGAGACAAACGGCTCGCACGAGCATCCTGGAGATTTCCTCCTTCTTTTAATAGAAAACCACGTTCAGTTTGCAAAACGTAATTACGCGAGCCGTTCACGTACAAATATGGCGGCCCCAGATGCCTTATCCAAGACATTTTTTAACGTCGGTCTTAGAGAAACTTGAAACAACCGAAAGGGATTGCGAACCGTGTTTGCGTTTTCTAAAATTTGTAAAGATCCTCTCAAATATTGGATTTTCGTCGTTAAGTTTGGCTAGTCAATTAGCTCGATTGGAAAATATAATGACTAGGACGTTCCTTTTCTAATGCTCGATTTAATGGTCCGTTTTAATGGCCGGTAAATCGAATAGGATGCACGTACCATTGAGAGGAAGCTTTAATGCTTGGGATGCGAACCAGTAGATGCAAGACGTCCGCCTAAACCCCAGGATGTTGACCTATGCTTCCTCTGTGTTTGACGATCGTTATGAAATTACGTTAATTAGCACAAAGCGGCCGGTGCCACGGGAATGGAAGCAATTCGCGCGGAGATACCGCAAATTACACAAATTACACCAGCGATTATGACAAATCTTAGCAGATGTCAGGGTCATTGCTTCGGAACTATGATTACACGGCTATTAAACACGGCGGGAATGCAACGAAATTTAAGCGCGATAGGTTTACTCTCCTTTCTTATATCGTTAATTTATCCAATGTTCAAAAATTTATCAGACTTCGTAGACGAAAGGTTTCTTTTAAAGTATTTTTCATCGCATACGAGATCTCAGTATTCTTGTAAAATCGAAGATTTATCGGCGTGACACTTATTTTTACTGCGTAAATTCCGATTTTAATTGCGATCACGAAATTTTGTCTTTAATATATGCAAGATCGCTGCATTTCTCCTTCGTTCACGCTACTCGAGCGTGTTCCTTTCGGCAACGGATACCTACATGCGTGTTTAAATAGAGAAAGCTCCAGCGACGCGCAATTTTTACCGTTAAAATAGCACAACGATTAATAAATATTCATACGCGGCGTGCACGTGTGCATGCATCTTCGCGTCACGCAGTTTCGTCGGCGAGAGGACGACCAACGTAATAATTAGGGCTCTATTTCAAGCTCGACGTCTCTCATTAAACGTCTAACTGTATCCTCTCTTCAATCGTTCAAATTTACGGCCTCCCGGGAAAGATCGGTTTGCCGTCAAACTACCTGTTTCGAAAACTTTGCCCCCGACCATGGAAATTACTTAATCGTTAGCGTTAAACGTTCGAACAATTACAAAAACTAGGAACGAAAATTCCTTTGCATAAAAGAAATCACTTGGAGAGGCAAGAGCGTTTTCTAGCGTGAGCTACTTTCGATCCTTCTTTAATCTACGATGCGTGGGATGTTCTTCTCCTTTCAAAAAACGAATACAATGTTGAACAAAAGTATTAATTAAAATATTACGTTCTGTCCAGCACTGTAGAAACCGTCAAAACAAGATGTAGCAAATTATAATATAAAAACTTTCACGGCGCCGATCGAGCAACACGAGCTTCCATAAACGGAGAAAGCGTGGGTGAGAAGAAATCCGTGGATCTAGAGGCTCTATCCTACCATTTGTATCGTTATCCTTGATAAAGGCGAGCGTCTATCGCATGATAATTAAATGGCTCGGTTAAGTCATCGGTAAATGTCAGCTGACACGTTCGAAGGATGACGAAATAGCGATTCGTTCATCGCTGGATAAATATGGAGGGAAATCTGGTCAGGAAGTCAACGACGGATTTTCGGGTGCTGGGCGCAAGGTTCCCTCGAGGTCCTCGACGTTTTTAGTACGGCGAAAGGGAATGCGTTACAGTTTAAAAAACGAGAGAAAGGCCGATCGAGAGAATCGAACGGAGAAGTAGGCCATGGAAAATGACTTTGGCGAATTTTGCATTAACCCGGTTCTATCCTCTCGATGTTGCAGTTTCGCAACAACGGCGCGTGGGAGTTTCGCGTTATTGAGGCATGTGCACGAGCACGCGTTGCGATGTGGCGTGCGTACGACGCCGACTAATTGATAGGTTTTGTCATCGTTTCCTTCTGTCTGCCTACCGGATGATATCATTGACACGGTAACACATTTCTCGGCGATACCCTAACCGAACGACGCGGCGAAGTTGCGAGCACCACCGAGCGTAATTCCGAGGCACCCGATTTGCATAAAACGAACGCGTGTCGAATGGCCGGTGCATAGGGGGTGACATTGAACATGGTACAAACTGGTATCTCCGCGACTGTTGGACACGTTGAATAGCCTCTTTTATCCTAAGTGTGTTAGGGTAGTAGTCCCGATTCCTCGGACATGCTCCAGCGATCGAACGCCTTGCGATGGATTTCTTATTCCGCGTAAATGTAGCATCGATAGAGCGACTCTTTGACTTTAAAATACGATTGTACGTAAACTTGTTAGATATTTGGAGGAACGAAAAATTGCGATGCTTGTATTCCATTATTGGTACGTTCAATCAGTGTGTTGGTATTTGCCATAGCGCGTTCGCACGGAATTGCGGAAACGCCGGGCGTTATCGATGCATCTAAAATTGGTCGGCGGGGCTGGGGTGGCCAATTTCCGTGACGAAAATTCAGTTCCCAAGGACGAACGGGTCTAGCTGGATCGCCAGCTGTCTAGCTGATACTCACTGAGGTGTTAAGGGTACGAGGAGGTACTGGTGGACGATGCAAGCTGTCGAGGAGGGGACAGGAGGGCCACAGGTGCATCGCACTCACACGCCCTCCTTTATTACGTTCCTCCGCGTCTCGTGTCCTTCTCTTTCCCGGTCCTCTTGCTTGCTCCTCGTACTTCTGCTCGTTAGTGACGGGGCTCGACGCGCCTCCAGTATCACTTGAAACACTGACCGAAATTAAATCGAATATCCGTGCGATTCTCTTTTTACACGATACAGAAAAAGCGACCTGGCTCTATTTCTTCTTACGAATTTTTTGCATGTGTGTCTTGTAGAATATTCATTGTATATAAATTCAATTTGTAATAATATTTGTTACGCATAGAATCCCCTTCTGACAGGAATAAACTAGGGAACGCATAGACAAGAATAGTTAATAAGGATGATTCCTCGGTCCACCGCAGAGGTACATAGCATCTTCTTTGCGACACGATCGTTCCCTCTCGAAAAAAGACTTCCCGAGTCTATAACAAATCTTTATCAAGATCGAGGCTAAATCGCTTGTGAGCTAGGAAAGCAGAGTCTCGAATGCTCATCGCTATTCGTGGACATGCTCGTTCCTTCTTTCCCGTCATTCCGCCTCTATTCGCTAGTTTCTTCGTCCTCGTCTCCACGGACTCGTTGCTCTTCTCCCACCAGGTCTCGGTCACTCTTCAGCGTTTTCCTCGACGATCATCCTTGTTTTTCCTACCTCCGTATATTCTCCTCGGTCTTTTTTCCCCTCCCCTCGTCGTTTTTCCCGTCCTTCTACGTTCCATTTGCTCGTTCTCCTAATTGTCCTTTTCTTTTTCTCTTCGACGTTCCTTCGAGCTTTCCGCCGCCAATCTTCCACGTTCTCGAACGAACTCGAACGTTCCTCTTGCTTGTTCCTTCTCGTTGGATCCTTCCTACCAGATGCACGGTTGTTAACATTTCGATCGCCCCGGCTCCTGACTTATCCCGCGACGTGCCGGTGCGTCCGTTCGAACGTTCGCCATAAGACGTCTTCCGCGAATCGCGTGCACCGGTGCCCCATGAAAATCGCGCTTCCGGTGCTTCGTGAAATCTCGACGAAGCTTCGCGAACGAATCTTCCTTGTTCGCGAAGATCTCCAAGATCCTAGGCTTTAAATCGACCGTGTCAAATTATTTTGGTCTTAAAATATTTATCCACAAATGGATGTTCAGAGGGTGATTCTACGGGGTCAAAGCAGAGAGCATAATGTTGTGAGTGTGTGGAAAATAATTTGTACGTCCCACTCTGGACTTCTTTACCCGATCTCGTAACACAAAATTGTCCAATTTTCAATTACGAGAGAAAACACATAATCTCTCGTTTTCTCCACCGTGGTCACTCACAGTTTCGCATTACGCAATTCGTTTCTCGCTGGGAAGCGAGTTCTAGAATTTCAAAACACCGCGTAACCAGGAAATTGGGGGTTTAGGGCCCAGGGCTAAGGTAAGCCGATATAGTTCGGGGCCCCGTCTGCGAGGGGGTCGTGTGGATGCCAGCATGTTGTCGGCATGTCAGTCGAACAGGTGTACGTGCATCAGTTCCCTCGTTTCGCGGGGCAAAAAAGGTAGTTTCTTACAGTTTTAACTCCGCCACTGGATTTTTCATTGATTCACCGCAGGGAAACCGTCGTTTTCTCTGATGGTCCGTGTCTTATGCTCCGCGGAACTCGTTTTCTTGGGACGTCGGTCGCGCACGAGCGATTCCAAAAATCTTATTACGCCGGGCGACCATTTGCTCCCGCTTGAAGGGCATTCGGTCGAGCGAGACCGAGATTGGACGATGATATAATTGAGCGAACGTAATTCAGGGAATCGTACGAAAAACCCGTGTCTCGATCGTCGCTGAGAGCGTCGTAACGATAATCGAATTCCAGCGTGCGCTTTTTGTCGCGTGGGAATCGACTTATTTTTATTGATCGTTCGTTTTCTGTTTGTTCCAGCCAAGATGAAACGTCTTTGGCCGTTGGTGGTGTGGATACTTCTATCTCTGTGTCCAGTAAGTATTCGTCGAGGGCAATTTACATATATCTATTAACAGTGGCATTGGATGCGGTTGTTTCATCGATATTGCAAAAATTTTCTTATTCGTAAGAAAAGTGAACGTTAAGAAATTACTAGAGGTTCGAAGACTGAGCGATTGAAACGAATGTCCGTAGGCCGAATCACTCAGAGGACTCGGCCGTGGATCGAGACGAGAAGTATTCTTCCTGAACCTCGAAGATGGATACTTTGGCTGTCAGGTGAACGAGTCGACGGACGTTCTACAGCTCCTAGAGCTGTCCAAGCTCTGCGACGGCAACGTCGACTGTTTTCAAGGCACGGACGAGCAACGCGACAAATTGAAGTGCACAGGTGAGCCTCGGAAGCGATTCGGTGTATGAGAGAGTCTCGTACGGAACAGTGCGTCTCGTCGTATGACCGCCGTGGACGGGAAAACGAGTATCGTTGTCTCCCGACTCGGTTCCGGTACCGAGTTTACATCTTTAATTCTTCTATCGTTTCCTTGTTTCGTTACGATTAATCGCAGACATTGATTTTTATTCGTTTCCGTTCGGGAATAATTAGAATTCGAGCAAGCTACGAAGGTTGGAACGGATGTAAAATGGGCGAATAAGCGGATGCACGAGAGAGGGGAAGGAAAGATGGGTTAGAGGCGACACGAACCGTGGGAGTCGTGTCTGTAAGAAGGGTTTAATGCAGAGCAAACGCACGATAGAGAAAAATCGCGTTTATTAAACTCAGCGCGTGAAAATTGCAACGGTTTCCCATCGTTGCTCCCGTGTAATCGATCGTAGTTCGACCGACGAGTACGTTGCACAATCGCTGGGAAACGAATTACTCATCGTAATCGACAGCTTTACGTGTACTTGCCTCGATCTATGCACCGTCTTCCCGCGATGATTCAGCGATTTATCGTCGATCGATGGAGATGCGGCGCGACGTGCTACGAATTGATTTTTCCTCTGTTTTCGGCTAACTGTAGATGACTGCACGAAGGAGGACGGGACCAGGTGTCTGAATGGCGTTTGCTTGGATTCCGTTTGTCATTGCAACGACGGTTTCGGTGGATGCAACTGTCAAGTGCCAGGTTGGTATCTTTTTTGCTCGCAATATGTGTACAACGGGTACAAAATGTACACAGGATACGAAAGAAAAGGGCTCTCGAGACTTCCGGGGTGTATAGTAGTCGCTAGGAGGTCGAAAAATAATCGTATGCAGCGAGTACACGAATGATTATCTCAGCTTGCACAAGGCGTTCCACGCATTTCCACACGTGTCTCGTATCTTCGTACAGCATCGGTGAATCTTGGCCTTGTTCGAATCACTCGGGAGTCATATTTTCACCTCCAAAGCACGAAAGCATGAAATCTTACAATATTAAAAAATTATAATACAATGAGAACGCTTAATTGCAATGTTAATCGCGGTCGCCGTCTTTCTATTTCAGAATCCGACAAGGTTAATTGTTCGATCTATATCAGACGGCCATTTTTCTCTCGTCAGAGATGGAAACAATTCTTATTACAATTCTTTTTACTTTTAATCGTTCTAATAAAATTTGCCCCGTCTCTGCTAAACGCCCTCCAAGGCTTGAGTCCTTTTTTTTACAACAGTGGCGTGCTTGAGAGTCGTGAATTAAACGGGGCGTGAAGAGGAGCGCGTGTAAATAAACAGAAGGCGCATAAAACGAACGATTAAAGGGGACGGGATGTCTCTTCACCTTTTTCTCGCGTTAACCGGGATCGGTTAACCGGGTTCGGTAGCCGAATCAAGGGGTTTCGAATTTCACACCGCTCGTGTGTGCGTCCCGAAGGTAGTTCGCTGTATCGTTTCCACCACCGACCACACCTGTTCGCAGTGATTCCTCGCTGGCTACCGTTTGAATATTTTAGACGCGAGTACCGTTAGGTTTCACGACTGCCAAGCTGTCCCGTAGCGACAATAATATCTAATGCGAACGCGTTTTGCAGACGAGAACGAGTGCAAGTACCGACCCTGTGATATATTCGCGCATTGCACGAATACCCTCGGTAGCTTTCAATGTTCCTGTTTCCCCGGCTACCGAGGCGACGGTTACTATTGCGAAGGTACGTATGCAATCGCGATTAGCGATGAGATCAAGCTCAAAAAGCGGTCATTCCTCTGTTAACACATCTTTAAACGTACAATTATCACTAAACTATATTATTAATTCGACCATGTGAAGTGTGGCCCTCTTCAAAATGAGTAAACAAAGCGTAATGATTTGCACATTGTTGAGAGGGCGAAAGAAAAAGAGGTCTGTCGGGGACTGAATCTACTTGTAAAGGCTTCGTTTCATCGCTGGGCGCGATTTTTTTCGCGAGGTTCATTCGTCGAGCTCTTTATTGCGAGTGTGCCTCATTTCCGGTTCGTTGTAGACATCAACGAGTGCGATAACCCAGCATTCGCCGCGAGATGCGTGGAGAACGCAGAGTGCTGCAACCTCCCGTCGAACTTCCTGTGCAAATGCAAGTCTGGTTACATCGGAGACGGCGAGGTGCATTGCGAGGACGTCAACGAATGCGCCATACCGGGTGCGTGCGCGGACAATACCGTCTGCCACAACACCCCCGGCAATTATAGTTGCGCCTGTCAAGATGGTTTCACGGGAGACCCTTACGATAGCGTGAGTACGAAAATACCACGCGAAAATGTGCAATTCCGTTTGTTACATTGAGATACAATACGCCTGCGTCACAACGAGTTTAGGTCTTCTATATATTTATGCGCTAATTTTACCAAGACGGTGTTATTAACGTAGTAAAGTATTTATATGACCGGAGTGCAGTATTTAGGGCGAACAAACCGGATAAATTTGTTGCACAGAACCGGAGAAATGATTAACTCCCGTGACGTACATTACAGACGATAGTATCGCTTAGAATGTACTACAACCAGTTTCACAGTCCCTGAACCTAAATTATAACGTTCTAAACTCATTACTTATTTGTAGCTTGTAGCCATGTAAAGGGATTTAAAACATACCGTTGAGTAGAAGATTAATTAAATTGCTCGTCTGTTTTTTTTTTGTACATTCGCTACGTCTGTTCAGAGATGCGTCTCAATTAACGGGATGCTACTGTACGAATCTTCTTCTTGGAGAAGAAGAGATTTAATTTGTAAATATGAAAATGTTCCCATAGAAGTTGCGTTTCTTTTAAATCGGCGATGATTCTTTACAGTGTATCGACATAAACGAATGCGAATTCGCTGGTGCTTGCGGAAGGGGTGCTCTGTGCGTGAACGTACCCGGTGGACACAAGTGCGAGTGTCCGGAGGGTTATAACGGCAATCCCGAGGAAGAATGCGTGGACATCGACGAGTGTGCTCGCAGCCCTTGCGGTCGTTCAGCTCACTGCACAAACGTTCACGGCAGTTTCCGTTGCTCTTGCCCGGAAGGAATGAGCGGCGATCCTTGGACGGGCTGTCACGGTGAGTAACGCGATTCCTAATTATCCGAAACATTATTAACCCGCGCTGTACGTAGCTACACGAACAACCATTAAATTACGTCTGCCTGCAGATCCTCGAACTGGTAAGTCGAACTGTAGAAAGAACACCGGCTACAGAATTCCATACGCTCTAACACCGAACACCTCGAGTAACAGTGTCCACGCATCGTTAATAATCTGATTGTTAACTAGCAAACGTAGTATCGTACGGAAACAGTTTGTACGTGTGTTCGTTTCGTACGCGATGCTTGTGCAGTAACACGATTAACGAAACGCCACGTTCGTATCGTAGAGAACGACACTAAAAATCACTAACCGTCGCTAACAGATGTAAACGAGTGCGAGGACGGCACTGCGTGCGCCGCGGACGCCGATTGCGTGAACACAGAGGGTAGTTTCGAGTGCAGATGCCGGTCCGGATATCAAATGGATTCCAGCCACGGTTGCATCGACGTGAACGAGTGCAGTCGGACGGACGCGTGCGCGACGAACGCGAGATGCATCAATGTCCCGGGATCGTACAAGTGCATCTGCCCGCAGGGCTTCATCGGTCAAGGGCTAACATTGTGCGAAAGTCAGTCCTCCCCTAACTCTATACGATGTTGCTAGCACCGCCCCTGGTAATCAGTAATAATACTCACCGTCCGATTAACCCTGTTGATTAACAGACGTGAACGAATGCGAGAGAAACCCTTGCGGCGAGAACGCCGAGTGCAGCGACACAATCGGCAGCTTCGCGTGCAGCTGCAAGGCGGACTACACCGGCGATCCGTTTAAGGGATGCAGCGGTCAGCTATCGAGATTATAGTTTCTCTCTTTATTTCCGCTTCTCTTGCCACTTTAGTCGACAGCTGGTAGAGAAACAACGTCCTGGAGTTCAGAGTTACGGTCGAACATCGGCATTTCGAATTTCGACTAAACGCGATGTAAAGCAATGCACTTATCCGGGCAGTAAATAATTCGAATCATCGATGCTCGGCTGTATCTTAAATTGGACATCTTTTGTTTTGTTCTTTGATTACTGAACGCTTTCTCTATCCCTGTTAATCTAATTTTGTAAATACTTTTCTATGTAATATGCATTTATTTCTAGTTAATACCACTTTTCCCACTTTCACGATACTTCTACGACGACTCTGCGTTCATACACCAAATAATTGTGCGCGCTATGCTTCTTAATGTTTCGTATGCTCGATAAGTCTACCTAACACCTTCGGATTTTTGCGTTGGATTGACTATAAGAGGATCGTGCGTTTTCTGAGTCTCTTTCTACTTAAATTTCGATGATGTTTCCTTTTAGACGCGCCTTTTAAGTATCTTCTTTCGGTAACGTTTACTTTTACGATGCCCGACTAGATATCGACGAATGCACTGCGTTGGAGAATCCTTGCGGAAGGTACGCGACTTGCAAAAACACGGATCCTGGATACACTTGTGTCTGTCAGCCGGGGTACAGTGCCAACCCCAGTCCGACAGTCGCCTGTGAACAGGTAATTTGTTATTAATTATTAATTCGGACTGCAAAGAGACCACGTTTATGCCTTCACTGCAACAAAAACTCGCAGACCGACGTGACCACCCTTTGCAAATCGAATTTCGACTGCGTGAACAACGCCGAGTGCATCGAGGGGCAGTGCTTCTGCAAAAACGGGTTCAAGGCCGTTGGGGCGGAATGCGTGGACCTCGACGAGTGTCTCTCGAATCCCTGTGGACCGGCGTCGATCTGCACCAACTCGAGAGGAAGCTACCACTGCGAGTGCGAATCCGGTTTTGTTGGAACTCCGCCGCACATACCTTGTAAAGGTAAGTTAACTCCAAGTAATAACAATTGTTGTCGAGTGGTGATTACAGGAGATTATATCTCGAAATAATGATAAATGGAGTTGCTATTATAATAAATGGCGCACATGGAAAAAAGTAGCAATTGCGTTTTTGTTAACGTCCAGCACCCTGCGACGAAGTGACTTGCGGAGAACACGCGTTCTGCAAAGCGGACGGCCACGAGGCGTATTGCATCTGCGAGGATGGCTGGACCTTCAATCCAAACGATATTGCGGCCGGATGCGTTGGTAAGAATTAAATTGTCGAGGGTTTGAAGTGTTCAACTTCTTCGCTGCGTAGTGCTTTAAATGTACGTGGAATTTTTTAATTAGATATAAACGAGTGCGACGCGGTAAATGGACCTTCGGGACGCTGTGGGAAGAACGCAGTCTGCACGAACACCTTTGGCGGCTTCACTTGTCAGTGCAAGCCTGGATACTCTGGAAACGCTTTTAAGCAGTGCATAGGTAAAATATCCGAGCGTCCAACATGACCGTTACGTAGCAAAGAACCTTCTTTTACTTGATAATTGTCCTTTGGTTTTAAAAAACAGACGTAGACGAGTGCACGAGACAGGACGTGTGTGGTCACGGTGCCACATGCGCGAATACAGAAGGTTCCTACACATGTACCTGCCCGGAGGGGACTATTCCTGATCCAGACCCTTCCATCAAGTGCGTCGGCATAGTTACTTGCGAGGTTGATGGCGACTGTCCTGGAAATGCCATTTGTGATTCACAGAAGCGCTGTCTGTGCCCCGAGCCCAACGTTGGCAACGATTGCAGACGTGTGTAGATTAAGAGTCAAGCTTCTCCGTAAACACGACATGCCTATATTATGATTAAGTATACGAATTTCTTAAATTAGATCCGTGCGAAGACTTGTCCTGCGGGCCAAATGCTCACTGCATGCTTTCCAACGACGTGGCGACGTGTCTCTGTCGCAACGGCTACACAGGAAAGCCCGGGGTGAAGGGTGGCTGCAGAGACATCGACGAGTGCGCCATCAATCCGTGCCCCCAGGGCGCGATTTGCAATAACGAGCCCGGCTCCTTCTCGTGTCAGTGCCCCAGCGGCACTACGGGCGATCCTTACAGCGGCGGATGCCAGGAGTCGAAAGCTCCTCACATCTGCGGCCCCAGCACCCCGTGCCCGGCTGGAGAACAGTGCATCAAGGACGAGTTCGTGGGCAGCAGCGTGTGCATCTGTCAACGGGGCTACACGCGCGATCACGAGACAGGCAAATGCAGAGACATCAACGAGTGCATGGAACTCAGGGAGAAGCCCGCGTGCGGCGTCAATGCCATTTGCAAGAATCTGCCCGGCAGCTACGAGTGTCAATGCCCGCCTGGCTTTAATGGAAATCCGTTTTCGCTGTGCGAAGGTAAGACAATTTTGTTGAAATAATATATGATTCTGTTCATTCTATTCATTTATGAAGCTTTTAAAATGATTTGTAATCACAATTATAGAATGCAACAGCATCGAGTGTCAGTGTCAGCCCCCATACAAGATCGTCAAGGGCAAGTGCATGTTGGCTGGATGTTCCAAGGGGGAGAAATGCCCCAGCGGTGCTGAATGCATAACGATAGCTGGAGGAGTCAGTTACTGTGCTTGTCCTAAGGGCTACACTACTAAAGTTGATGGTTCTTGCGAGGGTTAGTACTTAAACTTTGCCTTTGAACCCTCGAGCGATCGCCTGTACCGATAAATCAGAGGACCTAATGACTTCAATTTGCAGATATAAACGAATGCATCATTGGACACCAAGTTTGCGGTTACGGAGCTGAGTGTGTAAACCTGCCAGGCTCGTATCAGTGCGTCTGCCCACACGGTTATGGCGGAGACCCTTATAATGGTCTCTGTTCTCCGGCTCAGAAGAGGTGCACCAGCGATAACGAGTGCAAGGCGAACGAAAAGTGCGTGCAACCGGGCGAATGCGTCTGTCCACCACCGTTTTACTCGGACGCTCTAGATGGGAATCTTTGCAAGAGTGAGTTTCCTTTTGCAAGACAATTTTCCAAGGATTATACAGACTTATACGGATTAATACTGTTTTACTTATTGATACTATAGATCCATGCGACCGGTTCCCATGTGGCATAAACGCGAAATGCACACCGAGCGACCCACCGAGATGCATGTGCGAGGCTGGCTACGAAGGAGACCCACAGCACGGTTGTGTGGACGTCAACGAATGTTCAAACAACCCCTGTGGACACGGTGCTTATTGCATCAACACCAAGGGTGACCATATTTGCGAGTGTCCAAGAGGAACTGTCGGCGATCCTTACACCGCCGGTTGCACGGGAGTGGCTGTAGCGAAAAACGAGTGTTCCTCGAACGACGACTGCGATAACATATTCGCCTGCGATAACGGAAGATGCGTGAACCCTTGCGACAACATACCTTGCGGGCCTAATGCGTACTGCGAGCCTGACAAGCATGCTGCCTGGTGTAGATGCGTAATCGGGTTCGTTGAGGGCAAGAACAACGAATGCGTTTCTCGTAAGTACCAGCAGAGAAGGAAAGAGTGACATTACTTTTGACTAACTTAAAAAGTACGCGACAAACATACGTTCAAAATCAATGTGCAGAGTGCGATGGCTTCGTCTGCGGCTCTGGAGCCCAGTGCATCGTGAGCTACAGCGGACCGACCTGCAAGTGCATCGAGGGTTTCATGGGCAATCCGTTTCCCGGTGGACAATGTCTACCTGATGTCTGTTCCCCGGAAGTTCCCTGTGCAGAGCCAAGCGTCTGCATAAGCGGAAGATGCAAGCGTCGTTGCGAGGGCATAGTCTGCGGAGTGGGAGCCTCTTGCGATCCAGCGACCAACAAATGCGTCTGCAATCCGTACTTCATTGGAAATCCAGACCTCCTTTGCATGCCACGTACGTGATAAAAATTAGAATCAATGCTCATAACGACGTATTTGAAGGTTTTGCAGAATTGTAAGCGAATAATGTAATATTCTTGCAATTCGATAGCGATTCAACCTGCTATCTGTGATCCCAGTTGTGGTACAAACGCCCACTGCGAGTACAGTTTGCAAGAATCAAAGTGCATTTGCAATCCTGGAACCACCGGAAATCCGTACCATGGATGCGGTGTGCAACAGAAGTCTGACTGTTCGACTGCACTCTGCGGCAAAGATGCACATTGCAGCACTGGAGTAAATGCTGTGGAGTGTCTGTGCCCTCCTGGATACGCAGGGAACCCATACATTCAATGTTTCGGTTAGTACACATTCTTTTAAGTAGAATACGACTTTTTCGCGAAAGGCAGAAAACGATTTCACCCATGTTTCCAGATATCAACGAGTGCAACGGAAACGCATGCGGAGGAAACGCGGTCTGTATCAACACGATCGGCAGTTACGACTGCCGCTGCAAGGAAGGATTCTTTGGCAATCCTTTCGTCGGTTGCCAACAAGTGCAAGTGGGCCCGTGCACGGACCCAGCGACCTGCACCTGCAGCGAGACCGTACCCTGTCCTTTCGACTACACGTGCGTTCAAAGCAAATGCATGAACCGTTGCAGCGACGTGAAATGCGGACCTCGATCGGTTTGCCAAGACGGGGCCTGCGTCTGTCCGCCTGGCTACAGCGGCAACCCGAACGATCTCAGCAAAGGGTGCTACCTGCACGGCCACTGCTCCAACGACCTGGACTGTGAACCTCAACAAATCTGCTTTCAAGTGGGCAAGGGCGTTCGAAAATGCGTGGACGCGTGCAGCAAACTGCAGTGCGGTCCGAACGCACTGTGCGTCGCCCAGCATCACGTCTCCTCTTGTTTGTGCATCGACGGGTACCAGGGTAATCCCATCAACTTGGTAGAAGGCTGTCAACCTTCAAAGTCGGTGGTAACACCCGGCTGCAGTCACGACTCGGAGTGCCAGGAGGGCGCGTTCTGCATCCTCCTCGACAACGGGGCCTACGAGTGCGTGAATCCGTGCAGCAAAGTGGTCTGCGGCGCCCACCAAAAATGCGAGCCAGATATAATCCCCGGCCACGCGACCTGCAAGTGTCAGGACGGATACGAGTGGAACCCGATCCTATCGTCGTGCGAGAAGCCCTCGGTTCCCGATTGCATTTCCGACGACGACTGCCACTCCACCGAAGCCTGCAGACCGGACGCCCTCGGGGTGCTCAAGTGCGTGGCTGTGTGTCGCAGCTTCACCTGCGCGATCCACTCTCAGTGCGTGGCCGAGCGACACCGCGGCCGCTGCGAATGTCTACCCGGCTTCGTCGGGAACCCTAACGACCGACAAGGCTGTCAGACGCCCAAGAAGGATCACTGCTCTACCGACAGCGAGTGCCCAGAGGATCAGACCTGCAGGAGCACGGACGAGGGCCTACTGACTTGCCAATCGGTCTGCAACTTCGTCTCCTGCGGACCCAACGCTCTCTGCGTGGTCCACAACCATGTGGCGAACTGCGAGTGTCCGCCTGGACTCTACGCCGGTGACCCCAATGACGCGGTCAAAGGGTGCCGTACCGTTCCTTGCGTCTACAACATCGACTGTCCGCCCACGCAACTTTGCAACAGATTGACGCACACCTGCTACGACGTGTGCGACGAGGACGCTTGCGGAGCGAACGCCGTCTGCATCGCGGACGATCACAGAGCGATCTGTCAGTGTCCTCCCGGTCTTCGACCCAATCCAGTTCCGGACGTGGAGTGCGTCGCCATCGAGGCCTGTCATCCGAATCCCTGTCACGAGTCCGCGCTCTGCGTTCCAGGACCCTCGAACAACCCTGTGTGCCAGTGTCCGTCGAATTTCGTAGGCGATCCTTACTCGACAGGATGCCAGCCTGAAGGCTATTGCGCTAACGCCAAGGACTGTCCTGTTCATTCCATTTGCCACAACCATCGTTGTGTTAATCCCTGCGAGGATGCTTGCGGGCCGAACTCGATCTGCGAGGTTCTGAACGGGCAAACCACATGCAAGTGTATCAATAACTTTGTGCCATCTTCGAAGGGTCCGCAGGACGGATGCGTCCGCACTTTGAACTATTGTACCGTCGATGCTGATTGCAACGAAAGCGTCTGCCTTGAGGGGCAGTGCATAGGTAGGTCAAATTTCAGAAACGTATGGTTTTTCTTTGAGTGCGTGTATGTAAAAAATATTCTCGAAATATTCTTCCAGTTGTGTGTCGAACGGCAGGCGACTGCTCCGCAGGTGAAAAGTGTGTGAACAAAAAATGCACGGTTCCCTGTGTCTCCCACAGCCAATGTCAGCTCGATCAGGCTTGCGTGAACGGGGGATGCATTCTGGGATGTCGAAGCAATAAGAACTGCCCTACCACGCAATCCTGTATTAACAATAAATGTCAAGGTATGCTCCCAAAAACGAAAGGACAATGTACTTTCTTGTCCAAGTCAAACTGTGAATTGTTAAGGTTATCTTTTCTCTCAGATCCATGCAGCAAGAAAGATGTCTGCGGTCCAAACGCGATTTGCAGTTGCACCAATCATGCGACAGTATGTACCTGTCCGTTAGGCTTCCACGGAAATCCCACGCCCCAACAGGGCTGTGTCAGAGTGCCAAATATATGCGACGGTGCTCAAGATTGTCCCAGTCAGCACGTGTGTGTCTCTGGATTTTGTCAATGCCAGTGCAGCGAGCAGAACAACTGTGCTCAAGGAGAACGCTGCAGGAACGGAATATGCGTCAAGATTTGCTATGGCGACAGTAATTGTTTGCCTGGTGAACTTTGCATCGACGGACTCTGCGAGGTTGGATGCACTTCTGACGCTGGGTGCAAGGACAACGAAGTCTGCATCAACAACAAATGCAGGTACGCGAAACATGTATACTACATTCATTATAACATTAAATTCCTTCAATCGATAACAATTACAGTTGTTGTTTAGCATACAATTACTGACTAGTGATGTCATCGTAAGTATCTGGTTCATGTTTATTAATGACCGTTTTGATCTACATTGTTCAATAATCGATGCACCGATGAACGATAATAATCGTTCGGTATTTTCCTATTAATATTTTCAGATGCAGTCACGGATTCGTGGCAGGGCCGGAACATTGTCTGGATATCAATGAATGCGACGATCAACCTTGCCATTCGACCGGAGAGTGTGTCAATCTCCATGGATCCTATCGCTGTGTGTGCCCACAAGGCACTGCTGGAGATCCTGTGGGATCAGGTTGCGTGATACCACATCAGTGCACCGTAAACTCCGATTGTCCCGAATCTCAGGCCTGCAACCAGCACAATTGCACCGATCCTTGCTCTCAGGGCGACTGTGGATCGAACACAATTTGCTCCGCCGTGGATCACTCTGCCGTCTGTCAGTGTCAGCCTGGTTACATCGGTGACGCCTCCGGATGTTTCAGAGTGGAATGCCTTTCCAACAACGACTGTCCCACGGATAAATATTGCAATCAGGATACCAACAAGTGCAGCAGTAAGTGAATTAAACTCTTCTTTTAAAACCTTATTACATATTTTGATAAATGCGTCCGTTATACACAATTGACTTTAATTATTCAGGTCCTTGCAATCAGATGAACTGTGGATATGGTAACTGTATAGCTTCGGACCACGTAGGTGTGTGCAAATGTTTCCCCGGTTTTGTGCTGGTGGGTGATGTTTGCGTGGATGTCAACGAGTGTTCGGAGAATCCTTGTCATTCCACCGCGGTGTAAGTAATTTTTAACCCACACTGACACCGTGAAGGTAAGAGCAGAATAATGGAAATGTCTTTCTATAGTTGTCAAAATACGGACGGTTCGTACACTTGCGTTTGTCCGCACGGTTTGGTGGGCGATCCCGTCAAGTCCGGTTGCAAACAACCCGGCGACTGCTTCTCGGACTTTGATTGTCCAGTCTCTGCTGCTTGCGTCGACAACACGTGCAGAAACCCTTGCGACGTGTCACCTGTTTGCGGCAGGAACGCGGAGTGTTTCGTCCAAGGACACGTCCCGCATTGTAGGTGTCCTGGCCAGACCACCGGAAATCCAACAGTGAGTTCCTTTATTTTTAATAAAAATTGCAACTTAAGACAGGTTTGTTCAAGGTACTTTTTTGATTCCAGTCGGAATGCATTCACTTGGAGTGCAACTATCACAGCGACTGCAGTCCGTCGGATGCTTGTTTCAACCATAAATGCGTCGATCCTTGTTCCCTCTCGAACGTCTGCGGTCAGGGAGCCGATTGTTCTCCGCTGAATCATAGTGCTGTGTGCACCTGTCAACCTGGTGGTACGGGCGACCCAAATCTGGGATGCACACCCGTTCAGTACTGCAAATCCGACTCGCAGTGTGCAACTGGATCGGCTTGCAACGGTGGAATATGCACAGGTAATGCAAATTAACTTTATTTTGCGGATCGATTGAACCGAGTGACAGATTCAATTTTTGCCCATCTCTGTTCTAAATCATAGTAACTTGATTCTAATGAACACTTGATTGAATTTGCATACTTTATAGCGCTCTGTGGTAGTACAAGAGATTGCATCGGTGATCAATTATGCATAAACGGACTCTGTCAACCCACTTGCAAGAGCAACTCCAGTTGTCCCGAATACCAGTACTGTCAGAACAATATTTGCGTCCAGGAATTGCGTTGCATATCCGACGATGATTGTTCTTACGACGAGAGGTGTATCAAGAACAATATTGGACAAGCAGAGTGCCGTAAGACTTGTGACTTGATCTTCTGTGGACGCAACGCTGAATGCGGAGCGGACAATCATGTCGCGGTGTGCTCCTGCAAGGGTGGTTTCTTCGGGAACCCCAAGGACGATAAGATCGGTTGTCAACCCATCGAGTGCGAGAACAACGAAGACTGTACCGAGGAGAAGATTTGTCACACACACAAGTGCAGAATTGCCTGTCTGGCCCATAATCCTTGCGGCGTTAATGCTATCTGCACCGCGGAGAAACACGTCCAGGTAATAATTTCACAATTATTAGAAATTTGTAATACTTATTGCAGTTTTTTGCGTCCTTAGATAGTAAGTTGTACTTTTAATTTTCAGATTTGCACATGCCAGCCAGGATATACTGGAGAACCAACTCACGGATGCCAGCTAATCGATTACTGTTCGAACGAGCCTTGCGCTCCTGGAGCTCTGTGCGAGAATTCCAGAGGATCTTACAAGTGTCACTGTCAACAAAGCATGGTCGGGGATCCCTACAACAGCGGCTGTCAACCGCCGGTCGAGTGTCTACACGATGAGGACTGTCCATTGTCTGCCAAATGCATAAATGTTAACAATGTTCCAAAGTGTTTCGGTACGTATCAAAAAACGTTTCATTTTGGCTTTCGTAATATCATGTATTCCATATTTCAGATGTATGTTCGCGAACGCAATGTGGACCGAACTCCGATTGCGTTGCGGCCAATCACGCTGCAGCCTGTCAGTGTCGGTCCGATTACGAGGGCGATCCTAACAATTTGAGCGTGGGCTGTCGACCGAAACCGGTTGTTTGCTCCTCAGCCGCGGACTGCTCGGCCACCACCTACTGTTACGAGGGAATCTGTCGACGTGAGTATCATCTAATAAGCGAGGAGGCGCGATCGACTCTATATGGGATTATAAAATTACGTAATTTGAAATTCCTTCAGCGTCCTGCCAGTCGGACGAAGAATGCAATCTGTCGGACGTGTGCCTGAATGGACAATGCCTGGATCCGTGCGACCTTAGATCCGCGTGCGGAATAAACGCTGACTGCGACGTGAGAAGTCATATTAAACAGTGCAGCTGTCCGCTTGGCTTCACCGGCAACTCGGAAGTAGAATGCGTGAGGCGTAAGTTCAATATTTATTCTACCATTAATTTACAGTTCCAAGAATGTTCTATCAAGACTTATCATAAAATTCTTTTAAAATCGTTTCAGTGCCCGTGTCCTGCAGAGACACCAACGATTGCAGTGACGGTAACACCTGTCGCGACAATGTTTGCCTTCCAATATGTAACAGCGACAACGAATGCGCGTTTAATGAAAAATGCGTCCGAGGAAACTGTCTGTTAACCTGCCGACTGGACAACGACTGTTTCCTAGGCCATATTTGTCTGCACAACATGTGCACGTTCGGTTGTCGCGCGGACGAGGACTGCAACGCGAATCAGGCCTGCATCACGAACAAGTGCATCGACCCCTGCGAGGCCACTCCCTGCGGACCGAACGCTAAATGCACCGTGTTCAATCAACGGGCCACCTGTTCGTGTCCTGTGGGATTCATGCCCAACCCGACCGCGAAAGTGGCTTGTCTGAGGTCCCCTGGATCTGGTTGTCAAGCGAACAGAGATTGCTCGACGGGAACAGCTTGCATCAGCGGCATTTGCACGCCCGTTTGTTCGACGGACTTGAACTGCTTGAGCAACGAGCGTTGCGACTCTTCCGGTATTTGCAAGTCGTTGTGCAGAAGGGACGAAGACTGCAGAAGCGGAGAAATCTGCGAGGGACTCGTCTGCGCCATCGGGTGCCGTTCCGACGTCGAGTGCCAAGAAAATTACGCTTGCGTGGACAACCAGTGTCAAGGTGAGGTTCATGATTATTTAAAAACTAATCAGAATTCAGACCTAATCGAATTGAAAATTATTCCTTTTTATTCTATCGACCCATAGATCCGTGTTCGTTGCCCGATGCCTGTGGAGCAAACGCGAAGTGCTCGGTTGCGAATCACCGGAAATTATGCGCCTGTCCCGCACCGCTTGGTGGAGATCCTCTAATCGGATGCAAACAGGCGTTTCTGCCTTGCTCGACGGAACTGGACTGCCCGACTGGTCAAACTTGTTATGGAAGATCCTGTTACGCAGCGTGTAGAAGGTATAAAGATCGACGCGATTTCCCGTCATTTTTTGCGCGGAAATTAAAGGGTATGTAAATCGTTTTACAGCGATGCTAATTGTCTGATCGACGAACGATGCGACGCCGGTATTTGCAAAACGATATGCAACAGCGACGATCATTGCGTGGCGAATCAGATATGCCAGAACAGACTATGCGATATTGGCTGTCGAAGCGACAATACGTGTCCCAACGACGAGTCCTGTTTGAACAACAAATGCAGAAGTGAGCTCGATATGCTTAATTAAGTGGTCGGTCAAGATTCTTGATCTCGATTTTTTATCAAACCAATTTGTATTCTCAGATCCCTGCGAAGGTGGCAAGGCTTGCGGAGAATGCGCGGGTTGTCGCGTGGTAAACCACGTGGCACAATGCAGCTGTCCAGCTAATTACTACGGAAACGCGTTAATTACCTGCGTGAAGTCCATGATCCCTTGTGATGGCTCCTGCGAGTGCGACGAGGTCGGTTTCTGCACGCAAAGCTGTCACAATCAGGATCAGTGCTCATGCGGGGAGGTTTGCCACTCTGGGAAATGTCGTATCAAGTGCGACATCAACAATGCCTGTCCGAAGGTATCATTAAAAAAGGAGTGCCCTGATCTTAGCTAACCACTCTTGAATGGAAATTTTTAGCGTGGGCATCTGAACTTGTTATTGTATTTCAGAGCGTTAAAGAGAAGATTACGATTTTCTGTAGCGATGTGAACGTAGTATTTATAATTTCAGGGCTACGTTTGCGACGGAGGACTTTGCCTAATCGGTTGCCGCACTCATTCCGACTGTCCATCGTCCTTATCCTGCATAAGCAGTCAGTGCGAGGATCCGTGCTCGGCCAATGGCTCCCCTTGCGGTATCAACGCTCTCTGTCGCGTTTCGAATCACCGCGCGGTGTGCCTTTGCCCGGAAGGCTTCCAAGGAGAACCGAGTCAGGAATGTTACCAACTGGAGTGTCATCGGGACGACGACTGCGAGGCGAACAAACGGTGCAGCGAGGATGGAGTTTGCACGAATCCTTGCCTGCAACACGGTGTTTGCGGCTTCAACGCCCAGTGCAGAGTGGTCAACCGAAAGGCCCAGTGCTCCTGCCCGCCTGGACACTATGGTAACCCCAAGATCAATTGCAAGAAAGGTACTCGACGTTTGTTCCCATTGAGTAGAAGGCTGTCGAGTTCAAGTACTGTAAAAAGCTTATTATCCGATGCTTCAGGAGGAGATCAGTGTCTGAGGAGACCCTGCGGCGTAAACGCTAAGTGCAGAGAGACTTTGAACGGATTCGAGTGCACGTGCGACCCTGGATGCAACGGAGATCCGCATCAGGCTTGCATCTGCGACGGTGGAGAGCTCTGCAAGGACACTCGTTGCGGAGTGAACGCTGCCTGCCGCATCTACAAGAACCAGCCACAGTGTTACTGTCCTCCTAATTTCCCGTTCGGTGACCCGATGCACGGTTGTAAGTAATTTGACGATAGTACGATTTTATATCAACTTCTAAGGGATCGTTTCAAAGGAGAAGCTTTTAAACAAATTTTATTAAATCCCCTAGTTTTGGTCTGTAGTGTAATGCGACAGTTTTCACGCGAGTCTCGTGTTTCTGATCGTAGGTAGCGTGGACAGGAGTTTAGGCGACTGTCGAACGATCGGCTGCGGAAAAGGCGCGGAATGCATACGGGACGGAACGATATTCGTGTGTCGGTGTCCACCGGGTACGAGCGGTTCGCCGGATATCGAGTGCACCACAGGTAAGGGACGACCTACTAACTGTTTAACCGGGCGGATCGATTAATTCCATGTACAGCATTTGTGACTAGCGAGCAATACTGACGATCAGAGGAACATGGTCCGTAGAATAACCATGTATCGTCTAAGTAGGACTTGAAGTAATACATAGATGTATTAATCCAGTGAATCGTTAACAATCGAGAGACAGATGTGATTGGACCGTTTACCGGATTCTATACATATATACACGCGGCAGACACACATACAGACATACAGATATACATGTATATGTTTACGTGAGACACTGGATATACCCGACAATGGTTTACATACAACCTGTACATATCTACATAGTCAGGCATACTGTACATAATGTGTCCAAAGAAAGAAACACGTTTCACAACATGTGTCACACATAACTATTCATATGTAGAATGTTTATTTCAGTATCCAATCTGTCTTGAGGAAACCATTGAAATCGAGAAAAATGAATGCTAGAGAAAAAAAAAAGTAATAAGAGAGACATATAATAGTTGATGGCATTCGATTGCAACAAGAAGGTACACATTTACAGTGAACACACTGATGATCCGTTCTTTAGACCTAGGACTAATGATACAGATTGGGAACTGCGAAAGGGACATTCTCATATACCCATGCTTGTTATTTTGCTGGATTTATTCACTGTTACGTTGTATTTTCCCTCTTATTTTCTTGAGATCTGTGGGGGCTTGTGTTGTAAATATCGCTGCTTGCCAATATTACATATATATGTAATATATATATGTACACACGTATGTATATATATTTTCTCCTCTGGACAAACGAGAGGATCGTGTCTCGCGTTTTATCCGAAATTTTAGTGTAAAGTTCGTTCTCTATTTTTTACTTCTTCACAGAGCTACCCTACTATTTCCGTATTACAAGTACAAAAAGCATGTGGTTTATGTTATTTGTGAGAAAGTTTCTTTTCACAGTTCTTATAAATGCTTTTTTCTTTTTTTTTCCTGTCCCACCATCACCAACCCGTCGATCCACCAACTGTACACCACGTCCACGACACCACGACTCTAAACCAAAATCAAACTAAAAACCAACAAAATATTTGTATACCTCGGGGGTTGAGATAGAGCGCGAATGCACCAGTGACTTAGAGTGCCCCAATGAAAAAGCCTGCATAAACCTTCAATGCGTGGACCCGTGCGGTCTGCGGGGCGCCTGTGGGATCAACGCTCTGTGTCGTGTGGTTCTGCACAAGCCGCGGTGCTCCTGTCCGCAGTGCTATATCGGTATGCCCCGCACGGCCTGTCATCCAGATCCCAAATGCGACACGCTCAATCCCAGACCTACACCGAGCATCGGTTGCTCCTCCGATCACGACTGCCCGGAGAGCCTCGCCTGTCATTCACGTACGGGCGAGTGCCGGGACCCGTGCTTGAGTTCCCGATACGCCTGCGAGGTAAACAAGAGATGCCAGGTGCGGAATCACCGGCCCACCTGCGTCTGCAAATACGGTTTCGTGGTGAACGAGGTCGGCGAGCTGACATGCGCCCCCGACACATTGACGTGCACGAGGGACTTCGACTGTCCGTCGAACGCCGCCTGCGTGAACGGGAAATGCCAGAATCCCTGTAACGTCAGAAAGAAAAAACCGTGCCCGGCCGATAAAACCTGCGACGTCCTGGACCACCGTCCCGTCTGCATATGCACACAAAACTGCAATCCCTCCCTCTCCATTTGCCTGCGAGACAGTGGCTGCTCTCCAGACTTGGCGTGCCGCAACTATCGCTGCGTGGACCCATGCAGAAACTCCACCTGTCCGGCTGATGCCCCCTGTTACGTGGAGGAGCACAAGCCTATCTGCAAGTTCTGTCCCCCCGGCTTTGTGCCAGATACTAAATACGGATGCATGGAAGGTAAACACCATTTCTCACCACCTATCTCGCTATCTTTTTCTCTCTCTCTGTCTCGCTGTCTTTTTTACTCTCGATCTGATTTAGCCGCCACCGATGTTACCGATTATTCTCTCCTACCGGATCTAACTACGATTCTTACTCTTAGCCTCACACCGGACATATACCGATTGCTACTCTTTTCAGGTTTCCGACCATTCAGACAGTGGGAAATACCCCTCTGCGATCTAGAGAACGTTTGTCACGATTTTCAAAGGGGGTATTCTGGACGCTTTCAGGCCTTAAAATGAAAATCGTGGAGTCCTTTCTATTGAATTGTCCTTCGTTTTATCAAAATTCTGGAATACCTCCTCTACGCTCCGAGCTTGGCGTCGATGATCTCGTCCACGCGTTGAAGTCACCAGAAATCACTCGCGTTTCGTATCGCTTCGAGTTTCGTTCTACATTTTTTAACAAAGCCTCGGTGATAAATGAAAGCAAAATTAATCATTGAGTGTTCACTATTTTACTAAAATAATAGCTGTCGTTGTAAATAAAGTCTAATTAACCATGAGGTGATATAAAATAATATTTGTTTTCGTAAGATGATAAAAACGTTTTGTTTTAATAGCTTCTGAGCCTATAATAACCATGATTTATGTTGTATTATCGAACTTTTAAAGACCCTTACGCCAGGCTCGCAGCGTTAACGTATGGAATGATCGACGAACGCGTTGCGTGCGATTATTTGCGGTTCACAGAGTGCTCCGTTGTCTGAATGAGAGAACGTTTCAGGTTCCAAAGTCACAGATACAACTCTTCACTCCCCAGATACCTATACTCTCCCGCTCTACTCTGTCGACGTCCTCACTGTTCAAGGATATTTTTCTCCGTTACATCTGTCTCTGTAAAGATCTAATTAATGATACTTCCGAACGATAGCTTACCTGTTATGATGCGAGCATGCCGACTGATATCTTAATTCGTAGATTATTTTGGAGTAAACAGTGTGATGGCATAGCATTAGTCTAATATAAGATGAACGCTTGAACGTTTCAGCCTCTTTACTTAATCTATCGATCTTTGTACGATCACTGTGTTTATATTGTATTGTATCCGCAGCAGCTCACCACTACACGCCCGACTATTTCTGCGAGTTCGATGGCGACTGCAACGACACAGAAGCCTGTGTCGAAGGGTCCTGCGTTGATCCTTGCGTCAACCAGTGTCAATCGGCAGTTCGGTGTTGGGTTAAAGCACACAGGCCAGTTTGTAGTTGCGACGATCACGACGATCGCTGCATGATTTCTACCCCCAGCTATTCAACAGCCGACACCATTGAAACGACCACACTTTCGACGAGTACAGAATCAAGTACTGGTTCTCTGTCGTACACATCTTCCACCATTAACGAAGAAACCTCGAGCGAGTTCGTCACCGATACCACAAAAATTCCCGTCACCGAAGAAAGTCAGTCAATTTTGCCAACGGCGAGTGTCGTTTCTGATACCAGCTCTTTCGAAGTACCTACCGTTAAAGATATATCGACCAAAGCCACAGACATTTCAACCGTTGGAGGAATCGAGTTTACTACTTCTGAGTTGTTTGAAACAACAACTACATCTCATGTTGCCAGTACGCAAAATCTACCTGAATCTACGACAGTATTCCTGCACACTCAGGAAACGAGTACCACCGAAGTTTCTACAGTTAGCGAACCGGATAAAGTTCAAATAGTCACTCCGATCACGCTTACCACTTCCACGGGAAAAGATGTCGTCATAGTAACGTCTGTACCGATAGATGAAGCCAATACAGAACTAATAACACAAATTACAGAGTCTTCAGACTCGACTAATAGAAGTCTTTCTACCGAAAGTTCTGTACTTGGTGAAAATTCTACTATGATGCCTGTTACTACGGATAGTTCGACTGTACTGTCATCTGAAAACGCCACATTAGTTATTGTAACTGCACAGTATCCCACAGAGCCAGAAGTTATTACTGTAACTGCACAGTATCCCTTAGAACAAGAAACGACTGTACATTCAACAGCTGAAGTACCTACGAATGAACCATCTACGACAATAACGCAATACTTTACAGAACAACCTCAATCGACTGAACAATTATTTACCGGACAATACTCTACAGTACAATCTCCAACGACTGAACAATATACCGTGGAAGAATCTTCAACACCTGAGCAAGCGACAGAACAACGTACTGTAGGACTGTTTACGACAACCGAGCAGCATATCACGGAGCAATTTTCGACGACTAAACAATACTCCACAGAACAACCTTCGACAACAGAATATATTACGGAACAATCTTCGATGCCTGAGCAATACTCTACAAAACAATCGTTAACAACTGAACAGTACACTACTGAACAATATTTAACAACTGTAAAATACTCCACAGAAGAGTCTTCGACAACGGAACTACATACCACATCACAATCTCCAACAACAGAACAGTACACCACAACACAACCTTTAACAACTGTAGAACAGGACACAGTACAACCTTTAATGACTGAACAATCTAGTACGGAACAGTCTTCAACAACACAATATTCCACAGAAAAATCTTTAACAACAGAGCATTATACTACGGAACGACCTATAACATCCGAACAATACCCTACTGAACAATACTCAACAACTGTAAAACATTTTACAGAACAATCTCCAATAACAGACCAGTACACTACGGAGCAATTATTAACAACTGTACAAGAGGACACAGTACAACCTTTAATAACTGAACAATCTAATACGGAACAGTCATCAACAACAACACAGTACTCCACTGATCAAACTTCAACCTCAGAGCAATACCCTACAGAAAAATCATTAATAACAAAGCAGTATACTACGGAACAATCTACAGTGACTCAACAGTACGCTACTGAACAATACTCAACAACTGAAATATATACTACACTACAAACTCCAATAACTACACAATATCCTACGAAAGAGTCTTCAACAACTGCACGGTATACCACGGAGCAACCATTAATAACTGTACAACCCTTAATTACTGAACACTATACAACGGAACAGTCGTCAACAACACAATATTCCACAGAAAAATCTTTAACAACAGAGCATTATACTACGGAACGACCTATAACATCCGAACAGTACCCTACTGAACAATACTCAACAACTGTAAAACATTTTACAGAACAATCTCCAATAACAGACCAGTACACTACGGAGCAATTATTAACAACTGTACAAGAGGACACAGTACAACCTTTAATAACTGAACAATCTAATACGGAACAGTCATCAACAACAACACAGTACTCCACTGATCAAACTTCAACCTCAGAGCAATACCCTACAGAAAAATCATTAATAACAAAGCAGTATACTACGGAACAATCTACAGTGACTCAACAGTACCATACTGAACAATACTCAACAACTGAAATATATACTACACTACAAACCGAAGTAACTACACAATATCCTATGAAAGAGTCTTCAACAACTGAACAGTATACCACGGAGCAACCATTAATAACTGTACAACCCTTAATTACTGAACACTATACAACGGAACAGTCGTCAACAACACAATATTCCACAGAAAAATCTTTAACAACAGAGCATTATACTACGGAACGACCTATAACATCCGAACAGTACCCTACTGAACAATACTCAACAACTGTAAAACATTTTACAGAACAATTTCCAATAACAGACCAGTACACTACGGAGCAATTATTAACAACTGTACAAGAGGACACAGTACAACCTTTAATAACTGAACAATCTATTACGGAACAGTCATCAACAACAACACAGTCCTCCACTGAACAAGCTTCAACCTCAGAGCAATACCCTACAGAAAAATCATTAATAACAAAGCAGTATACTACGGAACAATCTACAGTGACTCAACAGTACCATACTGAACAATACTCAACAACTGAAATATATACTACACTACAAACCGAAGTAACTACACAATATCCTATGAAAGAGTCTTCAACAACTGAACAGTATACCACGGAGCAACCATTAATAACTGTACAACCCTTAATTACTGAACACTATACAACGGAACAGTCGTCAACAACACAATATTCCACAGAAAAATCTTTAACAACAGAGCATTATACTACGGAACGACCTATAACATCCGAACAGTACCCTACTGAACAATACTCAACAACTGTAAAACATTTTACAGAACAATTTCCAATAACAGACCAGTACACTACGGAGCAATTATTAACAACTGTACAAGAGGACACAGTACAACCTTTAATAACTGAACAATCTATTACGGAACAGTCATCAACAACAACACAGTCCTCCACTGAACAAGCTTCAACCTCAGAGGAATACCCTACAGAAAGATCTTCAACAACAGAGCAGTCCATCACGGAACAATCTTTAATAACTGAACAATATTCAACAACTGTACAATACTCTACAGAACAATCTTCAACGACCAGACTAGATATTACAGAACAATCTCCAGTAACTACTCAATATCCTATAAAAGAGTATACAACAACAAAACAGTATATCTCTGAAGAGCCTTTAACAACTGCACAATATACTACAGAACAACCTCTGATAACTGAGCACTATACAACACAACTCTCTTCAACAATAATGCAGGAGTCCACTGAAAAATATTCTACAGAAGGACCCACAACTACTGAACGGTACACTATGGAACAGCCTTCAACAACTTTAGAATATGACACAGTACAACCTTTAATGACCGAAGACGATATTACTGAACAATCTTCCACGAGTAAACAATTTACCACAGAACAATTTTCAAGTGAACAATATACAACAGAACAATCTACTAGAACTGAACCCTACAGCACGGAAAAGTTTTCAACGACTGAACAATTCAACACAATGCAATCTACAACAACCACACAATATACATTGGGACAAGTTTCAACAACTGAGCATCCTTCAACGACAGAAGAGTACTCCACTGATCAATTTTCAACAACCGAGCAATATTCTACACAACCATCTCCAACCACCACACAATATACAAGGGACCAAGTTTCAACAACTGAGCAGTACTCCACTGAACATTCTTCAATGACAGAACAGTACTCAACTGAACAATCTTCGACAACTGAGCAATTCTCCACACAAACATCTCCAACAACCACACAATATACAATAGAACAAGTTTCAACAACTGATCAATACTCCACACAAACATCTCCAACAACCACACAATATACAATGGGACAAGTTTCAACAACTGAGCATCCTTCAACGACAGAAGAGTACTCCACTGATCAATTCTCAACAACCGAGCAATATTCTACACAACCATCTCCAACAACCACACAATATACAATAGAACAAGTTTCAACAACTGATCAATACTCCACACAAACATCTCCAACAACCACACAATATACAATGGGACAAGTTTCAACAACTGAGCATCCTTCAACGACAGAAGAGTACTCCACTGATCAATTCTTAACAACCGAACAATATTCTACACAACCATCTCTAACCACCACACAATATACAATAGAACAAGTTTCAACAACTAAGCATCCTTCAACGACAGAACAGTACTTCACTGATCAATTTTCAACAACCGAGCAATATTCTACACAACCATCTCCAACCACCACACAATATACAATAGAACAAGTTTCAACAACTGATCAATACTCTACACAAACATCTCCAACAACCACACAATATACAATGGGACAAGTTTCAACAACTGAACAGTACTCCACTGAGCATTCTCCAACGACAGAAGAGTATTCCACTGCTCAATTTTCAACAACCGAGCAATATTCTACACAACCATCTCCAACCACCACACAATATACAATGGACCAAGTTTCAACAACTGAGCAGTACTCCACTGAACAATCTTCAACAACTGATCAATACTCCACACAATACATAATAGAACGAGTTTCAACAACTGAGCAGTACTCCACTGAACATCCTTCAACGACAGAACAGTACTCCACTGAACATCCTTCAACGACAGAACAGTACTCCACTGAACAATCTTCAACTACCGAGCAATACTTAACAGAAGACCATTCGACAATCGGACAATACAATACGACAGAATCTCCAACGACAGAACAACATACCACAGAACAGTTTTTAACAACCCAAAGATCAACAAATACGACAGAATGTGTAATACATTTGAACGGCACGTGTCTATGCTCTTGCAAAAACACCGTTCCCTGTTCAAATAAGTCTGAATGTAACGTAGGGAATCATCGGCCCTTGTGCTTTAACCCAGCGCTCGACCAGAGTACACCTAATTGTAACATACTCCCAGGTAATGATTTCTCATGTCGGGAGTTTTGTAAATGTTCTCGTGTTTACCAAATGTGTTTCCACCAAAAAGAGAACTTTTCTCCAGTGTGACTTCATCGTATCCAGATGAAAATTGGAGGCAACCAATTCTGGAGAGTTGTTGCTTGGTCGACAGACCATTCTACCTGTATGGTCTCGATCAGAAAATTACACCGGGTACGATAACCGGGATGACCATCACACGAGTAGAACATTTGACGTAGAATTACAATGCACTGTTTCAACCCAGTGCAGCCATGGACCTGCTGCATTAGCGCTCTTTGCATGCTGTACATTAATGTGCCTCTGCGCGATCTCTTCTTGCTTGTCTATTCATAACAATTGTAATATTTTCTGTGAAGTATGCTTCTAAAGGAAATTCTTGGATCGCGATAATCATAAATTTATTAAAAGTATTACAGTATCGAGATGGAAATTTCCTTTAAAGGCGGACAGACTAACGACTATTTCTGGGCTTTACACATGTAACACAAAAACCATTATATGTATATTATAGGAATTAGGGGATTGTGTATATCATTTTCTGTGTTAATTATTATGTACTTTGTTTTTTATAAAGATTTTTTGTTCGAACATACATTTTTATATACATTCGCGTATTTTGGTAATATTCAATTAGAACGATCGTTAGATGAATCATGAATAAATTATTATACAATGAGATTTTTTAGCATTACGCATCGAAGGATCACTATTTTGAGCTTCTAATATTCCATCGTTTCGTCAGATACCAAATGCACAACGCACGACGACTGTCTTTCCCAATTGGCCTGTATAAACCAGCAGTGCTTGAACCCATGCACCATCGAGAACCCGTGCGACTTCGTCGAGATCTGCCACGTTCAAGATCACAGACCAGTTTGCGTGAAAGGTAGAATATCGAGCACCATACCATTTTGCGGTGTTTACTTAAGATTTACACGATACTAATCAATCGTTTTCCAAACTTTCCCAGACGTAACGAACGACACGGGTTGCCCTTACTGTCCAGCCGGAATGCATTGCGATTCAGCGACGAGCACATGCGTCAAAGGTTTGTACACGATCGAGCACCTAGATCCTCCACGTGGTAGATTCTATTTGCAATACCACGATCTATTCTACCTGTAAATATGTATCTATTGTACATAAGTTACAACGTGCAATTTCGTTTCAAATTCGTTGCACCCCAAACTTCTATCGCGTTTTACATCTTCGCGTCTCAGATCTTAAAAGCTGTTCATACACGCCTTCGGTTTTCAAATCTATAGAAAGATATTCTAAATAAACGTATCGTTCGATCGCTCGATTATAGAATTTTGATCCGTCGCGCACCGACGTTGTGTTTTATACATGCTGATCTGCCTGAGAGGCGTCTTCGCACGCAAGTCCACGCAAAACGTGACTCTTTCTTGTTTTGTACCGTTGCACACTATCTCGGGGCTATACGGGCTTTCTCCATCTTTCTCTAGCGGGTTGCACTAGCGACAAAGATTGTCCGCTGACCACTGCGTGCATCGCGGGAACTTGTCAGGAACCGTGCCTCGTGCGGAATCCGTGTGCGAGAAACGCGATTTGCGTTAACACCAATCACCGAGCGGACTGTAGCTGCGACGACGGCTACCACGGAAACGGCTTCATCTACTGTGCTCTGGGTAATTGTTCCTTCTAATAGAACCTTCGTTAATTCAGTAGTCTTGAATATCCAATTGATACTGAAAAGCAATTTTTCAACTTATCTTTCAGAGGACGAGGGCAAAAACATTTGCCAGTACAACGAAGACTGTCCACCGAGCAAGTACTGTGACCGTCTGAACAGACTCTGCATAGATCCTTGTCTGGAGACGGACTGTGGTTCTAACGCAAACTGCTTACCCTTGAATCACCAAGCACAGTGCAAGTGCTTGCCAGGATACGAAGGCAATCCTCTCATCGGCTGCACGAAACTGTCCTCGGATCCGTGTGTTCCGAATCCTTGTGGGTTGGATGCAATGTGCGAGAACGACAATGGCAATCCGATCTGCTTCTGTCCTAAAGGTCTCACTGGGAATCCCTTCGAACATTGCAGTAAGTGTCTAGAATATGGTAGCGTCTTCCCATTCTTTTGACCGTAAATTTGACGAATATTCACTTCAGTTCCAGACGGTGACATGTGTCAAGGGAATCCCTGCGGAGTCAACTCCGGTTGCCGCGTGGTCGCGGGGAAAGTTAGGTGCTTCTGTCTGCCAGGGTACGAGGGAAATCCTCCTCAAGCTCCCTGCACGCTCCCGAACAATCCCTGTGAGCCGTCTCCGTGTGGACCCAACACACAGTGCACGATCCTCTCCAACGGTCTCTCGAAGTGCACCTGCTTGCCTGGCTACATCGAGACTCCCAACACTATCAGGGGATGTGGGCCTAAGTCTGACCAGTGCGATCCTAATCCTTGCGGACTCGGTGCAAAATGCGACGCGGACAGAGTACCGGCTTGTTACTGTCCTGAACATACGGTTGGAAATCCTTATCAGAGCTGTGCAGGTGTGTTAATGATAAGCAATAACATTGTAAATACTCCTCCAAAAATTGATGAAACAAAGCTGACTTCTCGTTATTCGCTTCCAGTACCGCCATCCGATATGCACGACCCTTGCTTGCTGATCCCCTGCGGTAAGAACGCCATTTGTTTCGCTGAAGACGGGGTTGCAAGGTGCAAATGCGTCCCACCGTACATCGGTAATCCGTACATCGATGGCTGCGAGGCCGAGTGTTTCGTGAATCAGGACTGCGACAGTCAACTGGCATGCTTCAATCAACACTGCAGAGACCCCTGCCCTGGCGTTTGCGGCGCCAACGCAAAATGCGAAGTAGACGACCACGTTCCAGTCTGTTCTTGTCTGCCTGGATACACCGGAGATCCGTTCGGCTCCTGCAAAATCGAAAAATCTCGTGAGTCTTCCTTACCATTAAATTCTCTTGATCCACGCGTAAACTAACATTGCAATTGACTCTTCTTTTAGCTCTTCCACCTCAGAATCCTTGCATGCCATCACCGTGCGGACCGCACAGCATCTGCCGCGTGATGAACGACCGCGCAGTTTGTTCTTGCAGTCCAGGATATCATGGAACACCACCATCTTGTCGTCCAGAGTGTCTGGTCAGCTCGGAATGTCCTGTGCACCTAGCCTGCATCGGCCAAAAATGCGGAGATCCTTGTTCCAGTTTGTGTGGTCAGAACGCTCTATGCCAAGTGATCAGTCACAACCCCATTTGTAGTTGTCCTCCCGAATATACCGGTGATCCGTTTACGCAGTGCGTCAAGGAAGGTAATGTATCTCCGTTTTCTCAATTCTTATGCAACATGAGTTTCTGGACAAGCTGGAAGATTCGCCTATATCTTTTTCGTTAGTCGTGCCGCTACCAGGACCGAAGAACCCTTGCGTACCTGCCCCCTGTGGCCCGAACGCAGACTGTCGCGTGCAGGAAGACCATCCTGTCTGCACATGCATCAGTGGAATGTTTGGGGCCCCACCAAATTGCAGACCGGAGTGTTTGATTCATCAGGACTGTCCAAACTATCTAGCGTGCGTCCAGAAGAAATGCGTGGATCCTTGCGCCGGGTCCTGTGGATTTAATACCAATTGTACCGTGCAGAATCATCGTCCTATGTGCCAGTGTTACCAGGACTACGAAGGGGATCCTTTCTCGGGGTGTAATAAAGGTAAGATCGTTAATCTACTCTTGCACTTGAGCAAGCAAAGTCCTCAGTTTTCTCATTTTTTTGTAATATAATACCTGTTATTTGTTGCACAGTTTCGTTCCCGGGGGCATTGCCGTGCGATCCATCTCCGTGTGGCGCGAACGCAGTCTGCAAGGAACGCAACGGAGCTGGCTCGTGCAGCTGCTTACCCGATTACACCGGAGATCCTTACGCAGGATGCAGACCGGAGTGCGTTCAAAATTCCGACTGCGTCCATACGAAGGCCTGCATAAACAACAAGTGCAAAGACCCGTGCGTGGGTGCTTGTGGAATAAACGCACAGTGTCAAGTGATCAACCATCAGCCTTCGTGCAGTTGTCTGTCTGGGTACACCGGAGATCCTCTCCAATCTTGCCATATATCGCCTGTAACACCGCTACCGGGTGATCCATGCCAACCTTCTCCCTGCGGTCCGTACAGCAACTGTCGCGTGATCGACAACCATGCAGTCTGTTCTTGTCAACCAGACTATGTTGGTAGCCCACCGCAATGTCGACCGGAGTGTGTGGTTAGCACCGACTGCGCCCAGAACACGGCGTGTATCACTCAGAAATGCAGGGATCCGTGTGTGGGCACATGTGGACAGAATGCTGATTGTCAGGTCATCAACCATAATCCAGTCTGTAGTTGCACGTCCGGATACACCGGTGATCCATTCTTCGGATGCGTAAAAGAACCGGAAGGCAAGCAGCCTGGAGGAGAACCAAGCGGCAACCCGTGCATCCCATCGCCGTGCGGATCTAATTCACAGTGTCGCGTAATAGACGGCTTCCCAGCCTGTTCTTGTCTACCAAACTACGTGGGCAGGGCTCCAAATTGTCGTCCAGAATGTGTCATCAACGAAGGATGTCCTGGAAACCTCGCCTGCCAGAACGAACAATGCGTGGATCCTTGTCCAGGATCCTGCGGCGTGAATACCTTCTGCAACGTTGTGAAACACAATCCCGTTTGCATCTGCAACGCTGGGTACACCGGAGATCCATTCACGGAGTGCGTGCACATAATGGAAGGTACGTACAATCATACTTTATCAAAATTCTTTCTGCAGGTTTCCTATTCATCATTTCCAGACTATCTATGAAACAATCTATTTTCTTCCTTAGAACCTACCACAACCGAACAACCTCGCACGCCATGCAACCCATCACCCTGCGGTGCAAATGCAATCTGCAACGAAAGAAATGGCGTGGGATCCTGCACGTGCTTGCCAGAATACGTCGGCGATCCTTACACAGGTTGCAGACCCGAATGCGTTACAAACGCCGATTGCGAACGAGATAAGGCTTGTCTTAATAACAAATGTGTCAACCCTTGCCCCGGAACTTGTGGACAGGGAGCTACTTGTCGAGTGGTTAACCACACGCCATCTTGCTCTTGTCTACCTGGTTACACCGGAGATCCGTTCAATTCCTGCACGGCGATAGTGGTAACGCCCGAACCGGTACCAGAGAATCCTTGCGAACCTTCACCCTGCGGACCCAACAGCAACTGTCGCGTGCACAATGAGCACGCAGTATGCCTGTGCCAGCCTGGATTCGTCGGAATACCACCTACCTGTCGTCCTGAATGCATCGTCAGCTCGGAATGTCCTCAGAACAAAGCGTGCATCGAGAACAAGTGCGCGGATCCTTGCCCAGGCTCTTGCGGAGTGAACACCAAATGCCTAACCGTGAACCATAATCCCATTTGCACTTGTGCCGCGGGCTACACGGGCAACCCGCTCGAGTATTGCGCGAGGTTCAACGTTTCCGACACTCCTTCGAAGGGCGCTGGTAATCCGTGCTCTCCGAATCCTTGCGGACCGAATTCCCAGTGCAAGGTAATCGGTTCTCAGCCTGCTTGCTCGTGTCTACTGAACTACATTGGACGTCCACCGAACTGTAGACCCGAATGTACTGACAACTCTGACTGTTTCCACTCGGCGGCCTGTGTGGATCAACGATGCAAGAATCCTTGCCCGGGAGCATGCGGCGAACTGGCGAAGTGTACGGTTCAAAATCACGTACCGATTTGTACCTGCCCCGAGGGTTACGAGGGCGACGCTGCTATCCGCTGCGTCCTGGCGCCTCCTCCAAGTAAGTTTTTATTTTAAATTGTGTTTCTGGATTCTCTTGGAACTAATCCCATTTGGTTTCTTTTTGTTTAGCGACAGATATAAGCATGGTTAATCCTTGTTCACCGAATCCTTGCGGTCCAAACGCGCAGTGTCGCGAGAGGAACGGTGCAGGAGCGTGTGCTTGTCCCCCAGACCTTATCGGAGACCCCTACGATAACGAGAAAGGATGCCACAGGGAATGCGAATCGAACAACGACTGTGCTCCGCAATTGGCTTGCGTCGGATTCAAGTGTTCCGATCCTTGTCCTAGTACTTGCGGCATGTTGTCAATTTGTAACGTCCAGCAACACGTTCCTATGTGCACGTGTCCCCCTGGATATACCGGAGACCCGTACTTTGCTTGTGAAATCAAAGAAATGACCAGTAAGTCTCATTCTGCATTTTCAGTATTCATGTTAAACGATTCTAACTTCAGTTATATGAATGTTTGTATCCCTAAATGTATCTTCAGGAGTACCTCCATCGGATCCATGCTCGCCATCGCCCTGCGGACCCAACAGTAAGTGCCGGGAAGTAAACAGCCAGGCAGTGTGCACGTGTCTTCCAGAGTACAGAGGAATCCCACCAAACTGCAGACCCGAATGCGTGGTGAACGCCGAGTGCCCGCTTCATCTTACCTGCCTGAACAAGAAATGTGCAGATCCTTGCCCGAACACCTGCGGATTGAGAGCACAGTGTACCACCAAGAACCATAATCCGATTTGCACGTGTCCTGTGGGCTTCACTGGCGATCCTTTCACTCAGTGTTCGCCTATCAGTAAGACTGCTGCTTAAATTGTCTTGATATTTTTTAAACCAAGTTCAAGCATTCAATCACACTTGTTCTACCTTGCAGTTTACGACGTCACCTCCAGCACAGAGCGGCCACCATCTTGTACACCATCACCCTGTGGTCCGAACTCCTTGTGCCAAATCATATCCGGAAACCCTGCATGTTCTTGTCTGCCTAATTACACCGGCGTTCCTCCAGAGTGCAGACCAGAGTGCATTTTAAGCTCCGAGTGCAAGAGTCATCTGGCATGTGTCAATCAGAAGTGTCAAGATCCCTGCCCGGGCTCCTGCGGCGTCAACGCTCAGTGCCACGTTCTGAATCACATACCAGTTTGCACGTGCATGGAAAGCTTCACTGGAAATCCTTTCACGCAGTGCACAGTAATTCCTCCAAGTAAGAAAATGTGGATTTGTATGTACTCGCATCTTTCGAATCGTTAAAAAGGTCGATATGTGATTTTTAATCTTTTTCTAGCCACGGTGCCGCCAGTAAGTGATCCGTGCAGTCCATCGCCCTGCGGACCGAACGCCATATGCAGAAACGGCGACTGCGAATGTCTCTCAGAGTACATAGGCAATCCGTACGAAGCGTGTCGTCCAGAATGCGTTTTGAACTTAGAGTGCCCACGCGACAAAACCTGTCTGAGAAACAAATGCAAGGATCCTTGTCCTGGAACGTGTGGTCAAAACGCCGTCTGCGACGTCGTGAACCACATACCTAGCTGCTCTTGTCCGCCTGGATACGTCGGAGATCCGTTCGTCAGCTGTCGTATCCAGCCACAAGTACCCCATACATCTAAGGATCCGTGCACGCCCGTGTCACCCTGCGGGCCGAACAGTCAGTGTCGCAACGTGGAAGATCATGCCGTGTGTTCTTGTCTTCAAGGATACCTCGGTTCTCCACCCTCGTGTAGGCCAGAGTGTGTTGTGAGCTCGGAGTGCCCGCCAACGCGCGCCTGTGTAAACAAGAAGTGTACAGATCCTTGCTTGGGATCTTGTGGCTTGAATGCGAGATGCGAAGTGATCAATCATTCGCCAATCTGCAGTTGTCTACCTGGCCAAACGGGAGATCCTTTCAAGAGCTGTTACGACGTTCCAGGTAAGGGGCTTTATTATTAAATTAAATATATCGACGCTGTAATCCAATGGAATATGTAATGGTTACTTTTTACAGATGTGCCGGACGGCAAAGACACTGGAGATCCTTGTAGCCCGTCACCCTGCGGACCAAACGCTCAGTGCCAGGATGCAAACGGTTATCCATCGTGTTCTTGCCTTCCCTCGTACATAGGCACCCCGCCATCGTGTCGCCCAGAGTGTCTGATCAATCCTGATTGCCCGTCCGACAAGGCGTGCATAAACTCAAAGTGCACGGACCCCTGTCCGGGATCCTGCGCGGAGAACGCCAAGTGCATCGTCGTTAATCATGCTGTCGTGTGCTCGTGCACAACCGGTTACACCGGAAATCCATTCGTCCAGTGCATCGAACTAGAAGGTAACGTGATTTTCTGAAATTTAGTTTACAACCTGATAGATAAACAAATTTTTGGACCTTCATACTCTACGTTACAGAAGAAGCTATTAATCCCTGTGAGCCCTCGCCCTGTGGTCCAAACGCAATCTGCCAACAACGGGACAACGTGGGCGCGTGCATCTGCATCGACGACTATCATGGCAACCCTTACGAAGGGTGTCAACCAGAGTGCATTCTCAGCTCCGACTGTCCAACGAACAAAGCCTGCGTCCGCTATAAATGCGAGGATCCTTGTCCGGGCATATGCGGCATTCAGGCTCAGTGTTCCGTCATCAACCACATTCCAACCTGCACCTGCGAACCTGGCTACATGGGGGATCCTTTCACAATTTGCACACCGCCCCTGATCACGGATACGGAACCAACCGTGACGGACCCATGCAATCCATCGCCTTGCGGGCCCAACAGTTTGTGCAGAGCTGTCAACGAACAGGCCGTCTGCACCTGCCAGGAGTCCTACATCGGTTCACCTCCGAACTGCAGGCCCGAGTGCGTCGTGAACTCCGAGTGTCCTCAGAACAGAGCGTGTTACAAATACAAGTGCACGGACCCGTGCCCTGGAACATGCGGAGTGAGTGCCAATTGTCGCGTGATCAACCACAATCCACTGTGTAGCTGCTCGCAGGGCACCACGGGAGATCCTTTCTCCAGGTGTTACCCTCAAACAGGTGGGTGACTTTAATAACGCGAGGGAGCAGAGTCACAAATTGAGCAAGTGAACTAGCTTTTACACATCGTTTTGTCTTTTAGTTGCGCCAGTCCCACCGATCGGCGACCCCTGCACACCGAGCCCATGCGGTCTTTACGCAGAGTGCAGGGCAATTGGCGACCAAGCAGCTTGCTCTTGTTTGAAGAACTACATAGGTCTGCCGCCCAACTGTAGACCCGAGTGCGTTGTCAACACCGATTGTGCATCGAATCAAGCGTGCATCTCTGAGAAATGTCGAGATCCTTGCGTCGGATCGTGCGGTCAGAGCGCAGACTGTCGTGTACAGAACCATATTCCTGTTTGCCTTTGTCAAACGGGATACACCGGTGATCCTTTCACGCTGTGTACACAGATAATGGGTATCTATCTAACTCACTTCTGTAATTCAACCTACATCACTTGTTATACAAATAAGGCTCATGATGTACGTCCTTTACTTTCTAGAACAACCGAGAGTACCCGAGGATCTGTGCAACCCATCTCCTTGCGGACCTAACGCAGAATGCGACGAGGGTAACTGTAGGTGTCTTCCGAACTACTTCGGTGATCCTTTCTCGTACTGTCGTCCGGAGTGTACCATGAACTCAGACTGCTCCAGAGCGAAAGCATGCGTGAATCATTACTGCCTAGATCCTTGCGTTGGCACCTGTGGAACCAATGCACGCTGCGACGTTGTTAATCATATCCCAATGTGCAGCTGCCCTCCCGGAAATACCGGGGATCCTTTCACCCTTTGTCGGCCACACCTGATAGACGGTGAGTCTATTTTTTATAGGCTAACTAATGATTCAATAGAGTATTAAATTATAAATATATATTTAACGTTTCCAGAACCCAGGAAACAGCCATGCACTCCATCTCCTTGCGGAGCGAACAGTGTTTGCAAAGTAGTGAACGATCACGCGGTCTGCTCGTGTCAACCTGGACTAATAGGCAGTCCACCAGCCTGCAGACCAGAATGTGTGGTCAGCGCAGATTGTCCATTGACGCAAGCGTGTCTTGGCAACAAGTGTCAGGATCCGTGTCCGGGCACTTGTGGTCAGAACTCCAAGTGCCAAGTGGTCAATCACAATCCGATATGCATCTGCTACGAAGGACACACCGGTGATCCGTTCACCAGGTGTTACCCAATGCCCAGTGAGTGGAACAACACGTATTATACCACTGAAATATAAGACGTCTGTAAATCATTCTGTAAACTCATGAAATTTAATATCCTCGTCGCAGGGGAGCCACCGAAGCCGACGAACCCTTGCCAACCATCCCCTTGCGGACCGAACGCGGAGTGCCAAGTGAGGAGCGACAGTCCAGCCTGTTCGTGTATACAAAATTACATCGGTGTGCCACCGAATTGCAGACCCGAGTGTACGATAAACCCGGAGTGTCCGCCGCATTTAGCGTGTATGCAACAAAAGTGTCGCGATCCGTGTGTCGGTCTGTGCGGTTCGAACGCTCGTTGCTCGGTAGTTAATCACAACGCGGTGTGCGCGTGCGCCGAAGGTTACACCGGAAATCCGTTCAGCGTTTGCGAGCCGGTCGCCAAGGGTGAGTACTCACCGCAAGAAACTTGCTGTCGTATTACTTTCTCTCGTTGCAAAATTCGCCGTTTGCATGCGGGCGACGCAGGTAAGTGCTTGTTCGTTTCATAACGCGAATCATCGACTCCACCCTAACCCAAAGCCATACTCTCGTCGACGAAAGAACGAGAGATAACATTAAGAGAGGCCCAATAAAAACCGGTGACAAAGCGTCATCGTGGTGGCCGGGGCCTTAGAAATTAGAAATCGCACTCATGTACGAATGAAAATCAATAATAACGAATCATCCACCCCCCAACCCCTGCGATTAACGAGATGATCGAGAGGAGCACGCCTTTATTTACCTCATGCGTACTACCCATGAATGAAATAACCGTATTGTGAAATGAAATGGTGGCGGGGCCTATGGAGTATATAGGCTCTTAATTGCACTCACCCTCTGACAGATATGCGATAACCGTACACACCCTTGTAAGACGAATAATGCACGCATTGATCATTCCCAACCAAGGATATTGCTTCGAGAATCACGTTTAGAGGAGCACCCTAGATCTACAATGTCCTACGTCCCTGCGAAAAACACCCTCATAGAAAAACTGGACACGGAAGCATTAACCCCTAAATACGTTGTGCCGGCTTATTACACCCTCCGTTGTGTATAGATTTAGACACGCTTACAAGTACCTTGCCCTGACCCTGAAAACACGCTTACGCATTGAAAAGTACTCTCCGACCATAACGTCCCCTAATGATACTCACCCCTAACGTGACACGACCCAAAAATCCACCCCATGATACCCTAACAATCAAACCTGCCAGCGTGACCACGATCGAATGGATCCAAATTGGCTGAAAGATCAGCTTCCGCTTAAATCATTCGTCGCAACATCGCACGAGGCTGATCCCGACGATGTAGCGCAAGAGACATATGCTGCACAAGCTTTTCCGACCGACCACCGCTGCATGATCGATTATGTTTAAGTGACCGTGTTTCTCTTTCCATCAGATGTACCCTTAGACCTTAGGAAACCATGCGAGCCATCCCCATGCGGTACCAACGCGATCTGTCGCGAAAACAACGGCGTTGGTTCCTGTTCCTGTCCTCCGGACTACCTAGGCGACCCCTACGAAGGATGCAGACCCGAATGCACCCAAAATTCCGATTGCGCCAAGACGATGGCCTGCACGGGCCTAAAATGCAGAGACCCGTGCCCAGGAACCTGCGGATTGCAAGCCCGATGCGAAACGATCAATCACGTTCCAGTCTGTTCGTGTAACACTGGCTACACAGGCAACCCCTTCACCTATTGCTCCCCCGTCGTGTTCGATCGTAAGCTTTCATTTCCTATGAAATACTATCCGTTAGGACCAGTGATTGCAAAGATTCCGAAAACGACTGTTTGAAACTGTTACTGGTTTAGATTTTTAATACAAAGTTCTCCCCATACAGCTACCCCCATTGAGTCTGACCCGTGTAGTCCGTCCCCCTGTGGACCCAACAGTAAATGTCGAAACGTGAACGATCACGCTGTCTGTACCTGTCTCGCAAATTTCGTTGGAAATCCACCGAATTGTCGACCCGAGTGTGTGATGAACAGCGAATGCCCGTTGGACCTCGCGTGCATCAATCAAAAATGCACGCCCCCTTGCACGAACTCCTGCGGTATCAACACGCAGTGCAAAGTGATCAACCACAGTCCTATTTGCATCTGCAACCTTGGATACACCGGCGACCCGTTCACGAAATGCTTCCCCGCTCCACGTAAGGATATATCTATAGATATTTCTTCATCATTCCACGGTCGGTCTACGTCGTCCCAGTTATTCGCAATGACCATTCTTATGAATTTGTGGTCACTTTACAGGGCTAAGAAACAACTTCTCGACAATTATAGGAATTTCTCCACTAAAATACGCGTTGTTTGCATTTTGAAAAATTAAAATCGTCCAATCCGTTTAGGAGTTATGACGTTTTAAACATATGCATGAAATTTCAGGGGAAAATGTCATATATGGTCAGGCATTGTATTTTCGGTAAAGAATTTTTTTCTCGAAAGTGGGTAGGATTTCGGAGGTAAGTCTATTGACCAAAAATGGTTGTAATTGACCCCTACAGTCGAAAATAATTTTTCTAGAACGATTAGAAATTTTTTTTTCGCCGAAAAATTTAGGCACCTACCTTGTCGATTTTTCTTAAAAATTCGTTTTTTATTTTTAATAAATTTGTTTGACACTCTACAGAAAAGTTGTCTAAAACTTTTTTGTAGGTGCCCATTAGCTCTACTTCAGAAAAAAGTTTCATTGAAATATATTCACTATTATAGAAGTTATGGCTATTTGAATATTGGACTATTTTTATGAGATTTTTCTTACTTTACGGGGTCAAGGAACAACTTTTCCAATATTTTTGGAATTTCTACATACTTTCCATTAAAATACGCGTCGTTTGCCTTTTTAAACATTACAATCCTCCAATTCGTTCAGAAGTTATGATATTTTAAAGATTCGTATGAAAATTCGGGCAAACATTTTGGCCTCACATTAGATTTTCGGTAAGGAATTTTTTTCTCGTAAATGCGTAGGATTTCGGGGGTACGTGTAATGACCAAAAATGATTGTAATCGACCCTGCAACTGAAAATAATTTTTTTAGAACTATTTGAAAAATTTTAATTTCACTGCAAAATTTGCCCACCTACTCGAATTTTTTTCTCGAAAGTGGATAGGATTTCAAGGGTATGCCTAATGACCAAAAATGATTGTACTTGACCCCCGCAACCGAAAATAATTTTTCCAGAAGGATTTGAAATTTTTTCTTTTCGCCGAAAAACTTGGGCACCTAACCCTGTCGATTTTTCTTAAAAATTCGTTTTTGATTTTTAGTAATTTTGTTTGACGCCCTATAGAAAAGTTATCTAATACTTTTTTGTAGGTACCCATGAGCCCTATTTTAGACAAAAGTTTCATTGAAATAAATTCACTACTGTAGGAGTTATGGCTGTTTGAATATTGGACCAGTTTTATGGGGTTTTTCTCATTTTACGGGGTTATGGAACAACTTTTCGAATATTCTTACAATTTCTACATATTCTACACTAAAATACGCGTTGTTTGCCGCTTGAAACATTAAAATCGTTCTATCGGTTCAGGAGTTATGATGTTTTGAAGATACGCATGAAATTTTAGGGAACGATTTCTGGTCTCACATTAGATTTTCGGTAAGGAACTTTTTTCTCGAATTTGAATAGGATTTTGGGGGTATGTGTATTCATCAGAAATGATTGTAATGGACCCCTGCAACTAGAAATAATTTTTTCAGGACGACTTGAAATTTATTTTTTGCCGAAAAATTTAGGCACCTACACCCTGTCGATTTTTCTTAAAAATTCGTTTTCGGTGATAAATATATTTGTTTGCCGCTCTACGTATTACTCATAATTAGTATATTCATCATCTTCAGAATACCTTCAGAATTGATCGACTCTGGAGAAGAAATAATCTTGCAATCGAATTACAGAACCAACCCCGAACGACAACTCTCTAGCCCCGATAGATCCCTGCGTGCCGTCACCCTGTGGCATGTACGCGGAGTGCAGGAGTATCGGTGGTACCCCATCCTGTTCCTGCTTGCCCAGATACGTTGGATCCCCGCCAAATTGCCGACCAGAGTGTCGTGTGAACTCCGACTGTCCCATGAGTCTCGCGTGCAGCAGCGAGAAGTGCAGGAATCCTTGCTTAGGCTCCTGCGGCGTCACGTCGTTGTGCTCGGTGTACAACCACGTGCCCGTGTGCACGTGCCCCGAGGGATACACCGGGGATCCCTTCAGCAACTGTCATCCAGCCCCGACCGAGCCACGTAAGAAGCCTGCAGATTCCCGTACAAGACATATTCGACGCCATAGTCTTTGTAAACAGGGTGGATCACTTAAATAACTTCCGTGATTGTAAAGATTGTTTTCATGTCCTTTGAAATAGTCCAACTTTGATAGGGCCTTAAATATATTTAGTTGATCCATTTTGTATAGCTCGAAACGACCCAGTTATTACTTCAATATTTGGCTGACAAATTAGCTAGAAACTAGATCGTTCGTTTCTTCCGCAGCTGAACCAGTTGTCACTGATCCTTGCGCGTCGACACCCTGTGGCTCGAACGCGCGCTGCGATAATGGTTTGTGCACCTGTTTGGCGGAGTTTCAGGGCGACCCCTACGTGGGCTGTCGCCCCGAGTGCGTGTTGAACACGGATTGTCCTCAGAATCGTGCCTGCGTGAGGAACAGGTGCGCTGATCCTTGCCCAGGCACGTGCGGCCATAACGCCCTGTGCCTCGTGTACAACCACGTGCCCATGTGCAGCTGCCCTAGCGGAATGGAAGGCAACGCTTTCGTTCAATGCATCGCCCTTCGAGGTATCTGTTCCTTCTTTAAACCCTCTATCGCATGTTTTATTTTTCGGAAAGTCATTCAAAGAACAGAGGGTTCGTTGTTCTAAATTCCCGTTGCAACAATCACAGATCCCGTGCAGAGGAACCCTTGTTCGCCCTCGCCCTGCGGACCCAATAGTGCGTGTCGAGAGATCAACGAGCAGCCAGTGTGTTCCTGTGTAGCAGGATTTCTTGGTGTGCCGCCTGCTTGCAGACCAGAGTGCACAGTCAGTTCCGACTGTCCCCTAACGGAAGCGTGTAGCAATCAGAGATGCATAAACCCCTGTCCCGGTACCTGTGGCTTCAGAGCCGTCTGCAACGTCGTTAATCACAATCCCATATGCAGCTGCTCGCCAGGACTCTCTGGCGATCCTTTCGTCCAATGCACGCTGGAACGTAAGACCCAACGTTTGGAGATTTCTTAATGGAACTGAACGGAGGATCCGATCCTGACGATAACCGATCCTGTCTTTTTAGCGATTGGCCGCCCGATAGAGAATCCCTGCGATCCTTCTCCGTGTGGACCCAACGCTCAATGTCGAGTCGTTAACGACGCACCCTCGTGCTCGTGTTTGCCGGAATTCATGGGAGTCCCTCCGAATTGCAAGCCCGAGTGTATCAGCAACAGCGAGTGTCCGAGTCAGTTGGCCTGCGTGAACCGGAAATGCAGGGATCCTTGCCCCGGTTCCTGCGGCGCGAACGCAGAGTGTCGTGTTGTTAGTCACACACCGATGTGCGTGTGTCCCGGAGACTACACTGGCGATCCTTTCACTCAGTGCACCCCTAAACCACGTACGAATCGAGGAATATTTTAATTCAACGTCCAATCGACTCTGTATTCAACTTTGACTGATCGATCTTCACTCTTTTAGCCGTCCCAGTCTATCTTTCCCCGTGCAAACCGTCGCCCTGCGGTTTCAACGCGATGTGCAAAGAACAAAACGGCGTCGGTTCCTGCTCCTGTCTGCCCGATTACATCGGAAATCCTTACGAAGGTTGTCGACCAGAGTGCGTGATCGACACGGACTGTCCCTCGACCTTGAGCTGTATTCGCTCCAAGTGCCAGGACCCTTGCCCGGGCACTTGCGGTATTAACACCGAATGCCAGGTTATCAATCATCGTCCCGCGTGCACTTGCATCTCTGGGTACAGTGGAAATCCCTTCCAATACTGTACCTTGATTCGTGATATAGGTATTGTACTTGATCAGCCAATATTTCTAATTGTATTCGTGCCGGAGAAGATACTGAAAGTAATCTAAAACCCCGTAGAGGACCAAACGCAATACAAGGACCCGTGCAACCCATCGCCCTGCGGACCAAACAGTCAATGTCGCGTGGTGAACGAACAGGGAGTGTGTTCCTGTCTACCAGAGTACACAGGTTCACCACCTATGTGTCGTCCCGAGTGTGTCCTGAACTCTGAGTGCCCTGACAACCGAGCTTGCGTTAACCGGAAATGCGTGGATCCATGTACCAGTTCGTGTGGCACGTTCGCCACCTGCGTGGTCAGGAACCACAGTCCAATCTGTGCTTGCAGAAACTCGTACACTGGAGATCCATTCACTAGATGCTTCCCTGTTCCACGTAAGACACCCTTCAAACACATTCGAAGCAATTAGAAGCATAGGGGTTTCCAATAAAAGGGATACAACTTTGATATGAAATGAAATGAATGATATTTACTTTATGATTGTTAATAATTTGCAAAAGTTCTATGGTTCCTATTGGAAAGCCCTATAATTAAAAGTTGTCGGAAACGTTCCTCAACTTGTTACTTGTCTTTTCAGCATCCCTGCCTCCTTCGACAGTAGAAACGTCGCAACCTTGTTTCCCTTCCCCGTGCGGTCCGTACTCCGAATGCCGTGTGGTAAACGGAGGTCCATCCTGTCAGTGTTTGCCCGAGTATAGCGGAAGTCCTCCCAACTGTAGACCAGAATGCACTATCAATTCCGACTGTCCCAGCAACAGAGCTTGCATCAGACAGAAGTGTGCGGATCCCTGTTTAGGGTCTTGCGGAGTAGGGACCCAGTGCAACGTGTTCAATCATGTGCCCATGTGCACGTGCGTCGAGGGATACACTGGAGACCCATTCAACAACTGTTACCCGACACCACCGCAGTGTAAGAGCCCCCATTCTCTTCTCAAACGAATCCAAAGTATAGTTTTTAGTGTTGAGACTTTATGGCGTGGGCCACAAGCATTGCAGCTAGTATCAATTTCTTTTGAACCCTGATGAATCTGGCTGCAATCTTTGCAAACGTTGAAACAATTTCTCCAAAAGAACATGGTCCACACCCTATAATCTTGACAGAGAAACTGTTCTATTTTGGATCCTGATGACCTGCATAAATTTTTACAGTACCGCCTCCCGAAACTGATCCTTGCAATCCGTCGCCCTGCGGACCAAACGCTCAGTGCAACGCAGGAGCGTGCACCTGTTTGCCAGATTATCAGGGCGATCCCTACACCAGCTGTCGCCCTGAATGCGTCCTGAACAGCGACTGTGCTCAGAACAGAGCTTGCGTTCGCAACAAGTGCGTGGATCCTTGTTCGGGCACTTGCGGTAGAGATGCTATATGCAATGTCCTGAATCATGTGCCTATGTGCAGTTGCCCAGCCGAAATGTCTGGTAACGCGTTCATATCTTGCGACAGAATCGAAGGTACGAAATTTAGAGCTAGAGGAATCCTTTTGCAAACTTGGGGCTGTAAGATCTGATGAATATTTCCGTTGATTTAGAACCAGTTCAAGCAAATCCTTGTAATCCGTCTCCCTGTGGACCCAACAGTCAGTGCCGAGCTATAAACGGTCAAGGAGTATGCTCCTGCGTACCAGGATATCTTGGTAGTCCGCCTAGTTGCAGGCCAGAGTGTGTAGTTAGTTCAGATTGTCCCAGAAGTCAGGCCTGCAACAACCAAAAGTGCATCGATCCTTGTTCTGGTACCTGTGGCCTCAAGGCCCTCTGTCAAGTTGTTAATCATAACCCTGTGTGCAGCTGTCCCTCGGGTTTCACAGGCGATCCGTTCACTAGATGCCAACCCATTCGTAAGAATCTTGTTATTATACTCTGTGATAATTTTGCGCTTGACAATTTCAATTCACGTTCAATATCGACTTTTCCATATCCTTTGTAGCTGCGAGTGTTCCAACGGAAGATACGTGCGCTTCTTGCCAATGCGGTCCGAATTCCGTTTACCAAACGATCAACGGTCAACCATCTTGCGCCTGTCTGCCCGATTTTATCGGTTCCCCGCCAAACTGTAGGCCAGAGTGCGTGAGCAACAGCGAATGTTCCAGCCATTTAGCATGCATCAATAGAAAATGTCGAGACCCTTGTCCCGGCTCGTGTGGTTCCAACGCTGAATGCCGCGTGGTCAGTCACACACCAATGTGCGGTTGCCTCAGTGGCTACACAGGCGACCCATTCACGCAGTGTGCACTCAAACGACGTAAGATCCAAACACATGTACCTTCAAAACTATTCACTATACACGAGAACAAAGTAGTCTCCTTGGGGTACTGACTCAATTTGCTAGAAACTTGGTATCCTGTAATATTGTTCGCGGTGATTAAGCCTTAATCCTTTGCGGTCCGAAACTGTTTGTATTCTAATATTCTATTTGTACCACAATTGTATAATTAAATGTAGTTTCTGATCTTAATATTACTAGTAAAAGCGACGTAGGACCGGAAAGGGTTGATAATCCATCGAACCTGGATATTTTAGTAGTTGTTGCATTAACCCTGTGGGGAACGAAGGGTCTTGGTGTGGTGGTAAAGCTAACCTTTCACCCTGTGAACCCTTTTTTAGCCGAAAGCGAACCCACGTTGCTGTCCCCGTGTGTACCATCACCTTGCGGCCCTAACGCGATATGTAAAGAACAAAACGGAGCAGGTTCCTGTTCCTGTGCCCAGGATTACTTAGGAAACCCGTACGAAGGATGTCGACCAGAATGCACGGTAAATTCCGACTGCCCCTCGAACCTGGCCTGCATAAGATCGAAGTGCCAGAACCCCTGTCCCGGCACCTGTGGTCAGAACGCGGATTGCGCGGTGATAAATCACTTGCCAAGTTGCACTTGCCTGGCCGGATACACCGGGGACCCCTTCCTTAATTGCAACCTCCAGCCGCAGATCCGTAAGTCTCAATATAAATGTCGTCAATCATCATCGCCATCACCGAACGCCTCGTTAGAGAAGATAACGTTAGACACGCTTCATTATAACCAATCAACGTTCCATCCGTAAGCGGTATATGCCATTAACCCAAACTAATCCCTACGAACGAGTAACGCTGATACATTTAGATTAGTGAGTGGTTAAACGATGTTGACCGAAATGTTTACCACTTGCAGCCCTCGAAGCAGAAAATCCTTGTAACCCGTCGCCGTGCGGACCCAACAGCCTGTGCCACGTAACGAACGGCCAGGCTGTCTGCTCCTGCTATCGCGATTACGTAGGAAGTCCACCAGGATGCCGACCGGAATGTGTCGTCAGCTCAGAATGTCCCTCGAACCAAGCTTGCGTCGGTCAGAAATGCCTCGACCCTTGTCCTGGCCGCTGTGGTACCAACACAGACTGCAGGGTCGTAAACCACAGTCCTATCTGTGTTTGCAAGCTGGACTTCACCGGGGACCCCTTCACCAGATGCTTCCCGACGCCAAGTAAGAGGAACACCGACACCCTGATTAAGTTAAAGATTAGGGACTCGAACGAAACCTATCTTTGCGTGTCACTCAAGTCCCCAACTTGCATTGAAGCGTGTAATTGGACCATATTAGAGTAAATTATTTTCAGAACCATTGCCAGCGCCCGTTGAAAACCCCTGTGTACCATCACCCTGTGGCCCTTACTCGGAATGCCGCGACATAGGAGGCTCTCCCTCCTGTACCTGTTTACCAAATTACACGGGCGGCCCGCCAAATTGTAGACCGGAATGTACGATAAATCCTGATTGCCCCAGCAACAGAGCTTGCATGAGGGAAAAATGCAGAGACCCCTGTCCGGGCTCTTGCGGCATCGGTGCAATGTGCAACACGATCCAGCACATTCCGACTTGCGTTTGTCCCGAAGGTTTCACAGGAGATCCGTTCACTAGTTGTCAACCAGTACCACCTCCATGTAAGACTTTTACACCGTGTCTTTTTAATAATTTAATCAATACTGACAGAACTTTACGGTCTTCGACATCTTTTCGAGTCACTATAATCAACTTGAAATCACTTTGCAGCGTTAGATGTCCCGTCAGACCCTTGCAACCCCTCGCCCTGTGGCACGAACGCGGAGTGCAATAACGGTCTGTGTAGCTGTCCTTCCGGTTACGTGGGAAGTCCGTACGAGCTCTGTCAACCCGAGTGCGTAACCAACGACCATTGTCCCTTCAACAGAGCTTGCGTTCGCAACAAATGCACGGACCCTTGTATCGGAACCTGCGGCCAAAATGCGGTCTGCAACGTTTACGACCACGTTCCCATGTGCAGTTGCCCGCCTGGAATGTCTGGAAACGCATTTGTACTCTGCTCCGTATTACGAGGTGGATATCCTCTAACGATTCGCTCGAAACTTCCTTCGGGTTCCCCTTACTTAATGGATTTAATGCTCCGTTCGTAGAACCGCTACCTCAGGATCCTTGCAGACCCTCCCCTTGTGGCTCTAACAGTCAGTGTCGCGTCGTAAATGGCCAGGCTGTCTGCAGTTGCGTACAAGGATACCAAGGAACTCCGCCATCTTGCAGGCCCGAATGCTTGGTCAGCTCCGACTGTCCGCGTAATCTAGCTTGCAGCAATCAGAAATGCATAGATCCTTGCCTAGGTACCTGCGGTCTGAGGACTCAGTGTCAAGTTGTCGGTCACAATCCGATTTGCAGTTGTCTTCCGAGATACTCTGGGGATCCTTTCACCAGATGCGACCCGATAAGTAAGAAAATCTTCGAGAATAGTCGTTTCATCTGCAATTGATCGACACAATTTCGAATTCTCAACTTTGTCCAACAGTCGAGACACCGATCGAGCCTGTAAATCCGTGTCAACCGTCTCCCTGCGGACCAAACGCACTGTGTCGCGTGGTGAACGATTCGCCATCTTGCACATGCTTGCCCGATTTCATTGGAGCGCCTCCCAGTTGCAGGCCAGAATGTGTCAGCAACAGCGAGTGCTCGGGAAATCTTGCTTGCATGAACCAAAAGTGCAGGGACCCTTGTCCCGGCGCTTGCGGTTCGAACACGGAATGTCGAGTCGTGAGTCACACGCCGATGTGCGTTTGCATCAACGGATACACTGGAGATCCCTTCACCCAGTGCTCCATCCAACAACGTAAGACACGCTATAGACAGCTCAAACGGAGTCAAACCACGCTGTATATTATCTAGCCAACCTATAGTCGGAATTTCTATTACAACACGAACTAATGTTTAATTGTAGCAATGATCGTCGAAAATGAATCGCCCTGCATACCGTCACCCTGTGGAGCAAACGCTGTCTGCAAAGAGCAAAACGGTGCGGGCTCTTGCACCTGCTTGCAAGACTATATAGGAAATCCTTACGACGGATGTCGACCCGAGTGTGTCGTCAACTCCGATTGCGTATCAAATATGGCGTGCGTTCGGTCCAAGTGTCAGGATCCCTGTCCAGGCACCTGCGGTCAGAACGCCGTTTGCCAAGTGATCAATCATTCTCCTGCATGCTCGTGCATGCCTGAATTCACTGGCGATCCGTTCAGATTCTGCAGCCCTATTTTATCGACGGGTAATCAAGCCATTTCTTCAAATCAAAATGAGTTTTCCTTCGCTCTTTTTCTCGAAGCAGCATTGACCCTTTCGTTATTTCAAATTAGAACCAGTTGCCACGGACCCATGCAATCCATCCCGATGCGGACCAAACAGTCAATGTAACGTAGTCAACGGGCAGCCAGTTTGCGCTTGTTTGCCAGAGTATATCGGAACTCCGCCTGGATGTCGCCCTGAGTGCGCGATGAGCTCTGAGTGCCCTGCTAACAGGGCTTGCGTGAACAACAAGTGCATCAATCCGTGCCCACAGCCTTGTGGCTCGAACACCAATTGCAGAGTTTTAAATCACAGTCCGGTTTGCAGTTGCAAGCAAGGCTACACGGGAGATCCGTTCAGTAGATGTTTCCCCATGCCAAGTAAGCTCGATAGAAGGTCTCCATTGGCGTTTTCCAAACGTGTTCGATTCAGGTGACGAGACGTTCCTTTTCAGAACCTCTACCTGGTCCGGTCGTTCAGAATCCTTGCGTACCATCGCCGTGCGGACCTTACGCGGAGTGTCGTGACATTGGCGGAGCGCCATCTTGTTCTTGTCTCGCGTCTTACATCGGTAGCCCGCCTAACTGTAGACCCGAGTGCACCGTCAATTCCGATTGCCCCAGTAATCAGGCCTGCATAAACCAAAAATGCAGAGATCCCTGCCCTGGGTCCTGCGGATCATCAGCCACCTGTAACGTCATCAACCACACACCATCTTGCGTTTGCCCTGTAGATTTCACGGGCGATCCGTTCACGAACTGTTACCCGAAACGTAAGCACCAAATCCTCCAGGGTCTGTTTACTAGCATATATTTCAACTCCGTGCTAGAATCTGACGCGATCTTTCCTAACATACAGCGATCGAGGAACCAGTAAGACCTGCGGACCCCTGCAATCCTTCACCTTGCGGCGCAAACGCCTTGTGCGCGGACGGCAGCTGTTCTTGCTTGCCGGAATATCAGGGCGATCCTTACACCGGTTGTCGACCAGAATGTGTCCTAAATAGCGACTGTCCCACTTCTCGAGCTTGCATTCGCAACAAGTGCACGGACCCATGTCCGGGAACTTGCGGTCAGAACGCACAGTGCAACGTCTACAACCACATACCTATGTGTAGCTGCCTGCCTGGAATGACAGGGAACGCCTTCGTTTCTTGTCGTCCAAGCAGAGGTAGGTGTTACATTTAATAATTATTCTCATTAGAGGACCCCTGACTTTCACTTTTGCCCGTTTTAGGACCGGAAGATCCCTGCAATCCATCTCCTTGTGGGCCCAACAGTCTTTGTCGCATAGTTAACGAGCAAGCAGTGTGCACTTGCGTGGCCAGTTTCATTGGAACGCCGCCATCTTGCAGACCCGAGTGTAGTGTCAGCTCCGACTGTCTAAAGACTCAAGCCTGCAGCAATCAGAAATGCGTTAACCCTTGCGCCGGGTCTTGCGGTATCAGGGCCCAGTGTCAAGTGACCAACCATAATCCCATATGCAGCTGCTCGGCAGGCTTTACCGGCGATCCTTTCGTCAGATGCGAGCCCCAACGTGAGACGAATTCTATTTCTCACATCATTTCGAAGTTTAGATCAGGATCGGACAAATATTGTTCACGAATAAAACTTTTAAACTCGCTGTCACAAGTTACATTCATTACATTCGTTGTCCGTAAATGGAATTTGCCCGACTCTGGTTTGGATGGTCGAATAACATTGTTACCAAGCGTTTGTCAATCTTGTTCCAGTGGAAGAACCACCAACCCCTGTCAATCCTTGCTATCCGTCACCTTGCGGACCTAACGCGTTCTGCCAAGTAGTAAATGACTCGCCCTCGTGTTCTTGTTTGCCCGAATTCGTCGGAGACCCGCCAAATTGTAGGCCTGAGTGTATCACCAACAGCGAATGCGCGAGTCAATTGGCTTGTATAAGAAACAAGTGTGGAGATCCTTGTCCTGGCTCCTGTGGTGCTAACGCCGACTGTCGAGTTGTAAGTCATACAGCCATGTGCGTGTGCGTGGTCGGTTTCGTCGGGGATCCCTTCACACAATGTGTCGAAAGACAACGTAAGATATCAACCTTCACAATTTGCCACAGGTTTCACCGAACGCGGATAATTCATTTTTTTTATATTTTAGCTGAAATACAACCTACCCTCTCCACCCCATGCACGCCGTCACCCTGTGGCTCGAACGCCATTTGCAAAGAGCAGAACGGAGTAGGTTCCTGTACGTGTTTGCCCGATTATATTGGCAACCCTTACGAGGGCTGTCGTCCAGAATGTGTCATAAATTCCGATTGCGTGTCCACTCGCGCTTGCATCCGGTCCAAATGCCAGGATCCGTGTCCAGGATCCTGTGGCACGAACGCCGAGTGTCAAGTTGTCAATCACCTGCCAACGTGCTCTTGTTTCCCTGGTTATACCGGCCAACCATACCAGTTCTGTCAGCCTATCGTTCCAGCCTGTGAGCACAGATTATTTCTTACTGAATTCATCATTCAGTGTTGCAGAGGATTAATCAGTGTTAAATTTTTCGTTTTCCTTTACCCCAGTCGACGAGAAGAGAGATCCATGTTCTCCATCACCGTGTGGACCGAACAGTAATTGTCGAGTCGTCAACGACCAGGCAGTCTGTTCCTGTATGCCAGAATATACTGGTTCCCCTCCAGGATGTCGACCAGAGTGCGTGGTCAGTTCTGAATGCCCGTCCAATCTAGCGTGCATTAATCAGAAGTGCAAGAATCCTTGTCCTGGACCATGCGGGCTCGACGCAGAGTGCAACGTTATTCATCATAGTCCAATCTGTGCCTGCAGACAAAAGTATACCGGTGATCCGTTTAGTCGATGTTTCCCAATGCCAGGTGAGAGAATAATCCCTGAAGATTTCTATATTAATCGATCACGATCTTCTTTCTAACTCTTTGCGAACTCTTTTTAGAACTTCCTCCGGCATTGTTACCTTCGAACCCATGTTCTCCTTCGCCCTGCGGTCAAAACGCAGAGTGTCGCGACATCAATGGCATATCTTCTTGCTCCTGTCTGCCAAATTACATCGGCAGCCCTCCCAGCTGCCGACCGGAGTGCACGGTGAACTCCGATTGTCCGCCGAATCAAGCTTGCACCAGGGAAAAGTGCAGAGACCCTTGCCCCGGTTCATGCGGCGTGTTTGCCCAATGCAACGTCTTGAATCATGTACCGATATGTAGCTGCATCGAGGGCTACACCGGTGATCCATTCAGTAACTGTTATCCAAAACCTCCACCACGTAAGGCATCAACTTTTGAATCCGAATCCTTCGAATCAGACCACTTTGTTCATTGCGATCTCTTTCTTTCCGATTTCTAGAACCAACAGTTTCCGACGATCCTTGCGATCCATCGCCGTGTGGGTCGAACACGGAGTGTAACAACGGTATCTGTACTTGCCTGTCAGAGTACAGGGGCGATCCTTACGCAGGGTGTCGACCCGAGTGTGTCATGAACTCGGATTGTTCTTTGAATCAGGCGTGCGTCCGTAATAAGTGTATCGATCCTTGCGTCGGCACCTGCGGACAGAATGCAATTTGCAACGTGTTCAACCACGTTCCAATGTGCAGTTGCGATCAAAGAATGACTGGAAATGCTTTCGTACTCTGTAGCCCAATTCAAGGTACCAACTGCTTAAAACAAGACAGTGGGATATCACCGTGGCGAGCTTTGACAATCTTTACCCGTTTGTACCCACAGAAATAACACCGGAAACGCCGTGCAATCCATCGCCTTGCGGTCAGAACAGCCTCTGTCGACCTGTCAATGGGCAAGCAGTCTGCACTTGTGTCCAGGGATACGTAGGAAGTCCTCCATCTTGTAGACCAGAATGTGTGGTCAGTTCAGACTGTCCCAGAAACGAAGCCTGTAGCAATCTGAAGTGCACGAACCCGTGTATAGGAAGCTGTGGCATTCGTACACAGTGTCAAGTCACAAATCATAATCCCATATGCAGCTGTCTTCCGGGATTGACGGGAGATCCGTTCGTCAAGTGTGATTCCATCAGTAAGGGCCTCTTTGGGTTTTAACGTGTCGAAGTACCAACCTTTTACAATAGATTGTATTATTATTAACTACATTTTAGTGGAGGTCAAACCTGAGGTCATAAACGTGTGCAAACCATCACCGTGTGGCCCCAACGCTCTGTGCCAAGTGGTAAACAATTCCCCGTCTTGCACTTGTATGCCCGGATTCGTGAACTCCCCGCCTAACTGTCGACCCGAGTGCATCAGCAACAGCGAGTGCGCGAGTCATCTAGCTTGCATAAATCAGAAGTGTAGGGACCCGTGTCCTGGTTCTTGCGGAGCAAACGCCGAGTGTCGCGTGGTGAGCCACACGCCGATGTGCGTCTGCTCCACCGGGTTCACCGGCGATCCGTTCACGCAGTGCGTCGTGTTCGACGAACGTAAGAAAATTTGATAGTCGAATTCTCTGACCGAAGGGATAACGCGAGCTTACTCTATTTCTTCCACCAGGATTACCTTCCCCGTGCACGCCATCCCCTTGCGGTTCGAACACCGTTTGCAAAGAGCAGGACGGCGTAGGTTCCTGCTCTTGTTTACCCGAATACATTGGCAATCCATACGAAGGATGTCGACCGGAGTGCACGGTTAGCTCCGACTGCCCTTCGAACCTCGCTTGTACTCGAAATAAGTGCCAGGACCCCTGCCCGGGCACCTGTGGACAGAATTCCGTGTGTCAAGTGATAAATCACTCGCCCACGTGCTCATGTAACACTGGCTACACCGGGGATCCCTTCAGATATTGTCAAATTGTGCGAGAACCTGGTAAAGTATATTCCTTCTTCTTAGTGTGCTACGATTTTTGGCTCATTCCGTGTAGATATTACATTAATTTTTTCTCCAGACATAGTCAGAGATCCAGCAGACCCCTGTATCCCGTCGCCTTGCGGGCCAAACAGTAAGTGTCGCGTAATTTCCGGAAACGCAGTCTGTTCTTGCCTCCCCGACTATACCGGAAGTCCTCCCTCGTGCCGTCCCGAGTGCGTGGTGAGCTCGGATTGTCCTTCGAACCGAGCCTGCGTGAATCAGAAGTGCGCGAATCCCTGTCCACAACCGTGTGGACAGAACACCAATTGTCTAGTCGTCAATCACAGTCCTATTTGTACCTGCAAAGACGGAAACACTGGCAACCCATTTACCAGGTGTTTCCCTCTTCCACGTAAGTCTTCTAATCTCTTAAACGGGTCTCAGAGACAATGGATAGTCATCTAATTCCTGTCGATTGATTCCGTAGCTCAATCAACGTTACCAGATCTACCTCAGAACCCCTGCGTACCCTCACCCTGTGGTCCATACTCCGAATGTCGGGATATCGGTGGTGCTCCGTCTTGTTCCTGCTTAGCTAATTATTTCGGTAGCCCACCGAACTGTAGACCGGAGTGTACCGTGAACTCGGATTGTCCCAGCGACAGGGCCTGCATAAGGCAGAGATGTACAGATCCTTGTCCTGGATCTTGCGGCGTGGCTGCAATGTGCACGGTTTTCAATCACGTGCCAATTTGCTCCTGTGTGGAAGGATTCACCGGCGATCCTTTCAGCAGCTGCTCCCCTGCGCCACGTAAGTGTACAGAGCCTTTCGTGCGGAGGTAATGGTGTTGAATTCGTACGGAGTTAGGTCGATTAACGTTCCATTTAAAAATTATAGCTGCTATACTGGTAGCCGAAGACCCCTGCAACCCATCGCCTTGCGGTTCGAATGCTCTGTGCAACGATGGCATTTGCACGTGTTTATCGGAGTTTCAAGGCGACCCTTACGTGGGTTGTCGACCAGAATGCGTCCTGAACACCGACTGCCCCCTGAACAGAGCTTGCCTCCGCAACAAGTGCGTGGATCCTTGCGTTGGAACTTGCGGTCAGAGTTCAATCTGTAACGTCTACAATCATGTGCCGATGTGCAGCTGTCCGATCGGAATGACAGGCAACGCGTTCGTATCTTGCACACCATTCAGAGGTATTCAAACAGGGTTCTATTGCATTGTTTAATGAGTCACAATAGAGTACTATAAGCTTTCAACCCCCGATCAGACCCAGTCGTGACCAATCCTTGCAACCCAACACCCTGTGGACCGAACAGTCAGTGCAGAGAAGTGAACGAGCAAGCCGTGTGCACTTGCATTCCGAGTTTCGTTGGTATCCCACCAACGTGCAGACCAGAATGCGTGGTGAGCACGGACTGCGGGCCAACGGAAGCTTGTATCAATCAGAAATGCAGCAATCCGTGTATCGGTTCGTGCGGTATCAGAGCCACCTGCCAAGTGGTCAATCATAATCCGCTTTGCAGTTGCCCTGCAAGCTTGACCGGCGATCCCTTCGTCAGATGCGTCGAGAAACGTAAGAAATCCAGACACTCATTGATCGAATATCGCAAAATTAGATCGCGATGTACGCTACAATTGCATTATATTTCAGCACCGGAGGCGCCGCTACAAGAGAACCCTTGCATTCCATCACCCTGCGGTCCTAACGCTCTGTGTCAAACTATCAATGATTCCCCGTCCTGTTCTTGCCTGCCGGAGTTCAGTGGTACGCCTCCTAACTGCAGACCCGAATGCATTAGCAATAACGAATGCCCGAACAACATGGCGTGCATCAATCAGAAATGCAGAGACCCTTGTCCTGGATCCTGTGGCACGAACGCGGAGTGTCGCGCTGTATCCCACACACCGATGTGCAGTTGCTTTTCCGGATACACTGGTGATCCGTTCACTCAGTGTGTGGTGGAACAACGTAAGATTCAAACAATAGCTAACCAAAGTGACGATTACCGATTTTCAATCGCCATTTCTCTTCCAGTCATACCGATGTACGTGCCGGAACCTTGCGTGCCGTCTCCCTGCGGTGCAAACGCCCTGTGCAAAGAGAGAAACGGCGCAGGATCATGCTCCTGTCTGCCAGGGTATATTGGGAACCCGTACGATGGTTGTCGACCAGAGTGCGTCATAAATTCGGACTGTGTCCCGAGCAAAAGCTGCGTGAGCTTCAAATGCGAGGATCCCTGTCCCGGAACTTGCGGCCAGAACGCGCTCTGCCAAGTGATCAATCACCTACCAACCTGTAGTTGCCTACCTAGATTTACTGGGGATCCGTTCAGATACTGTCGCGAGGAAGAGATAGTTACCCAACCGAGTTTGACGAATCCCTGCCAGCCGTCACCGTGCGGACCCAACAGCGTCTGCAGAGAAAATAACGGGCAGGCTGTTTGCTCGTGTTTGCCGGAATACCTCGGTTCTCCACCCGGATGCAGACCAGAATGCGTGGCGAGCCCAGAATGCCCCTCGAATCTCGTCTGCGTGAATCAGAAGTGCGTCGATCCTTGTCCAGATCCTTGCGGAAGGAACGCGGTCTGCAGAGTCATCAATCACAGTCCGATATGCTCCTGCCAGCAAGACTTCACCGGAGACGCGTTCTCTATCTGTTTCCCCAGTCCACGTTTGTATCTACAATTTTACTTTTTACAGATTAACGTCTGGAAATAGTATTTATTATGAAATCCCCGCAGGTCCACAGCAGGAGCCCGTAACACCTACCCAGCAAGACCCGTGCTTACCATCCCCTTGCGGCCCGTATTCTCAATGTCGAAACATCGGAGGAAATCCTTCTTGCTCTTGCTCGACCTCGTATATCGGTGTCCCACCAAATTGCCGGCCAGAGTGCACTATAAACGCAGAGTGTTCCAGTGCATTGGCTTGCATCCGCGAGAGGTGCTCGGATCCTTGCCCGGGATCCTGCGGTATAGGAGCTAGATGTACCGTTTTGAATCATGTCCCGATTTGTTCTTGCCCGGAGGGCTACACCGGAGACCCCTTCAGCAGTTGTATCTTGAAACCTGCTCCATGTAAGAGTCTTTTCTGTCATTTTGATATCTTACATTCTGAACAAAGAGTTTGTTCTGAACGTAAAGTTCCAATAATCGACCGAGATCGATTCGACTTTTACGATTCCCAATTGTGCACAGCCGAGGAACCAGTCTCAGACCCCTGCAACCCGTCCCCGTGTGGTGCAAATGCCCTCTGTCGCGACGGTGTTTGCACTTGTCTTCCAGAGTACCAAGGAGATCCGTACAGTGGTTGTCGACCTGAGTGCATCATGAACACCGATTGTTCTCGCGATAGAGCTTGTAAGAGGAACAAATGCGTCGATCCGTGCGCAGGAACCTGCGGACAGAACGCTCAGTGTCAGACCATAAACCACATTCCAATGTGCAGTTGTCCATCAGGGATGTCCGGAAACGCTTTCGTTTCCTGTTCTCCAGTGCAGGGTACAACATTGAAATTTCTTTTCTTCCCTGATACTCATTTTCGCTACAACTGGGGACCATTCGATTAAAATCTTGTCTTTCTTTACTAGAAGATGTAATGTCGAATCCTTGCTCGCCATCACCGTGCGGGCCGAACAGTCACTGCCAAGAAGTGAACGGAGTCGCGGTTTGTAAATGCGTGGAAGGTTTCCTCGGGAATCCGCCGACTTGTAGACCAGAATGCGTCGTCAGTTCAGACTGCGAGCTTACAAAAGCTTGTATCAATCAAAAGTGCAGAGATCCCTGTCCAGGCTCTTGCGCCATAAGAGCCGAGTGCTCGGTGGTCAACCATAATCCCATTTGTAGGTGTCCACCGAGCATGTCAGGTGATCCATTCACCAGTTGCACGGTTATAGGTGAGACAATGAAAAGAATTGATCTTATCCCATATTTCCAGTTTACTTTATTTAGTGAAATCAAGGTTCTTCAAGGAATATATCTAACGATGTTCGTTTCATTCGCTCTACAGTCGAACAGGTACCAGAACCGATCAATCCGTGTTTCCCGTCACCCTGTGGTCCGAACTCTCAGTGCCAGGTCGTGAACCAAGCACCGGCGTGCTCGTGTTTGCCAGAATTTACTGGACCACCACCGAATTGTAGGCCAGAGTGCGTTACAAACAGCGACTGTTCGAGTAGACAAGCTTGCGTCAGTCAGAAATGCAGAGATCCGTGTCCCGGTTTGTGCGGCGCCAACGCTGATTGTAGTGTGTTCAGTCACACTCCGATTTGCTCTTGCCTATCAGGATTTACTGGCGACCCATTTGTTCAGTGCACCCCTGTTCCAAGTGAGTTCTGTGCTTCCAGTTCGCGAAAGAGATCGATTATGATTGCTGGACGTCACCGAATTAATTCTTCTTCGTTCCATAGTTGAAAGCGAAAGACCCACACCCTGCACCCCATCACCGTGTGGCGCGAACGCAGTGTGCAGGGTTTCAGGAAATGCAGGAGCCTGTTCCTGCTTGCCAGATTATATCGGGAACCCCTACGAGGGCTGCAGACCAGAATGCGTCGTGAATTCGGACTGTCCTGTGAACCTCGCCTGCGTGAGATCGAAATGTCAAGATCCTTGTCCCGGCGCGTGCGGTCAAAACGCGATTTGCAACCCTGTGAACCATGTACCGATGTGCACGTGTATCCAAGGATATTCTGGAGATCCGTTCAGATACTGCAGCTTGAGCCCAGTGAACCGTAAGAGTTATATTCGATGCAGCCTAAGCCTAATAATTCAAGAGTTTAATAATATCAAAAGGTTCTACATCCCCGTGTATAATTTTTAGAAGACGTCTCGGTAGTCGATCCTTGCAATCCAACTCCCTGCGGCCCGAACAGCGAGTGTCGCGTGAACAACAATCAAGCTGTGTGCACTTGCCTCTCTTCGTACGTTGGAAGTCCACCAAACTGCAGACCCGAGTGCGTGGTCAGCACCGAGTGCCCTTTGACCCGTGCTTGCGTGAGCCAGAAATGCGTCGATCCGTGTCCCAACTCCTGCGGTGTGAACGCTAATTGTCGAATCATCAATCACAGTCCAATCTGTTTCTGTAACGATGAATTCACCGGAGATCCGTTCACTGCTTGCTTCCGTGCTCCTGGTATGATCTACGTTTTCGACTCGATGTTGAATACTTGTAAAATCACTCAATATTCTTTGCACTAACCACCTGCATTCTCCAGAAACGACCATAGAACCATCACCGCCCGTGCAAAGAGACCCCTGTCTGCCATCGCCATGTGGTCCAAACGCGGTTTGCCAAAACGTTGGGCAGACACCAGCTTGCACTTGCTTGCCGGACTATCGTGGCAGTCCTCCAAATTGCAGACCAGAATGTACCATCAATTCCGAGTGTCCCAGTAACCAAGCCTGCATTCGGGAGAAGTGCAGGGACCCCTGTCCAGGCTCCTGCGGCTTTAACGCTCAGTGCTCGGTGTTCAGTCACGTGCCGATATGCTCGTGCATCGAAGGATACACGGGAGATCCTTTCAGCCGATGCGATCAACAGATCGTTTCCAGTAAGTAACAGTTCTCAAAGATCGTTCGTCGACTGACCCAGATACGGGGACTCATAAATCTTTTTGCGACCAGTCGTACCGGCAGAGGTGGATCTGTGTAATCCATCCCCCTGTGGACCGAATGCTCAGTGTGATAATGGAATATGCTCTTGCTTGCCCGAATACTACGGGGATTCGACTATCGGCTGTCGACCGGAGTGCGTGCTCAATAACGATTGCCCCCGGGACAGAGCGTGCGTCAGGAACAAATGCCAAGATCCTTGCCAGGGCACATGCGCGAGCAACGCACTGTGCAACGTGATCAACCACGTACCGATGTGCAGCTGTCCGACTGGTTTCGAAGGAAACGCATTTGCCTATTGTCGTCCCGCCATAGGTAATAGAATTTCAGTCGCCAAAGCAAATAGAACTTTCCAGATATTAACGATGGTCTTCCAATAGCCGATGCCCCATCTTCACCGTGCACTCCATCGCCCTGTGGACCGAACAGTCAGTGTCGATCCAATAACGGTCAAGCAATTTGCAGCTGCGTGCCAGGTTATCTAGGAAACCCACCGAATTGCCGTTCCGAGTGCATAGTTAGCTCCGACTGCCCTCCAAACGAGATCTGCACGAATCAGAATTGTAGAAATCCTTGTATTGGCACGTGTGGCTTGGGAGCCAGGTGCACGGTCGCTAATCGCAATCCTATATGTCATTGTCCCGAAGAATTCACCGGAGATCCGTTCGTTCAGTGCATGCCGACTCGTAAGTTTTCTTGAATGATTTGTTTAACCGAATAAGTGGTTTTATAATAGTTGTTTGGTATAGAGTTAGAGTCTAAGTATTCGAATACTAAAATTTATAGCGCCATTGCCGCCTGAACCGATAAACATTTGCCAGCCATCGCCCTGCGGACCCAATGCTCAATGCCAGATCTCAGGAAGCTCACCATCGTGTACTTGTTTGTCCGGATTTATCGGTTCCCCGCCGAATTGCAGGCCCGAATGCGTCAGCAACAGCGAATGTCCCAGCAATCAGGCGTGCATTAATCAAAAGTGCAGGGACCCTTGCGTAGACTCTTGCGGAACTAATGCCCAATGTCGTACAGTCAGTCACACGCCTATGTGCTACTGCGAATCAGACTACACGGGCGATCCTTTCACACAATGCTTTACCAAGCCCAGTAAGCCATTTTTAATAGTAATTTGTTTAGCACTAAATGTAGGTTCTTTAATCAAATATCAAAATCTAATTTTTAACTGTATTTCAGTACCTTTACTTCTTGTACCGCGCAATGAAATCCCTGCAGTGACTCAAATCTAATCACAATTTTAATTGATAATATCCTTCGTCGTTTTTAGTCGAAGACCAACAAGTGAATCCGTGTTTACCTTCGCCTTGCGGACCGAATGCACAGTGCACGGAAAGAAACAATGTAGGCGCCTGTGCGTGTCTTACTGGTTACACGGGAAATCCTTACGAAGGATGCAGGCCAGAGTGTGTCCTGGATTCTGATTGCTCACCCACTAGAGCTTGCGTCAATTCTAAGTGTATCGATCCGTGTCCGGGAACATGTGGAATCAACGCCGAATGCTATGTTATCAATCATCGAGCGTCTTGCTCTTGCTATCCCAGCTACACTGGCGATCCCTATCGATATTGCTCTGTTCAGCCAGCTGGTAAGTCAAGGTTACTCCAATCTTCCACTGAAACAACCCTTTGAAAAAATTAATCGTTGAACAACGAAATCACACGATAAAATATCCTTCAGTTTCCGACGTCAGCGTAACCGATCCATGCGCTGGGCCCCAATGCGGCCCGAACAGCCAGTGCAGAGTGGTAAACCAAGTAGCAGTTTGCTCTTGCCTTGCAACTTATATCGGTACACCACCAGCGTGTAGACCGGAATGTGTCACCAGCTCGGAATGCGCCGCCGATAAGGCGTGCGCGCAGCAGAAATGCATAAACCCGTGCCCTTCCTCCTGTGGACAGAACTCAGACTGTAGAGTCATCAATCACGCGCCCCTTTGTAGTTGCTTGAGAGGATACACCGGCGATCCGTTCACCGTATGCTTCCCAATTCCATGTGAGTACCGATTACCAACGGTAAATACTTAAATACCTAAGTTACATTCTTTTATTCGTGCATACAACAAGGTGCAACATCCACTTTACACGCGTTCTTAAGTCTTGTAACTTCAGAAGACAATATAATTTGCGTTCCAAATTTTAGTGACACCACCCGTTCAGAGCGACCTTACCCCGAAAGATCCCTGCATTCCATCACCCTGCGGAGCTTTCTCGGAGTGTCGAAACATCGGCGGAGTTCCCTCCTGCTCCTGCCTAGCCACGTACACCGGAAGTCCACCGAATTGTCGGCCAGAGTGTACGATTAACTCGGACTGTGCTCCCAATAAGGCCTGCATGCAACAAAAGTGCAGAGACCCTTGTCCCGGCTCGTGCGGTCTTCGAGCCGAGTGCAACGTAATCAATCACGTTCCAACGTGTAACTGTCAACCTGGCTACACCGGGGATCCGTTCACCAATTGTTTCCTAGACCGTAAGATACCCCGTTCATAACGAGTTTTCATAAAATTATTTCTTCTTCCACTACAACCAACATCGACACATTATAGAACGTCCAATCGAAAAGGATCCGTGCGCATCCTGCGGATCCAACACACAGTGCGACAACGGTGTTTGCACCTGTTTGCCAGAGTATTCCGGCGACCCGTACACAGGCTGCAGACCAGAGTGTGTCTTAAGCAACGAATGTCCAACAAACAGAGCGTGCATTCGAAACAAATGCGTGGATCCTTGCATCGGTATCTGCGGGCAGAACGCATTGTGCAACGTTTTCAATCATGTGCCCATGTGCAGTTGTCCGTCGGGAATGTCAGGGAACGCCTTTGTACTCTGTTCCCCTGCCCCAGGTATGCTTCTCAGACTTCGAAGGATTATTAAGCATTACTTGCAAGGAACAAGGATCTTTTTTATTAAAATTCTTGAACGCTTTTAGTAACCACGGTTAGCGACCCCTGCAATCCATCACCGTGCGGCCCTAATAGCCAGTGCAGGCAGAACAACATGCAAGCCGTGTGTTCTTGCGTAAGCGGATATATAGGTGCTCCTCCAACTTGTAGACCCGAGTGCGTGGTTAGTTCAGACTGTCCATTGAACGAAGCGTGCACCAACCAGAAGTGCCAAGACCCTTGTCCAGGAAGCTGTGGAATTAACGCGGATTGCAGCGTCGTCAATCACAATCCAGTATGCACCTGTCGCGAAAGGATGACCGGCGATCCTTTCGTCAGTTGCTACCCGATGCGTAAGGACTCCTTCGTAGCCTCACGGTCTATCTGATAGATATTCATACACCAATATGCACTGTACCTTAACCCATTTAAACCTTAAAGCCGCGAGACCATCGCCTCCAGTCAACCCTTGCCAACCATCCCCGTGCGGTCCGAATGCGGAGTGCCAGGTGGTGAACGACCAACCATCTTGCTCGTGTCTAAGGGAATTCATTGGATCGCCTCCAAACTGCCGCCCGGAGTGCGCAAGCAACAGCGAGTGCCCTAATCAAATGGCGTGTATCAATCAGAGATGCCAAGACCCTTGCATTGATTCTTGCGGCGTAAACGCGATTTGCAACGTCGTCAGTCATACTCCGATGTGTGCCTGTGCGAACGGTTACACCGGGGATCCGTTCACGCAGTGTACGCTACAGCCATGTAAGAACCTTCGAGCCTTTTCGAGTGTTCTGTAACCAGGTTTGTTATAACGTTTCTCGTCCCGCTGTTTTAGTCGACGAACCAGTCAGCAGACCAGACCCTTGCACTCCGTCACCGTGCGGTGCAAATAGTATATGTCGCGTTCAGCAAAACTCCGGGTCTTGCAGTTGCCAGAACGATTACATCGGAAATCCTTACGAAGGTTGCAGGCCTGAATGTACGCTCAGTTCAGACTGTCCGTCCAATCAAGCTTGTATGCAATCGAAGTGCAGAGACCCGTGCCCTGGAACCTGCGGTCAAAATGCTCAGTGTTACGTGGTCAATCATGCAGCCACTTGCAGCTGCTTCGAACGGTACACGGGAGATCCTTTCGTGTACTGCAATCCTATGAGAGAACCACGTAAGATAAATTCCAAAAAGTCCTTCAATATAAAATCTTTATAACGATACGGACGATCAAGATCATAGACGTTTGCCCTCTTGCAGTGCCCGAGCCTAACTTAGTAAATCCTTGCGAACCATCGCCGTGCGGACCGTACAGCCAATGCAGAGCCACCAACGGCCAAGCCACGTGCTCTTGCTTACAAACTTACACCGGAACACCTCCCAATTGCAAACCGGAATGCACAGTTAGCTCTGATTGTCCATTGAGCCTCGCGTGCAGGAACAACAAGTGCATCGATCCCTGCCCTAACTCTTGCGGTCAGCAGAGCACGTGCAGAGTCGTGAACCACAGTCCCATATGCTCCTGCAAACCAGGTTTCACTGGCGACCCGTTCACCCAATGCTTCTTCAGTCCACGTAAGCATCCAAGGATTCACCCAAGCACACCTTAGAGCTTAAGTTTTATAATCATCCAATTTTAGCTACTCCTGTTATGGATACCCATGTCGATCCCTGTATCAACTCGCCCTGTGGGCCCAACTCTCAGTGTCGCAACATTAACGGTTCTCCGTCGTGCTCTTGCGCGATAAACTATATTGGCATCCCGCCTAACTGTCGTCCAGAGTGTGTAGTCAACACCGACTGTCCCAGAAATCAAGCTTGCATTCGTGAGAAGTGTCAGGATCCTTGTCCGGGTTCCTGTGGACTCAACAGCGTCTGTGCAGTCCATAATCACATCCCGGTTTGCACATGTCTAGAAGGTTACATGGGAGATCCTTTCAGCAGCTGCCAGCCCAAGCCAATGAGTAAGCTACGCGCCCCTGAAATCTAGCCAAACCAAAGCTATAGTCGTAGACAGTTTTATTAATACCTTTACGGTGTTCGAATAGGAGTAGACGAGCCCATAACAGACCCATGCAGCAACTCCCCGTGTGGATCGAACGCCGAATGCAACAATGGCGTTTGCACTTGCGTATCTGAATACTCCGGGAACCCATACGTCGGTTGTCGACCGGAATGCGTGCTCGGCACAGACTGTCCAAACAACAGAGCGTGTATAAGAAACAAATGCGTCGATCCTTGCCCCGGAGCTTGCGGTCAGAACGCTCTTTGCAACGTGATCAATCACATACCCATGTGCAGTTGTCCTCCCAATACGGGCGGAAACGCACTAGTCGTGTGCTCGGCTGTGCAAGGTACACGTTGTTCAATTTCTAACAAGTCAATGTTCTAACAATACAACAGCCTCGTAACCCTTAAACTATTGAATCATAGCTCCAACGACGACAAGACCGTGCAATCCGTCCCCCTGCGGTCCGAACAGTATCTGTCGAGAGGTGAACGATCAATCTGTGTGTACTTGCGCGCCCGAATACCTTGGAACTCCACCTCTATGTAGACCGGAGTGCGTCATCAGTTCCGACTGTCGACAAAACGAGGCTTGCGTGAACCAAAAATGCAGAGATCCGTGTCCAGGAACGTGCGGTGTTCTGGCAAAGTGCATGGTGGTCAATCACAATCCCGTGTGCTCCTGTCCGGAGCGTTACACGGGAGATCCCTTCATCAGATGCGAAATGATTAGTAAGCGGAAAAATAAAAATACTAGAATTCCTATCGATCGTATATAAAGTCGTGTATATCAATAGTTCTCCTGAATCTCTTGACTAGAAGGAGCGGTGCAGTAGAATCCTTGACAAACGTCGACTTTATATGAGATCATGAAGGCTCAAGTAACGCGAGACAAGATAATAATACAATCTTACTTTTCGTAGAAGATACAATAGTGCCCATAAACCCCTGTCAACCATCACCCTGCGGACCATACTCTCAATGCCAAGTAATGAATGACATCCCGTCCTGTACATGTCTGCCCGAATACAAGGGGGCCCCACCCAACTGTAAACCCGAGTGCATAGCCAGCTCCGAGTGCCCCAGCCACCAAACCTGCGTCCAACAGAAATGCAAAGACCCCTGTCCAGGTCTCTGCGGGGATATTGCAGAGTGCCACGTGGCCTACCACGTACCCCACTGCGTTTGCCCGAACGGTTTCACCGGTGACCCCTATACCCGTTGCTCGATAATAAGTAAGAGAGAAGAAAATGAAAATGTGCACGATCGTCGATACAGCAAATACTTGTATCTGATTAACTTGTATGATATAATCTTTATAATTTTGCATTGTTCTAGCTCGTGACCCGGAACCCTCACCCTGCGCGGAAGGCACTTGCGGCACAAACGCGTTGTGCAGAGAACGAGACGGTATCGGAATTTGTTATTGCCCGCCCGAGTACGTCGGGAACGCGTACGTAGGGTGTAGACCCGAGTGCGTCATTAACCCCGACTGCCCGTCCAACAAAATGTGCGTGCGAAACAAGTGCCAAGACCCCTGTCCTGGAACCTGCGGCCAGAATGCCGAATGCACGGTCGTTAACCATCAGCCCTTCTGCACCTGTCGGCCAGGGTTCACTGGCGATCCATTTATCGTGTGTACCGTGAATAGTAAGTCCAACTGGTTCTCCCTTGCAACCGATTTGAGGATATAATTGGAGACTCGATGTATCAGACATTAGTCGGGTGTTGATAATTGCAGGAATTCACAGTTAACTTTTAGTAAAATCGATATCAACGAGACTCTTATAAAATTTGAGTCAAACTTTATAAAAGTTAACCGTGCATTGCTGTAACAGCTCAATCTGTTTCCCAGTGGTAGTCCCGGTAAAAGAGAACATATGTAACCCGTCACCCTGCGGACCTAACAGCCAGTGCAAAGAAGTCTCTGGCCAGGCTGTGTGCTCGTGCCTACCAACCTACGTTGGCACTCCACCTGGATGTAGACCCGAGTGCGTAGCTAGTTCCGAGTGTCCCACCCAGCTCGCGTGCAAGGACTACAAATGCGTGAACCCGTGCCCGAGCCCCTGCGGATTTAACACCAAGTGCATCGTGGTTAACCACAGTCCAATCTGTAGTTGCATGCCCGGATACAGTGGAGATCCGTTCACTACCTGTACACCTATTCCACGTAAGATGTTCCACCAGTTCCACATAACATTTTTAAATCCACGCGTCAATAGGGCCCGAATTATCATCGTCCATTAATCACAACTTTTAGCAGTCGCAATCTCTGGCCCAACGGAAAGAGACCCGTGCGTGCCATCCCCGTGTGGCAATTTCGCCCAGTGCAGAAACGTTCGTGGATCTCCTGCTTGCACGTGCTTAGAAACCTACATCGGTCAGCCGCCCAACTGCAGACCGGAGTGCACAATCAATTCCGAATGTCAAAGCGACATGGCCTGCATCAACATGAAGTGCAGAGACCCGTGCCCTGGTTCCTGTGGTTCCGGTGCGTCGTGTGCGGTCGTTAATCACATTCCCATGTGCAACTGCCCCGAGGATTTCACCGGAAATCCGTTCACCCTTTGTCAGTTGCTGCCGACGACACGTAAGGAGCCTGTGTTACCTTTTATATTTGAACGCTTCATACAGAAATAATATTTTTACACCTCGTTTGACATTACAGCTCCATCGACACCGGTAGAAGATGAATGTAACCCATTACCCTGTGGCCCCAATACCGCGTGCACGAATGGCGTTTGCACGTGTCTAGCTGAATTCCAAGGAAACCCGTATCTAGGATGCAGACCCGAATGTGTCCTGAACTCAGACTGTCCCAGAGACAGAGCCTGCTTGCGTAATAAGTGTATGGACCCTTGCCCAGGAATCTGTGGCTTCAGTGCCATTTGTACAGTTATCAATCACGTGCCAATGTGTAGCTGCCCTGGAAACATGACCGGCAATGCCTTTAGTCAGTGCACCCCTCTGAAAGGTATTCCATCATCTCCTGCCATCATGAGACTTTCTTGATACAGAAACTTGCATGGTCCCGCAGAATTCAAATAATCCTGGTACTTTTTCTTTTGTCAGATATGATACCCACTAATCCGTGTAGCCCGACGCCTTGCGGACCCAATAGCGAATGCCGCACCGTGAACGGTCAAGCCGTTTGTTCGTGCATCAGAGGATATTTAGGAAGCCCACCAACCTGTAGACCCGAGTGCATTGTCAGTACAGATTGCCCGCAAAACGAAGCCTGTAGTAATCAGAGGTGCACGAATCCCTGTCCTGGAACTTGTGGCATCGCAGCCAAATGCAACGTCGTCAACCATAATCCTATATGCAGCTGCCCGTTGCGATACACCGGCAATCCATTCATTCAATGCATACCCTTCAGTAAGAGTTTATTACCTCCCTGGTCGAATCATTTTTCCAGATTATATTTCTATGCAGACTGGATCTATATTTAAAACAGAATCTGTATTCTATTTCTCAAAATTAGCCTATCATCTGGGGCTAAACCTTTATATGTAGCTCCATCAGCTTGTCAAATTTCTCCTTTAATAAGAGTCTGCATTCGCGTAAAACCGAAATTTTTTTCCAGTCGAAGAGCCCGTAGTAGACCCCTGTCAACCATCGCCTTGCGGTCCGAACTCCCGATGTCAAGTGATTAACGACTCTCCCTCGTGCTCGTGCACGCCCGGATTCTCTGGGAGCCCGCCCAATTGCAGGCCGGAATGTGTCAGCAACAGCGAGTGTCCTAGTCAATTAGCTTGTATCAATCAAAAGTGCCAAGATCCTTGTATCGATTCCTGCGGTGCCAGCGCGGACTGTCATGTCGTGAGCCACACTCCCATGTGCACTTGCCTCAGTGGTTACACTGGGGATCCGTTCACACAGTGTGTCTTCAAAGAACGTGAGAGACCAAGAATTATTTCTGAAGCGATTTAGTTGTTAAGTTTTTTTTCTAACCGCCTCCCTTTACAGCCGTGTCGATTCCTGCGCCCACCGATCCCTGCAATCCATCGCCCTGCGGATCCAACGCTGTCTGTAAAGAGCTGAACGGCGCAGGCTCCTGTACCTGCATTTCTAACTATATTGGCAACCCCTACGATGGATGTCGACCCGAGTGTCTCCTGAACTCTGATTGTCCCACGAATCAAGCTTGCATGAACAACAGATGCAGGGACCCTTGTCCAGGAGTTTGCGGCCAAAACGCCGAATGCCACATTATTAATCACCTGCCAGTGTGCGAATGTTACCCTAGACACACTGGGAACGCGTTTGTCCTCTGTTTACCACTTCAGCCAGGTAGGTTATATCCCAAGAACAAGAGTTTCGAAGGATACACCAAACTACTGTCTATAACGCCGAATTGTTCCTTTTTAGAAGTTGACCAAACAATTAGTCGACCCTGCAATCCGTCTCCTTGCGGACCCAATAGTCAGTGTAAAGCAATTAATGGACAGTCCGTGTGTTCGTGTTTGCCTGAGTTCATGGGCAGTCCACCTTCATGCAGACCCGAGTGTACAGTTAGCGCTGAATGCGCCTCGAATTTGGCGTGTATCAACAGAAAGTGTAGCGACCCTTGTCCTGGATCTTGTGGCTCGAACACGAGATGCGAAACCATCAATCACAGAGCTATATGCGCCTGTCAACCAGGCTTCACTGGTGATCCACTAGTTGCTTGTTTCGATATACCAAGTAAGTCTCTTACTTAGCAGATCTCATCTTCCTCATCTCATCTTATCTTCCAAAACTAACGTTTCACTCGCAAATATTCGTTTTAGTTGGAAAACCTGCACTCGAACCGTCGTACGTGAATCCATGCGCGCCTTCACCGTGTGGTCCTTACTCCGAATGTCGTAATATAAATTCCCAAGCTTCGTGTGCCTGTTTAGCAGACTACATGGGAACACCGCCAAATTGCAGACCGGAATGCATACGAAATTCCGAGTGTCCCAGCAATCAGGCGTGCATTCAGAAGAAATGCCGATATCCTTGCGAGGGTGTCTGCGGCGTGGGTGCACAGTGTTCGGTGATAAATCATACTCCGATCTGTACTTGCCCCGAAGGATACACTGGCGATTCCTTTGTCAGATGTTCGCCAGCATTAGGTATGATTTCCGCGTGAAAATTATGAAAAATACCACATCTTTTCGCGTAAATTTAATATATACTATCATAGTCTACAATTTGTAACGTTCTGTTCTATTAGTGAGTATGGATCGGCCCGCGGATTCGTGTACCAATTGCGGTACAAATACGCAGTGCGTAAATGGAGTATGCACATGCTTATCAGAGTATCAAGGAGACCCGTACATAGGTTGTCGTCCAGAATGTGTCCTAAATTCAGACTGTCCAAGAGACAGAGCTTGCATCAAGAGCAAATGTAACGATCCATGCGCTGGAACCTGTGGTCAGAATGCATTGTGTTCTGTCGTCAATCACGTTCCAGTTTGTACTTGTCCGTCAGGAACATCGGGAAATGCGTTCGTAGTTTGCTCCCCGGTGCAAGGTATTCATTTTGCTCGAATAGCTGGATAATCGATCATTAAGTACTGTCTAATTCACATTATTTTTATCCTATAAGCAGTAGAAACACCCATAGACCCGTGCAACCCATCACCCTGCGGGCCCAACAGTCAGTGCAGGAAGGTAAACGACCAAGCCGTTTGCTCTTGCATTCCTGGCTACCTAGACACTCCACCAAATTGTAGGCCAGAGTGTATCCTAAGCTCCGACTGTCCATCCAACATGGCCTGCAATAACCAAAAGTGTATTTATCCTTGCCCTGGTACTTGTGGTATAAGGGCCGAGTGTGTCGTAGTGAACCATAATCCAATCTGTAGCTGCCCACCGGATCTGACAGGCAATCCCTTCACCGTTTGTATCAGGAAACGTGAGTATCTGAATTCAATCGTTCGAGAATCGATTAGCAATCATCATGGAAAGCAAAGCTCACTGTTATTTTATTCCCTTCGACAGTGGAAGAGCCAACAGTTCTGAACCCATGCGCACCATCACCTTGCGGCCCAAACAGTCGATGCCAGGTCTTAAATAATTCACCATCTTGCTCTTGCTTGCCCGAGTTCCTTGGATCCCCGCCAAACTGTAAGCCAGAGTGCATAAGCAACAGCGAGTGCTCCACGCACTTAGCTTGCATCAATCAGAAATGTCGCGATCCTTGTCCCGGATCCTGCGGCTCTAACGCTGAATGCAGAGTAATAAGTCATACGCCTATGTGTGTCTGTTCTTATGGTTTCGTTGGTGATCCATTTATTCAGTGTCTTCCCAGACCAGGTAAGCTATACCTCTGGATAAATAACTGTAGTAATAACAGAGTACTTAGAAAAAAATATCTTTGTAGCAATCGAAGACACCGGTAAAAAACCTACGCCCTGTGTACCGTCTCCCTGCGGGTCTAACGCGATGTGCAATGAACTGAACGGCGCTGCATCCTGCAAGTGTATGCCAGATTACGTCGGCAACCCTTACGAGGGATGTCGACCAGAGTGCACCATCAATTCCGACTGTACAGCCGATCGAGCTTGCGTTAAATCAAAATGTCAGAACCCTTGCCCAGGATTCTGTGGCTACAACGCACTCTGCCAGGTCGTGAATCACGCTCCGCTTTGTACTTGCCAATTCGGTTACACGGGCGATCCATTCGTCCAGTGCAATATCGTTCAAGAACAACGTGAGTGATCGATATTTCGAAACAACCTTGATCTTCATTGTTATCTATCGTGAATGTCTTCTTCTAGCGAAACCAGCCGATCCTTGTAGCGTATCACCTTGCGGACTTAACAGTCAATGTCAAGTGTCTAACGGACAAGCTATTTGTTCCTGTTCACCCACGTTTATTGGAACCCCGCCGATGTGCAGACCGGAGTGCACCGTCAGCTCGGATTGTGCTACAAATCGTGCTTGCAAGAACCGTAAATGCGTGGATCCTTGTCCAGGTATTTGCGGTATCAACGCGAGATGCGAGACGATAAATCATAGTCCGATCTGTAGCTGCAATCCCGGCTTGACCGGCGACCCGTTCGTGAGATGTTTCAAAGTTCCAAGTGAGTATCGCGTTCGTTTAACCCATACCGGCAATTACTAGACCCGAGAGATTCGATCGAATGATGTCTAACGATAATGTTTGCCTCCAGCGGTGTCCGAGCCCATAAATCCTTGCGTCCCGTCGCCGTGTGGTCCGTTCTCCGTGTGCCGTATGCTTGGCAACACGGAGTTGCCAAGCTGTTCGTGCATGGACAATTACATAGGATCCCCGCCTAATTGTCGTCCGGAATGCACCATCGATTCCGAATGCGGCAGTAACAAAGCTTGTCTAAGACAGAAGTGTACTGATCCTTGTCCAGGATCCTGCGGTACAGGAGCACAGTGTCTCGTAGTGAATCACATGGCCGTATGCACTTGTCCAAAGGGCTACACAGGCGATCCGTTTGTCAATTGCTTTGTAGAAGCTGCTCGTAAGCATTGATTACCTTCTGTTAAATTAAGAAACTCTATGATTGATTTTAATGAATCAACCATCCTTAGCTTCACCACCAGTTCCTCAAGACGCTTGTAATCCTTCACCCTGTGGATCGAACGCCGTGTGTCGCGATGGCACGTGTAGTTGTTTGCCCGAGTATCGTGGTGATCCCTATTACGGATGTCGCCCAGAATGCGTCCAGAACCCGGACTGCCCGCTGGACAAAGCTTGCAATCGAAATAAGTGCTTCGACCCGTGTGTGGGCGTCTGTGGCCAGAACGCCGAGTGTGTGGTGATAAATCACACACCGATGTGCAGTTGCCCAGATGGAATGTCTGGCAACGCGTTCGCCACGTGCTATCCGGTGAAAGGTAAATGTTCGAAAGTACAGGTATCCTCTGTATAACACACATAAACAAAAATGATTTGCTTTGCAGACCCAGTGATAGTACAACCCTGCAATCCGTCACCTTGCGGTCCTAATAGCAGATGTCAAGATTTTAGCGGCCAGGCAGTCTGCTCGTGCGCCCCAGGATTCATTGGAAATCCTCCGGCGTGTCGACCAGAGTGTATAGTTAACAGTGACTGTCCATTGAACGAAGCCTGCGTGAACCTGAAGTGTAGAGATCCGTGTCCTGGATCCTGCGGAGTGTCGGCCCGGTGCCAAGTGGTCAATCACAACCCCATTTGTAGCTGCCCTCCGGTGTTCACTGGTGATCCGTTTGTGCGGTGCTTGCCTAGACGTATGTGTTCTTTACCATAGCTAAATAGTCTTATTTAGAAGATAACAATTTAACTACATTATTTTAAAGCGGAGGAACCTGCGCCACCGACAAACCCCTGTCAACCATCTCCGTGTGGCCCCAACGCAGTCTGTCAAGTGATCAATAACCAGCCATCTTGCTCTTGCAGAGCAGAATTCATCGGAACGCCTCCGAATTGCAGGCCCGAGTGTGTCAGTAACAGCGAGTGTAGTAGTCCTTTAGCTTGCATTAATCGCAAGTGTAAAGATCCCTGTCCAGGTTCCTGCGGTTTTAACGCAGAGTGCCACGTTATTAACCACGTTCCCTCGTGTGCATGCATGAGGGATTACACAGGCGATCCTTTCGTTCAGTGTTCCGCCAAGCTACGTAAGTGTCTTCACAACGATTTGATGGGACGCAACAATTCAAAATCCTAGTTAACAATTTGTTATTTCCTCTAGCGATACCAGCGATTCCGACACGACCCTGTCAACCCTCCCCTTGCGGTGCTAACGCCATGTGTCGAGAACAGAATGGCGTTGGTTCTTGCTACTGTTTGCCTGAATACATCGGCAATCCCTACGAAGGATGCCGACCAGAATGTACGATTCCATCAGATTGTCCCTCGAATTTAGCATGTATCAATCTCAAGTGTCAGAATCCTTGTCCCGGTTCTTGCGGCGCGAACACGAAGTGCCAGGTGGTGAACAACTCGCCCGTGTGCACTTGCAACTCGCAATACTCTGGTGACCCGTATGTCAGTTGCGTGTACAAGATGCCCTCCAGTAAGTAACGCATTAATACATTCATTTAAAAAAAAAGTGTTACGATTGGTTGTTACCACTTTCACATGATGTCGACATTTTACAGTCGAAGAAGATGAACCCGACGTATGTAGACCATCGCCTTGCGGCCCGAACAGTCAGTGCCACAACGTCAACGGTCAGGCAGTGTGTTCTTGCTTGCCCCAATACATAGGAACCCCGCCCAATTGTAAACCCGAGTGTGTAGTCAATTCAGAGTGCAACTCGAATCTCGCGTGCGTGAATCAAAAGTGCAAAGATCCCTGCCTTGGTATCTGTGGCCGCAATGCTCAGTGCAAAGTCATTCACCATAGTCCGATCTGTAGCTGTGGAAGTGGTTTAACGGGAGATCCGTTTGTCTTTTGCTTCCAAACTCCAAGTAAGCTGCTTTCCAATAATGAAAAGATCAGATTACCCAAATTTAATTTATGATAATATGTACACTCGAACCCTCATTTCTCCACAGTAATCCAACCAGAAGATAAGTACCCAAAAGATCCGTGCGTTCCGTCCCCCTGCGGTCCAAACGCAATGTGCAAACCGCTCGGCGATACACCAGTTTGCACCTGCATGAACAACTACATCGGTGTACCTCCCAACTGTCGACCAGAGTGCTCTATGAACTCGGACTGCACAGCTAATAGAGCTTGCATTCGAGAGAAGTGTAGGGACCCCTGTCCAGGATCCTGCGGAATTGGTGCTCGTTGCACTGTTGTAAACCATACGCCAGCCTGCACGTGTCCCACAGGATACACCGGTGATCCTTTCACCAGTTGTTCGCCTGTTCCTCCACCCGACAGTAAGAATAAAATGATCCTTCAAACGCTAGACTGTTCAGGACCATGTACATTGATCCGTGTATTTTAGTGATGGAAGTCCCGACAGACCTGTGCAACCCATCGCCGTGCGGGCCGAATGCTCGGTGCAACGACGGTACTTGCACTTGTATACCCGGTTACTTTGGCGACCCGTACTCCATTTGCCGTCCCGAATGCGTGATCAACACCGATTGTTCCCGAAACGAGGCTTGCATGCTACACAAATGCAGAAACCCGTGCGTAGGAACTTGTGGAGCAAACGCAGAGTGCAACGTGGTCAATCATTTGCCTATGTGTAGTTGCCCAAGAAACATGACGGGCAACGCATTTGTATCCTGCACCTCTATGAAAGGTTGGTTCCCTTCGCTATTAATCTTCCTTATTCTCCCTTACAACTATACCATTAAAATTTGTTGCGTTACACAGACATGAACATCCTTGACCCGTGCAACCCGTCTCCGTGTGGTCCAAACAGCCACTGTCGTTCCTCGAACGGCCAAGCTGTTTGTTCCTGCGTTAGTGGATTTAAGGGATCACCGCCTTCCTGCAGACCCGAATGCGTCGTTAGCACCGACTGTCCGCGAAACAGAGCTTGCAGCAATCAAAAGTGCATAGATCCCTGCCTCGGTGCTTGTGGACTGTCGGCACAGTGTACAGTTATTAACCACAATCCCGTGTGCAGGTGTTTCGATCAGTACATAGGAGACCCGTTCATCCAGTGCACGCCACCTAGTAAGAATCAATTCTCAATTTTTTTAGAGATCTTGGAAGTCTTGAAAGTCGGATGTACCGAGTTCCTGATTTTCATTAACTCTTTGTGTGGAACAAATTTTATTAAGAGTCGTTTCCCCTCTAGGCAGAGTACCAGACGTTCCAGTCAATCCTTGTCAACCCTCGCCCTGTGGTCCAAACGCCATGTGTCAAGTGACTAATAACTCACCCTCCTGTTCCTGCCTCCCTGAATTCATCGGAATTCCGCCAAATTGTAAACCCGAATGCGTGAGCAACACTGAGTGTCCGGCACAGCAGGCCTGTATCAATCAGAAGTGTAGGGATCCTTGTCCCGGTTCGTGCGGCAGAAACACCGAATGCAGGACCGTTAGTCACACTCCGATGTGCACTTGCGCCAGTGGTTTCACCGGAAATCCATTCGTGCAATGTACACCTCAACCAAGTAAGATCTTTCTGTCATCATATAGAAATTGGTGAACCGATATTGGATATAATTGATAACCCTTTAATTTCATCTGTAGTTCAAGATATCCCAAGCAAAGTCAATACGTGTCAACCATCTCCCTGCGGAGCGAATGCTGTTTGTCGCGAGTCTTATGGCTCAGCCGTCTGCACCTGTTTACCCGAATTCTACGGTAACCCGTATGAAAACTGTCGCCCCGAGTGTCTCATAGACTCCGACTGTTCGTTCAATCGTGCCTGCATAAGGAACAAGTGCCAAGATCCGTGTCCAGGAGCTTGCGGATTCAATGCTGTATGTCAGGTTGTCAATCACATCCCCGCCTGTAGCTGTAGGTCGGGTTATACCGGTAATCCCTTCCGATCTTGCGGTACCATTCAAGAACCTCGTAAGTAATTCCCAGATGACAGGATACAGAGAATCTGTATTTATATCAGAACCTCAACCTACTATATTTCAAATAGCCGAACCAAGCGTTACCAACTCGTGCGTACCATCGCCCTGTGGACCAAACAGTCGTTGCCAAGATGTCAATGGTCAAGCCAGCTGTTCCTGCTTGCCCACCTTCAGGGGAACCCCGCCCAGTTGTAGACCAGAATGTGTCGTTAGCGCTGAATGTCCCAGCAACCAGGCCTGCATGGGTCAGAGATGCGTTGACCCTTGCCCTGGCGTCTGTGGCGTAAACGCTAGATGCGAAGTCTTCCATCACAGTCCCATATGTAGTTGCAGCGCTGGTCAGACGGGAGATCCGTTCGTAAAATGTTTCGACGTTCCCAGTAAGTGAACCAAACTCGAACATTGCACCTCGAAGAATATTTCTGGAGTCATCGTGTAACCGGGAACCATTTTTTAGCTATGGTTCCACCTGTACCTGTGAACCCGTGCGTACCGTCGCCGTGTGGACCGTTCTCGCAATGCCAGGACATAGGGGGTATCCCGTCCTGTTCCTGCTTACCTAATTATGCCGGTTCGGTTCCGAACTGTCGCCCTGAGTGCTTAATCAACACCGACTGCACCAGCAACAAAGCCTGTATCAGAGAGAAATGCAGGGATCCGTGTCCAGGTTCTTGCGGAACAAACGCGTTATGCAATGTTATTAATCACACGCCAGCTTGCACTTGTCCTAGCGACTTTACAGGAGATCCGTTCACCAGCTGCCAACCGAAACCAGCAAGTAAGGATACATGTCTTTTAATCGGGCTAAACCGAGCCACCTGAATGTCTCCTCCAATTGTGGCGACGCAACAAATATTCCTTGCAACGTACTGGTGTATGAAATCTTTCTTGTGCCGCCACGATTGGAAATATTTAAGCGAGACAACCTGTATAAATGAAATAAAACGATCGCTGACTCTCCCTTCCACAAACCACAGTTACAACTCCAACGATGTCCGATCCGTGCAACCCATCGCCGTGCGGACCAAACGCGATATGTCAAAATGGAATCTGTAGCTGCGTAAGCGAGTATCGCGGTAATCCCTACGAAGGATGTTACCCAGAGTGCGTGCAAAACTCCGATTGTACACGCAACAGAGCTTGCTCCAACAACAAATGCGTGGACCCCTGCGTCGGTATCTGTGGTCAGAATGCCGAATGTGTGGTGGTCAACCATATTCCCACTTGCAGTTGCATAGAAAATTACGAAGGGGATTCTTTCACTCTCTGTAGACCGATTCGAAGTGAGTTTTACCACCGTTGCAGCTTGCAGCCAGCAAAGAATTAACTAAAACACCCGGTCATTTAATAACTCGATCCTGTTACGTATCGATAGAGCGCGTGAAACCTTGCGAGCCCTCGCCCTGTGGACCTAACACCGTGTGCCGTGAATTCGGCGAACAAGCATCGTGCTCCTGCCTCCCTGGATACTTTGGAACTCCGCCCAGCTGCAGACCCGAGTGTCTCGTGAACACAGACTGCGAACAAAGCAGAGCTTGCGTGAACGAGAGGTGCCGGGACCCGTGCGAGAACTCTTGCGGTCAGGGCGCGTTATGCGCGGTCCGAAATCACAACCCCATTTGCAGCTGCCCCGCCCAGTATTCCGGCGACCCGTTTGTCAGCTGTTTCCCCATGAGTAAGTAACCCAACAATGCCCACCGTCTATTTCTTGCACCTTTTCAGACACTGTTAACCCGACGTTTGTGGACGAACAGAAACCCACGACCTGGAACCCAGCCTGGACCCGTGCAATCCCTCGCCGTGTGGACCGAACTCCCAGTGCACCGTGTCGCCCGCCAGAAAACAGTCCTGCAGCTGTTTGCCCGAGTTCGTAGGGTCTCCTCCCAACTGTAGACCCGAGTGCCTAGTCAGCAGCGAGTGTCCTGGCGATCAAGCGTGCGTTAGGCAGAAGTGTAGCGACCCTTGCGTAGGACTCTGCGGCCCTAACGCGCTCTGCCAAGTTGTCATGCATTACATCCGTTGCGTCTGCCCCGAAGGATTTACCGGAGACCCGGTCACAGTTTGTTCCCCGATAACGAGTAAGAATTGTCCCGTGTGACCGTACTATTCGCGCCAATTTTTCACGATCAGAATACAGAGAGATGTCCCGCGACTTTCATTTTGGGATCCTTTTAACAAAGAAGTTTGTTGAATCTTTTTTTTAGCTGTAAATATTGTATATAAAGATTGTATAGAAAATACTGCATGTCGATTACAGGCAGTACTGCCACCTTTTCGCATCGTTTCTGCCTCTCTCTTCGGATACAATCCTGTTCATATTCTTCATTCTATATCGTCTCTCACAACTTATGTAAAGTCACGTACATCTCCAATTCGCGTGTTCTTGTACAGCCTCTGTTTCATTCACTGTTTTTCTTTTTTGTAAATTAACATATACAGTTTCTGTTTCATTAACTAATTATCGAAACGGCGCATTGAATAAATGATTAAATTGTCTTGTTACTTTATTGTAGCAACTCCTGCGCCACCGACACCATCGAGACCCTGCAGTCCTTCACCCTGCGGTGTCAACGCTTACTGCCGTGAAAGATACAACACCGCGTTCTGCGAGTGTGTGCCTGGTTACAGGGGAAACGCTTACGACGGCTGTGTCCCGGAATGTCTCGTGAACACCGACTGCCCGAAGTCTCAAGCCTGCATCAGGACCAAGTGCCAGGACCCTTGTACCGGAACTTGTGGCGTCGGAGCGATCTGCACCGTGTCGAATCACATCCCCATCTGCTCTTGCCCTCTACCAACAATTGGGGATGCGTTCACCCTCTGCCGTGCTGAAGGTATCTTCGATAATATTTATCGAAAACTTTTGGATCTTTAACTCGAATTGAAATTGAACGTGTTCGATCTTTATTTTTCAGAACCGAAAGAGAGAGATCCTTGCTCTCCGTCTCCTTGCGGTGCAAACACTCTCTGCGAGAAGGTAGGCAATACAGCGGTATGCAAGTGTCTGCCTAGCCTGCAAGGAGTGCCAACGAGCATCACAGGCTGTCATCCGGAGTGCGTGATCAGCTCCGACTGTCCAGGGGACAAAGCTTGCATAAACAACAGATGCGTGAATCCATGCACACAGAACGTCTGCGGGATCAGAGCAACTTGTCAAGCGATCAATCATAGTCCGCTTTGCAGCTGTCCGACCCCGTTGATCGGCAATCCGTTCGTAGAATGTTACACGAAATTCGGTAAGTCGCCTACGACTACCGAAGGCGAAACTGCAAATCTGAAGATGTACTGCAAGAAATGAATTGATCGAAGTAAGGTTCCTTCCAAAAAGTTAGAAACCACTGATGTAAGGTATTCCTTTTCAGAAACCAATCCTTGCAGTCCGTCTCCGTGCACCTACAATGGCGAATGCAAAGTCAGAAATGGCGTTGCGGTGTGCATCTATCCAGAGTGTGTCATCAACGACGATTGCCCACGAGACAAAGCTTGTTTCGCGCAGAAATGCAGAGATCCGTGCCTCGGTGCTTGTGGCATCAACTCACTTTGTCAGACGGTCAACCATAAACCTGTCTGCTCATGCCCGGCTGGATTCACTGGCAACGCTAGGATACAGTGCAACGTTCCACCAGCCGATGGTGATTATCTCGAAATTAACAATCTTCCAAGGGTTAAATAAATATGTACATACCATTAATTGATATTTGCGTCTTGTATCTTTGCAGTACCAGCGCCAGAGTGTACCCAGAATTCCGAATGCCCTAACGATAAGACCTGTTATAACCAGAAGTGCGTGGATCCTTGTACGCTGGACCCCTGTGGCTATAACAGCCGCTGTCACGTGCTGCTGCACCGGGCTGTATGCTTTTGCAACGAAGGCTTCACCGGAAATCCTCAACAATACTGCAGCCAAAGTATGTTTTTCAAATACGTCTCAAGCAGAAATTTAACAACACTTAATCTGGATAATCTTTTACCTCCTTTCACAGTTGGCTGTCGTGGAGATAGCGAGTGCCCGTTGACCCAATCATGCGTCAACAACGAGTGCATAGACGCCTGCTTGGTGACGCAATGCGGCGTCAACGCTCTTTGTACATCCGATGGATATCACAGACCAAGGTGCTACTGTCCTGACGGATATCAAGGCAATCCGTATCAAGTATGCGAGAGACCGGAATGTACCAACGACAACGACTGTCCATCTTCCCTGGCGTGCAGCAATCAGAGATGCGTCAACCCTTGCAACTGCCCACTGTCCGCTCAATGTTCCGTCATCAATCATCGACCTACTTGTCGATGCCCACCAGGTTACACCGGTGATCCGTACACGTCGTGTCTGATGGGTAATTAAAGTTATTTTTATCTCTGAATTAACGTTCAACCTCCAGAGCTTACGTTCTTCGTCTCCTTTCAGAAACAATAGAACCGCAGCCTGAATGCCAAGTGGACGGTGACTGCCCCAGCAAGTTGGGCTGCTTCAATGGAGTCTGTAAAGATCCCTGCATCGAAACCAAACCTTGCATCGCTGGAGCAAAATGCTCTGTCGTGGATACTTTACCAATGCGGACGATGATCTGTGAATGCTTGCCGAATTTCGCTGGCGACGCAACAGTCGCGTGCATTCCAGGTACAAATCAATTAAAAGTTATTGTAAGTATACTGGCACCATCGTTGCAACGTTCTCGTTTTTTCAGTGGATAAACAACTCGACGCAATCTGCCAAACGGACTCCGAGTGTACTACGAATATGGCCTGTTTGAACCAACGGTGCATCAACCCTTGCATTATCAGTCCCTGCGCATCGAATGCAGAGTGTGCCGTAGAAAATCATCGTCATCAGTGTCATTGTTCTACCGGACTTTCTGGCGATCCGTTCATGAACTGCTATAGAGGTACTGAATTGATTGTCTGATGCATTTAAACGGTTAATACGAATGTAATTTTCTTTCACAGATACTGACGGATTCCCAGAGTGTACAACGAACTCTGACTGTTCGTACAACGCGGCCTGTATAAACCAGCTGTGCCAAAATCCGTGTCTAGGCTCACAGTGCGGTCTAAACGCTGAGTGTGTCACGGTCAACCACCATCCGACGTGTCACTGTCAGCAGAATTTCGCCGGCGACCCTCAACTGCAATGTTTCAAACGTAAGTTTAAAGTAGAATCACATAAGTTTAAAGAATCGACTTATAACGTTTATCTATGTATGTTTTTTTTTTTTTTAGCTGAATGCAAGTCGGACAGCGACTGCCCCTATGATAAGACATGTCAGAATAATAACTGTGTCACTCCTTGTCTGGTCGATGATATTGCATGCGGTCGCGGTGCAGAGTGTATCGCGATCTCGCACAGAGCCCAATGCGCTTGTCCGCGAGGCACCCAAGGAGATCCGCGAGTGGCTTGCATTTCTACAGTATGTCACTATAACGAAGACTGCGCCGATCACGAAGCGTGCGACAGACTGAACAGAGTTTGTCGACCGGTTTGCGACGACGACGTCTGCGCGGAATCCGCGAAATGCATTGCCAGGGATCATCAACCGAAGTGCACGTGCCCCGCGGGAACCTCTGGAAATCCTTACATCGAATGCACCGGTGAGTAATTTTGTTTAGAGACGAGAAAACAGTAATAATAAAATTTCCAAATTCCCTCAAGGTGTCTCCATCGAAATGGGATGCAGAGAAGACGGCGAATGTCCGTTCTATCAGGCCTGCATAAACGGAAAATGTCAAGATCCTTGCCTGTCTTCGAACATGTGCACCGGCGATCAGATATGCAAAGTGTTGAACACAGTGCCACTTCGTACGATGATCTGCAGCTGCCCGCCTAATACCATCACTGACATTAACGGGCAGTGCAAGAAGATTGGTAAATATTACTGTTAATAAGTATTATTACACTTCCTTATCGTCTACGTCGGAAGCATAAGAGATAATCATAATGCAAATTGCGTTACAGTGCTGGCGGACGTTGATTGCCATCAGGACGAAGACTGCAGTAATTCGGAGAAGTGCATTGGCGGAACTTGTATCGAGGCTTGCCTTACCACCCAATGTGGGCTGAATGCCCAATGCAAGTCCACGTCTCACACGGGAATCTGTCAATGCGCGCCCGATTTCACCGGAAATGCTTATCTTGAATGCGTCAGAGGTACGTTTCAAGCGATACCAACTGAAATACATACTGAATTCGGGGCTGCCGGTTCCACTGAAAATTACAAACGATTACGTTTCAGCTCCCGTTACGCCATTACCACCGGTGCGTCCAGAGTGTTACGCCAACAGCGAATGCTCCAGTGATAGGCAGTGCATAAACTCCTTCTGTGTGAATCCGTGCGTCGTCGCGGATCCTTGCGGAAGAAACGCACTATGCCACGTGAACGATCACATTCCGGTCTGCAGATGCCCCGAAAACTACGAGGGCGATGCGAGAATCAATTGCATACCGCGTAAGTGTAAAATATATTAATAATTTTGGAAATGGTCACAAATGTTCGAAACAATTCAATGTTTCTTTTCTACAGCGGGCATCGTGGCCGAGTGTCACTCGAACAGCGACTGCGCTGGCAATGCTGCCTGCGTCAACAGCTTGTGCATCAACCCCTGCAATTGTGGGTCGAACGCAAAGTGCAACGTCGCAGATCACTATCCATCCTGCGTGTGTCCGCCTGGTTACTCCGGAAACCCTCAACTCGGTTGCTTCAAACGTGAGTCCTGTTTCTTGTTGAAGGGATGGAGCTATACCTTTGAATCTTACAGAATCCCTACTAATATAATTTAATGAAATCTCTTGCCACAGTGGACTGTGAGTCGGACAGCGAGTGCAACGACGCAGCGACTTGCTACAACGGCCAATGCGTGAATCCTTGCATCCTGGAGAACAAATGTGCCATCAACGGGGAGTGTTACGGCCAAAACCATCGCGCGGTTTGTCGCTGCGGCCCGGGCTACCTCGGCAATCCGGAAGTCCATTGCGAGAGAGTCGAGTGCAGCGCGGACCACGACTGTCCTCGAAACCTGGCCTGCGACAATGGACGCTGCGTGAGTCCTTGCATCGAGGACTCACCGTGTGCACAGAACGCCATTTGTTACGTCCAAGATCACGCGGCCACCTGTCGCTGTCCAGAAAATCTTCCGATCGGAAATCCGTACTCCTACTGCGAACATCGTCCAACGACGGTGCTCGACGAACCAGAGTGCAGGCTCGACATCGACTGCGCCGACAAGCTGGTGTGCATCAAGGACAAATGCATCGATCCGTGCCCGGTGATCAAACCATGTCCGGAGAACGCTCGATGCAACGTTCTTGATACGGTTCCCGTGAGGACTATGACGTGTACTTGTCCGGAAGGCTGGACAACCGACGTGGACGAAGTCTGCAGACCGAGTAAGGACGATTTCAGTTTAGGACAACGATTCAGAATGTCACACAAATCCTTTTATGTTAATAACGATTATATTTCCAGTTCAAATAACAACAATCGGAGCCTGCACCACGAACGACGAGTGTGGCGACAACGAGGCCTGCATCAACAGACAGTGCAGGGACCCCTGCAACTGCGGCACCAACGCCGTCTGCCACGTGAGGGATCACAAACCGATCTGTTCGTGCGAGGAAGGCTATCAGGGCAACCCGGACATCGTTTGCCATTCGGTGGAATGTAGACGGGACAGCGAATGCGCTCTCGACAAGAGCTGCGTGAACAACAACTGCGTGAATCCTTGTCTGGTGTCCGACAGCTGCGGCGTGAACGCCGAGTGCTATCCCAACAACCACAAAGCCGACTGCCGCTGTCGCAAGGGATACCATGGAAATGCTTTGGACCATTGCAGAGTAATCGGCTGTTACAGCAACGGGGACTGTCCTAGCGATCATTCGTGCATCAACCTACAATGCGTGGACGCCTGCGTCCATAGCAACCCCTGTTCACCGCTAGCCGAATGTAGAGTCTTCAACCATCTGCCCATTTGTCGTTGTCCAGCCCATCACGTGGGTAATCCTTACGTAAACTGTAAGCCGGAGGACAGACCCGAGTGCAAGGAGGACAGCGACTGTCCCGACTCGCTGGCCTGCTTCAACAACAAATGTCAGAACCCTTGCACCGTCATCGAACCGTGCAGCGAACCGTCAGAATGTAGAGTACTTCCAACCCATCCTGTTCGAACCATGGTCTGCGTATGTCCCAGCGGTTACGTGAGCAGCGGTAGCGGAACCTGTCGAGCCACCAAACCGATCCTCAGCATCGAGTGCACCAGGGACACTGACTGTCCTTCGCAGAAGTCCTGCGTGAATGCCGTGTGCAAGGATCCTTGCGCCTGCGGGCCTAACTCGGAGTGCACCGTCGTTGATCACAAACCAATTTGCGCCTGCGACGTGGGCTACGACGGAAATGCCGACGTGGCGTGCACCAAGGGTAGGGACAAACTAGATACAAGGCTCGAATGGGTGTTTGAATTAAACTGATCTTAATTTGATTTTTCCTCAGTCGTTGGATGCCGCGCTGACAGCGATTGCAGCGGATCGCACGCATGCCTGCAACACAGCTGCGTTCCAGTATGCTCGCCATCGACCACCATCTGCGGGAAAAACGCCGAATGCCACGGCATCAACCACAAAGCCATTTGCGAGTGTCCGCCTGGACTTGGGGGGAACCCGAGGGTCGGTTGCACTCTTCTTGGCTGCAGAACCAACTCGGATTGCCCCACGAACAAGGCTTGCATCAACAGTCGCTGCGAGAATCCATGCGCGGTGAACCCATGCACTGGGAACCTCGACTGCAACGTTTACAACCACGTGGTAGAATGTGCTTGTCCCCCTGGTTATATCGGCGACGTTAATTCAGGATGTACCAAACGTACGAGTTATATACACGCATACGTCTTAAAGTTCTGGCGGTTAAACTAATTTTCTGACTCCTGTTTTCAGTAACGAAGAAGTGCAAGGCGGACAACGAGTGTCCATCTCAGACCGCCTGCTTCAACGGCGAGTGCATAAATCCTTGCGTGAAGATCCAACCGTGCGGAGTGAACGCGGATTGCAAGGTCCTGGATACCAATCCTGTGAGGACTATGATCTGCGAGTGTATTCCTGGTTACAGAGGAAACGCAGTCGTCCGTTGTGAAAAAAGTAATTCTCGATCTGCAGTGTTCGAATAGATTGTTGGAATATTTCTAAATGCATCGTTTTCTTGTTTTACAGCTGACGTGTGCCCGGCAGAGAAGGGTCAGGTCCGTGACGAGAATGGTAACTGCGTTTGTCTACCTGGTTCGGCTAAGGACGAGAACGACATTTGCATACCGTGCCGCAAACAGTCCGGAATGATAATCAACGAAGAAGGATACTGCGTGTGCGCTTTGGAGAACGGCATGATCATCGACGAGTATGGTCGCTGTGTGTGTCCAACGGAACATGGATACAGACTAGACGCCAATGGATATTGTAAATTGGGTACGTCGAAAACTCGATGATCTATCTTTGTCGAGCACTGGCTGGAAAAAAGTGCATTGCTCTCAAGGATTCCAAAGAGATTCTCGCTAATAAAACGCCTGCCTTTCAGTTGACATAATCGAATGCAGACGCGACGACGATTGCGCCGACAACAGATACTGCGACTTGACCAGCCAAACCTGCGAAGATCCATGCTTGACGCAACTGTGTGGCATGAATGCACTCTGCAACGCTACCCGTCATCAAGCTATATGCACATGCATCAGCGGCTACAGTGGAAACGCTTACACTCAATGCTGTAAGAACTCGTTTCATCGTAAAAGTTCTTCGATTTGCAAGCGTTTTGGTAATTAATACGATACTTGTCCAACAGACAACGGAAACCGAGGGCGTACCGACTTCCCTAGGCCAGATATAATTGTTAGCTGCTTATCTGATGGAGTACAAGTCCTCATACACCTTCTGGACGACGAATTCGATGGTGTTTTGTACGTGAAAGGTCGCAGCAAAGATGAACAATGCAGACGAGTTGTTTCCATTTCTTCGGAAACGATGCACAAGACTGAAATATTCAAAGTGGCGTTTGGAAATTGCGGACTGATACATGTAAACGTAGGTTCCCTTTTGTACAAAAATTTCGATCCGCTTGATTTCCCTGCAAAACTATCCATACTCGATGTAGATCCTTTTGCATCCATATTTAACGTGTTAACGTCGTCCTCTTTCGATGCTTTCAGGGACAAGCCAGCTTCGTACTGGTCATACAAAAACACCCTAAACTGATGACATACAAGGCTCAGGCATATCACATCAAATGTATATACCAAACTGGTGAACAAAATGTTACTCTTGGCTTCAATGTTTCTATGCTGACCACCGCTGGAACCATCGCTAACACCGGTCCGCCTCCAATTTGCTTGATGAAAATTGTCACCCAAAGCGGAAATGAAATCACCTCCGCTGAGATCGGGGACAATCTAATGTTGCAAGTTGAAGTTCAGCCCTCCAGTGAGTATAAAACTTGTTCGGTCTATGGATCGATACGTTCTATTTGCTCCAGCCAAAATGCAAACTTCGTGTGTTCAGGCATTTACGGAGGATTCGCTCGAAACTGCGTTGCCAAGACGATGGAGGACAACCTGGAGAACGAATATATCGTGACAGATGAAAACGGATGCGCGACGGATCCAACAATATTTGGCGAGTGGGAGCAAAATCCTGAAACGCAGGCGCTGATGGCTAGTTTCAACGCATTCAAGTTCCCAAGCAGCGATAATATACGATTCCAGTGTAATATTCGCGTTTGCTTCGGACGGTGCCAACCCGTGAGTACTCGTACACTGCTTTCAAGTGATTTATCGAACAAGTACTCTAAAGAAGATACTGATGGTAACCCATAACGACTATTTTTTCAGGTCAATTGCCGAGGATACAACGCATTTGGCCGACGACGACGAGACGTTGATTCCGAAGTTAACGATACGTCTTTGAGCGTCGCGGACAATTTTGAGGGACAACTTCGAGAAGAAATAACAATTCAATCGAATTTGATATTCACTCTGGAGCGAAGAGAAGAGAGGCTTACAGCGGATCCAGCTGAAAGTATGTCGATATGTTCTTAACGATTTTCTTCATTAAACAGATTGGCCAAATATATTCTACTAATATGTAATGTTTATTGTTTCAGTTGCTTCGGCGCAAAGAGTGGAGGATATATGTGTTTCTATGGTCGGCTTTGTGATAGCATTAGTTATTACAGCACTCCTGGCACTAGTCGCTGTAGCTATTGCTGTATCATGCTGGCTAATGGCGTACCGTCGCCAGCCAAAGACTGCTGGACCACTGCCACATCCACCAGAGTTCCCAAATCCACTGTTCACTACTGAATCTGTAGCTGAACCTTCTCCTGATTATCACCTATCATAAGTTTCGTAGGATAATTATTATTTTATAACGTAATTTTATAATCGTCATCGGAATGCATTTCTGACCGCGTTTCCTGCCGGTCGGTCTTGTATTTCTGTAAACGACTCCTCCAGTGACTAGCCCTCCATACATTTCTTCCAAGGGTTCACAACGACGCGTCATATGAATCACGATATATATAAATATATATAAAGAGAGATATATGTACTATTTATGGTGATGGTTGCTTCCATTATCTACACAGAAAAAATTTTCCGACGTTCCTTTTTTTTTTTCTATACTATACTCCCTCTATTTAGTCATTGGAAGATTCGTTCAGCGTAACACTGTGAATTTAATTCCTGTGTAAAGTCAAACGAATTAGTCTAATATAACTTTCTTACTTCGAAAGTAGGTAACTGTACATTTTCTCTAATAAAACGCTAATGTAATATTTTTAAAATGTTGCCCCATCATTCGCTGCGTACATGTCCGAACGAAATCGCGAACATTAGGCGTTAAGGGGACCTCCGTCAGTTGTTGGCCCTTCGAAAACTAACACCGACATCCCCACCACCAGCTACCCCTCACACTACGCTCCGTCCAATTTTATGTGTCACCAAAAACGAAATACGATCAATCTACGGATCGAATGTTACTGTCACTATCATTCAACGACGGCTTCCCCACCATCGATTTAGACGAAAGTCTAAACTTGGGCATGTTTTTATTTAATCCTTATGTTTACCTTAATAAAAAATCAAAATCATAATGCATACTTTCTATGCTTCTTACATACATTCTCCTCTACCTTTCCCAATAAATCCTTAATTTATGTAAAGTTATATAATTCCTTATAATTACTCCAAATATTAATTCGAATCTGATTAAGTCCTTAAGACTCTTTTGAAGATATGGAGAACTCTGAGTTTATTCTTATATCTGTTAAACAAACTCCTAGCTGTCTCCTAGCGATAAAACAAAAACATTAACATTAACTTTTTCTCATATAACAACCCTAACTTCAACCTTTTAATCGATAACGTAGAGCACAACCACACAACAGAAAACGCCCCTGTTGTCACAAACAGGCTTCCTTCGTTTCGTGGCAGGTAAAACGATCGTTGATACCATGGAAATTACATATACGGGCAGGAAGACGAAAGAGTGGCCAGCTCGACGTATTTAAATCTTCTTTGTTACTAACACTTAAGATTCAATACGGAAGATTTAAATACGTCGAGCTGGCCACTGTTACTAATCATAAGATCGTAAGGCTGACCTCCTACGTCTAATGATCTCGTCTGTGCCCTCTCGTGCTAAAACGCCCAAGTTTGTCGTGGAATAGTTGACCATCTTTGACGCTAGATGGCGCGCATTTTTCGACCTTGTGGCCGCCAGTCGGAACGTTGGCGCATCTCGGCCATCACCGTGATGCCCCTGGTAGACAGACAGCGAATTAATGGGGTTTTCCCAAAATCGAGTGACCACTCTAGTTACAATAAGGTAGCTGGGACAACGCGCGCGGAAGAATACGAGGAGACACGTTGTTGATTTACGTTTAGTTACATTTGTTAACACTTTTTGAGAAATCAGAGATGCCAGAAAAACACCGCCGGGTGCACACGCACACATGCCAGATACGCGTACGTGAACTCGTGGAGTTTCGGAAAGTCGACAAAGGCAAACTGACGCATGCCCTCTTTCTCGATTCTCCGAAGCTGCCCGAAGTAATTTCGGATCGCCTCGTGGGAGTCGAGAGAGAAAGGCTCACATTTGCCTTCTCGCTCTAAACAACTGAAATCCGACCTCCCGTCAACGGCATACGATTTGGATTCTCGAGCCGAGATTCTCGACTGCCCAGGCATTTTTACTTTCCGACCTATGTAGGCGCACATAAGCAAAGTACCCATAATGAAAAAAAAATTTTGTAAAATTTATTTTACGGAAATACACGTTTTTAGACCTCCTGATCATATTTTAATTATTGAAAAAAAAAGAAATTTTTTTTTATTCCCATGTATGAGCACACATATGTATATTATTAATACGATTTTTGAAAATCAAAATACTTTAAGATTGAAAATTAATAAATTAAAATGAGATTCCACTCTTTACCAGTATTGTGCACGCTGTGGTATTTTTCAATAAGAAGAGTTCTTACTTTTATAACATAAACAAAACAGTAGAATTAATAATTGCAGAAATTAATTAATAATGATTTTCCTCGATTGTTTTGAAATAACCGTATCAATTGATTATGACGAACTAAATAGAACTAACTAGAAACAAAGGAAAAGTGATCCCGTTTGCCAGTTTAATACAAAGTATGGGTTGTATCTTAAATTTTAAAAGCACATAGTCGAATATTTTTAAAGGTACAAAACATAGCGTTTCATTGTAGAACAGTAACATAAGTTAGCAGGTAATGTCATAAAACTGTTTTTCCCAGCTATATCCCTTTTTACCTGAAGTATAAGGTAAAAAGTACGAGCTACAAGGTATGACTATCCGAAAATCGTTCACATTTTATCAATGTAAATGAAGCGGCCTTTCCATCAGAGTTAAATACAAAATTTTGTAATTTCTGTGAAAACAAAACTCAGTAAATGTACGTGGTGCTTGAAATTTTTATGTTTTGACTGTTTTTGTGAAAAGTACCATCCAGATTCATGTACTTCGTACATTGAAAATAACATATGTTAAATGTAATCGGTTAAATTTAACTTTAAAAAAAAATATTCGAAGGTCAGACAAAAATATAATGTCATATTTAGTGTACGATTAAAGTGTGATTGAAAAAATAAAAAAAAATAGTTCAAGGCAGGGTTCGAACCAGCAGAGCAGAAGAAGTTCGGAACTTGCAGGCAAAGACCTCATCACTCACGCCACGCTGATTAGTGGTGAACATAGTTCTATTTCTGAAAATAAGTACCTGTAATAACTTTAATAATATCTCAAAGTAAAACCTAACCCAAAACCTGGTACCATTCCAACTTTTCCTTGTTAGAAACGAGTTTTCAATTTGTCTTAGCGAAAATCGCAATCACATTTTGCACATTATTCTAAAACATTTGTGGTATTCGTTTTCAATGCGATTTAAGTAAGCATGTAATGTATAAGATTTCATTTAATGTTTTCTTTTCTAGAGAAGATAGAGAAAAAGTTTATATAATTTTTTTTATATAAAATTTAATTCGTCCTAAGATTTATATGAAACATTTAAAAGATTTTTTATACATTATGCCTATATATCGGAACAACTATGAAACAAGAGGTATAATCTGTAAGGAGCGTATGTGTGTGGCTAGGAGAACCGTTATCGTTTGCGTCGATAGGAGTGTTTAGTCTAAGCTAGAGTAGGTATCGAGTGAGGTGTTTAGGTTTAAGCTGAAATACGTTTTAGAGACTGCGTCTCGAACGTGCGTTTTGTTTAGATCATTATTATAAGATAGGAATAAGGAAGGGTCGACTTTGACTGCAGGATCGTCACTTTGTATCGAACGTTAGTCGAGAGCAATCACAGTTTTACGTTTATGATCTTTTACGTTTACGTTTTATGTCTTTCTTTTATGTTCTTTATGTTAAATAGTTAGTAAATATTAAATAATATAATTACATCGTTACGTTTAGTGTTCACGTATTTGAATCCGTCCACACGCCTTTGAAATGAGAACATAAAACTTAAATGTAAAGTTTCATTTAAATTCATTCAGCTATTTATATTTAATCGTATTAATAATATACATATGTGTGCTCATACATGGGAATAAAAAAAAATTTCTTTTTTTTTCAATAATTAAAATATGATCAGGAGGTCTTAAAACGTGTATTTCCGTAAAATAAAGTTTACAAAATTTTTTTTTCATTATGGGTACTTTGCTTATGTGCGCCTACATAGGTCGGAAAGTAAAAATGCCTGGGCAGTCGAGAATCTCGGCTCGAGAATCCAAATCGTATGCCGTTGACGGGAGGTCGGATTTCAGTTGTTTAGAGCAAGAAGGCAAATGTGAGCCTTCTCTCTCGACTCCCACGAGGTGATCCGAAATTACTTCGGGCAGCTTCGGAGAATCGAGAAAGAGGGAATGCGTCAGTTTGCCTTTGTCGACTTTCCGAAACTCCACGAGCTCACGTACGCGTATCTGGCATGTGTGCGTGTGCACCCGGCGGTGCTTTTCTGGCATCTCTGGTTTATTCTTACTTGATGCACGTGGTTCGTTTCCACGAATTATGCGCGTGCGTTCGTAGGCCCACCCCTACGACCACGGATATTAATATTCGAAATAACTGAACACGTGTATGTAACAACAACAACAATAACGAGTATTACTTTATTAACGCTAGACGTACAAGTCTTTGTCTAGCAACAGGAGTTTTAATCTTTATCTTTTTGAGGTGCTTCTTCGCAAAGTTCTTACCAAGCAGTGAGTTGAGCGCCCTTGCTCTTTTGGGAGGACGCGCTTTCGCCCTGCTGCGCTGCGCGCGCAGCCTTACGGCTGATTCGCTCTTGTCGGGAAACTGCTCCCTTGTACTCTTGTGCGGACGAGACCATAAGTCTCGACCCCACAAGGTCGAAAATGCGCGCCATCTAGCGTCGCAGACAACGAACTATTTGACGACAAACTTGATAAGACTCGCACAGGTGGTCCCTCTCGACTCCCACGCGGCAGTCCGAAATTACTTTGGTTAGTTTCGGAGAATCGAGAAAGAGAGCATGTGTCAGTTTGCCTTTGTCGATTTTCCGAAATGTGTATGAGCTCACATACGCGTGATCTGGCATAGTGTGAGTAGTGCACTCGGTGCTCAATCTGGCATCTCTGATCTGGGCACACTGTACTGACTACTGAACAGTAGTTTAGGCGCGAGAAATTTTGTCATACGTAACTGTGTCATAATAACAATTTGTAATTTAAAGAATTATAGACATTTATAGTAGCAGTTGTAATATTATTAAAACATCACGAACATCATTTTATAAAATATGTAGAAGTATATTTCTAGTATTAAAAGATTCCTCGACGTTTATTTGTTAAAGAGCACTAACCTATCCCCGAATGATTTAAGCCAGCACGATGACACTTTAAACGATTAAAGTTCGTTTCATGAATTACAGTGGTTAAAATTACCGTGTACTGTACGAAATTAAATTGTGTAATGTTACTTATAATTCTATAATCAGTGTTATCTAATCATTTCATCAGTATTTATTAAAACTTATGTACGACGTCATGTTCTGTAACATTCAAACATGTTTCGTTCTTGAATAGAATATATTTTTAACAAATAATAGAACTGCGGTATTTGCTTACAACAATCTCACTTCCGAGTCGAAGTATTTTTGTTACCAAAATGGTTAATGAGGAAAGTCAAATTGATACAGGTGTAAATCTTTACTTTGTTGTGCCAAATAAATACAAGTCTGAAGATGATTGCACAGAAGAGATGTGGCATACATACAATGTTAGTAAATAAATCGAAATATAAACAAAAATGTTCATATTACAGAATTGTGATAATTTAATAAATTATTTCTTTTTTCAGAAATGTTGCGAAAATGAGTTACAACCAATGTGGATTACTGAATCTAAATGTGATAAAATGAAACCAGCTAAAAATGATGTTTTTATAATGGAAGAATTTGAAGGTGATACATTTGAGAAATTAAAAACGTTCAAATGTCCGTGAGTAAGACCATTTGATATTAAAGTTTAATAATAGAAATCTGTCGCTGTTTTATTTTATTTTAATAAAATGTTTCTCTGTAATGTTAAATCACTATTGCAGGATAGTTGGACCCAGATGCTTGCTGCTTTGTTTTATCAATGGAGAACCAATCCCAGAAGGAAAGAGTCCAGTATATACAACATCTATGAGAGGACTTTGTATATGTGCTTCTGGTTTCTCTCCACAAGAGAAAGTATGTCTAATGAATTTCTTGTATATCGGTAATCCATTTAAGAGTATCTAAAACATCTTATGATTACAGGAACACATAGAAAAATTAGTGGAGTACATGGGTGGTATTTTTACAAAACAGTTACGTAGTCGTGTAACTCATCTTATAACAGCATCTGTGATGTCTGCAAAGTATGAGGTAATTAATATTAAAATTAAATCCATACTTCTTTAACATTTGATTTTTTTCAACAGACTGCCATAGAGATGCAAATACCAATAGTTACAAAGAAATGGATTGATACAATTTGGGAAGTAAATTTAAAGGAATTTGTTAAAGCAGACGATAGCATGTTTGATAAATACAAAGCATCTGTTTTCCTTAATTTAATTGTAACATCGACGAACCTTCCAAAACGTGAAAAAGAAGAAGTCAAACGCTTAATCAGTGATCATGGAGGAGTAAAATATAACTTTAAATTATTGTAATTTGTATTATTTTAGCATTTGCTTACATAATTATTTTTCCAGATATTTATGGGTCCCCTAGATGGAGCAAAAGTTAAAGTTGTGCTCGCGCCTGAAAATAGTCCATTAAGTGAAAAATTGAGATATGCAAGACGAGCAAACATTGCTTGTTTAACGCCAAATTGGGTCTATGAAAGCATAAAAGTTGGCTATGCTTTACCCTTCAAGAATTTTTTGATCAAATCATCAAAAGCGTGTTCCACTCCAGAACGAATGAATGGTACATATATCTGCTATTGTAGAGCTGTCCTAATTTTGCTGATTTTAATCCTGCGTAACAATTAATATTTTAATCGTTTAAATTACAGCGACATGCGAAACTTTTAATTGTTCAACAATAAGTGCTATAACATGTGATCTGCAACCAGTTAATTGCGTGGATGAAAGTTTACTAACAACAATCAGCAGTGCATCTACTTTAGACCTATTACCTAATTCTGGTTAGTGATAAAACATACGAAAAATGGCTTATTTTAGTAATAATTCTAAGCCAATCGAAATTTTTAGCCAGGTCAAGTATAGTTTTGGATAGGCTTTCATTCGGTGAAGCAAAGTCGGCTGGTCCGTTTTTGGATGGGTGTAACGTATGTGAATTAAATACATATCCTATGATTTACAATATTACAAACTGATATTTCTTTAATTAGTTATTTTTACTCTTCTCAGATTTACCTTGCTGGATTTGCTTCTAATCAAAGGGATAAGCTTAACAAAATATTAAACGTAGGCAGTGCAACGCGACTCGATGATATATCGGATGCTTTAACACACGTTATCGTAGGTGATGAAAATAGAGCAGCGAGCGACATGAAACTAATGAAATCGAAAGGATTATGGTATGTTAGCGAACGAATATCGAAATCATTTATTATGTGGCATTTTAACGCCAATAAATACATTTTATAGTCCGTATATATTAACTTTGGAATGGCTGGAGGAGAGTGTCAAATTAAAACGACCCGCACCGGAGGAGAATTTTTTATTCCAACAAAAATGTAATGTAATACCAACGGCTACGGAACCTCAATCCCCGTTAAGCAAAAGAGTAAGTGTACAACATATCCGGCAAGTAAAATCTATCTACTTCAAAATTACACATATTTTTCAGAATTTACAAATGTTGCAAAAACCGAAGAAGGTACCTATTCCGTCTTTTGATATAGATAAAAAATTGTCAATGCTCGAAAAAGAGAAAGACTCTGATCTTGTACAACAATATCTTCAAGATACAGTTGGTAATGTTCTTATATAATAACTATCTATACACATTTTAAGGAAAATATTTCGATGTATAATTTATTAGTTGTCTTTAATCTAGTTTCAGTAAATGATAATACAATACAAGAATTTCTGAAGTCACGTACACCTGTTACAGAAGAGAATAATGAGAAAACTATAATCAATGATCGTGAAAGTCAAGCAAGACAATTAAAAAATACATTAGTATCTGAAACTATACAAAGTAAACCTAAAATAGATGATACCGAGATGCCAATCAGCCAGACTTCCACTATAAATGAAAAGCTGTTTGAAGGTAATTCTATCTATGTTCTTAATAAATATGATAACATCGAATTGTGAGCAATAATGAAAGAAAATAATATACAGGACATACATTCGTTGTAACTGGCTTCAGCGAGGAAGAGAGTTATGTAGCAGGAACTATTGTGGCAATGGGTGGACAGGTTGTTTCAAGCACATTCGTTGGTATCCCAGACTATGGTGTTGTACCTAAATGCGGCGCATTTTTAAAATATACTGTAAATGAAATTGTTACTGACTTATTCATTGTAAGTATCACTTTGTTATGTCGGTATCGCAGTACCTTAAAATACTCTATTACTAACAAATTTTATAGGAAGACTGTGTAAACCAAGAAGTAATAGTTGATATTATGTATTACCACAGACCTTTGTCTATTAAGAAACATACGAATCCATTATCAGGCTGTATTATTACAATGAGCATGTATACAGGTCTAGAACGAACATACCTTGCGACTTTAGCTACCGAATTGGGTGCCATGTAATATATTCTAATTTCTGAAAAGCGATTAAATTAAATAGAGTATTAAATGATTATTGGTTTCAGGTGTCAAGATATTTTCGTACGTAAAACCAACATCGAAAAGAACACGTACGGAAGCACACATTTAGTCTGCCCAACGCCAGAAGGAAATAAATATAATGCGGCAGTGAAATGGAAATTACCAGCTGTTACTGCCGAGTGGTTAAAAGCTTGCGCTGCTCATTCAAAACGGGTCGATGAGACTCCGTATCTTGTAGGAGAAACTATAGGTATATGAAATTTGATATTTATAATTATTTTTACTTATAACGCATTTCAAATTACATATGAATATTTGTATGATAATTGATTGTTCAGCTCCGGAAAGACCCAACGAAAATTGCAGTACAGATACAAGTTTATCTAAGGCCAATACAAGTCAAATGCATTCCCCAAATGAATCAATGGTTAGAAATATTATTACTCCAAAACGACATTTACCTCAATTACAAGTATGTATTTTCTTCTTATCTGTCTTGGAAAATATTTTGCATTATGGTTGTTACTCAAGCGTTATTATAGAGTCAAGATGGCAGTTCTGGTGAGACGCCGCTAATAAATAAAAGACTTAGCTTGCTTATGAATAAAACATCAGAATCGCCATTTCATGTGTCTACACCGAGTACACCCTATGGTCAAGTATTTAAACCAAATCCCTCGCCAGAGACACGGAAAGGTTGGATCAAATGGATTGACAATTTTCCGGATTTAAGGGTAGAAGAACCTCCCTTGAAACGAAGACCACCCAGCACCGTACGTTTTTTCTCTTTTGTAGCTTCGATCATCTCTAAATTGATAATTAATTTTTCTACATTTACATTCGCAGCCTCTTTCCGAATTGAAAAGACAATTGTGGCAAAAATTGAAAAATATTGATCATAACCAGGAAGTAAGTATTTTTAATTGCACTATCCAATAAATAAGAACCTTTTTATTTTATCTAAATGTTTAAATACAATAGGAAAATGCAGTTGAAACACTACTTGATACTAATGATCGTACACCAGCAGAAACACCTGAAGCAACGGAAAGTAATAGCACTAAAGCAACTACAACTACTCCCATTAATAGAAAATTGGATTTCCCAGATGAAAACAGTCCACAAAATAATGAAATTAACATGTAAGTTAGTATAGAAGTTTTTTAAGTAATTCTAAAAATAATTATTATACATTACTACAGGCAAATCGCACAATTACATCAAGTACTCCAAAGGACATCGAGTACACCTGAAAATAGATATTCCCTTTCTGGAGAAAATGCGAACACATACAATGCAGAACCTTCAGATCCTATACAGAAATGTAAATATATCTTATCTTTTCATTATCTTTTTTCTCATCTTTTTAATATTCATTATTTATTATAGTTAGCGTAAAAGATTCACAACCTATTGATGCTATTGTTTGGGAAGACCCAAGTCACGCGAGACGCGTAAGTTGTTTATATAAATTTACGTAATTTTAAATGATAAACATCAATCGATACCAATTTTAATGACCTGTACATGTACAGCTGGCAATACACGAAGAACAAAATAACATGGAACATGTTGACGAAGAATCGCCAGAAGAATCTGAGCCCGAGCCTCCGAAAAAACGGAAGTTCATGCTCTCTGGCGTAAAGGTACGGATTTAGACTCACGAAATATATTGACAAAGTTAACCCATTTTTCTCAACAGGACAGAATATTATACGAACAAGTAATAAAAGACCTCGGTGGTGACGTATCCTTGGATACTAAATTTGATACCAGCGCAACGCATTTGCTTTGCCTTCGACCTGCAAGAAACGAAAAAATGCTTGGTAGTATAGCATCTGGAAAATGGGTACTGCATTGTATGTACCTCCGTGATTCAGAGCAAGAAGGAAAATTCCTCGATGTTAGTATCATTGATCATCAATTTAAATGACTCTGCATATATGTATATGTTTTTTTATGTCTCTATAATTATATAATTATGTTATTGATAGGAAGAAAAATATGAATGGGGAAATCCGAAAAGCAAAGGTATCATACCCGATCCAGTTGGAGAAATTGAAGAAATGATCGCAGCCGCTGCTTATAGATGGAGGCTCAATTTATTAAAAGAACCACGAGGACCATTTAATAACATGGTAGCTCTATTACTAGTTTCTGATGAGAAGTACGATCAATTTGAACGATTAATTAACGCTGGAGGCGGCAAAGTTGTTCAAGCAAGGTAAACCAATAACCGTTTTCCTTTTTATTTAACGCGGTATACTGCTAAGTTAGTTAATAAATGCCTTGTTCCAGACCACCGTACGACACGAGCCCGTCAGAAAAGAAGATCACCCATTGCTTCGTTAATATCAGGCAAGTTAACCAGCCAATCGATTGGGCAATGTTAGCAAACAAAGGTATTCTTTGCTTCGTACCACAGTATTTAAGCAACTATCTCACCGAGACAACGCCGTCAAATCCACGAGAATGTGTAATTCCAGAATTTAAAAAGTATTTAGCGCTTCTACCGAAGTAAGAGAGTGATAAATACAATTTTTTTCTAAGCCTTATGTATGTTGGTATCCGAACATTTTTATTCGTACATAGAACAAAAATATTTGTCATATTTTATTAAATTACGTTTCTATTGCTTTTGGTCGTTTCGTTAAATTACCTATGTATTGTAAAATAGATGTATTTTGTACAGAAACTTTATAACGTTGAATGGCACATTAAAGCTTTGTAAACCTCAGTTTGAATCCCTCTGGTGGTGATAGAAAGACGTTGCGAGGATCGACGTCAACTTTATAAGTAGGATCTAATGAAACTTCGTAATCCTTAAGTATTGTGATTATTCCCACAGTAGACTGTAACATACCGAGTCGCGCACCTAGAAGCGTTTTAATTAATAATAATTGAAATATCCTATTAAACATACAGAGACATCTATTAATAGAATACTTTCGTACCAATGCAAGCTCGTGGACCTTCTCCGAAGGGCATGTATGTACCCGCTGTAATTTTATCTTTGTTCTCGTCGCTAAATCTATCTGGATCGAAGCGCAGAGGATCGGGAAAATATTTTGGATCACGCTGAATACCAGTTAATATTACGTAAATCGGCGTTCCTTTTTCTATAACCATATCGGTTCCCGGTACCTATAAAATGTAAAGAAAGAAAATAGTTTCATTAGTAAACTAAACTTGCATTTAAGGATAGGCGAAACGTATTTCAATGAGCGTTCGCGTATTGTGTTCGGTAGCTGTGCAATTTGTTACATAATTTTATGTATTATGTTATATAAAAGTGGCACGTTTTATTCAAAACAATGCGTTCAATATTCGACGAGGTTTTATTGTAATTCGAATAAAGCCAACGCTGCTTGCATTGCAATTCTCCCGAGGGAAATGCGTAATAAACATGTTAGCGTGCCCCCATGCTCTGCACTGATTAAGTAATTCGTACAATCGTTACATAAACTAAGTTAGTCATAGTCAACACGTTCTGCTACGCACAGCATCTAATAAATCCTTAAACGGCGTGTATGTACCATTCTTCCACGAGAAGAAGGCACAGCGTGTTTACAATCCCCATTCCTGTTGCAGTCTACTGACTCACAGATATTGGTCGAAAACGATGACGAAAATCGGTGACAGCCAATTAGCGGATTAAAGCAAGAGTGGGGATGTAAACACGCTGTGTCTTCTTCTCGTGGAAGAACGATACACACGCCGTGCCAAATGCATTTATCATTCAAGTATTGATAATACTTTCTATTTTAAATTATGCTTGGAGACATCGTTATAATATTTTTTCTCGCTTTACCTTGTAATCGACAGTGGCCACTCGGTCCAATAGAGGAGCCGATGGATAAAGTCTCAAAACTTCCGATATCACTTGATTTAGATACTTCATATTCCGTACGCCTTCGTAAGTCAATCCGTGCGTTTCCAGCTTTTCGAGAATATCTTCTCGCACTTTATTCTGAATATCCGGATTCTTCGCGAGCTCGGCAAGGGTAAAACATATCGTCGTCACGTTAGTCTCGCGACCAGCAACGAAGAAAATAGCCGATTGCCCGACCAAATGATCACCCTCGAATTCTGTACAGAAAGTTATCGTCGTTTGAGAAAACAATACGTGACCATTAACAAAGGATATTTGGAGATTGACGGCTCATCACTAACTGAAATCATTATCCTGTTTTTCGTTCTTCAGCATTACCAAGGAATCGATCAGATCAGCGCGTTTAGATTTTGTCCTCTCTCTAGAATCCATAGAATCCCAAAATATAGATCGGAAATAATTCGTAGCCGAGCCTAATATTTGACCTCCCAGAATCGGTGCCATCGTCGGGAAGAAAAACATGCAGTAAAACTGTACGGCCCGCCGAAACGTGATTTTCAACGCGTCTTGGGCTTTTAAATGAAAAGGAACAAGATAGAAATAAGAAATAACGACAAGGAACTCACTCGTAATTATTTTCGCGTATATAGATACCTTTCTGATAGAAGGTGCCCTGAGACGTGTCGAAAGAATTCACATGAATTCCAAAAGCAACGGAAGATATAATGTCGGTGGCGTATTTTGACATAACGTTTTTGACCATGATGGTTCTCGTACTCTCGTTGTTTGAAAATTCACCTTGCAAATAATTCTTCATCGATTCCGCGGCCTCGGTTATCAAGGGGAACAGATTCTTCATTTTCCCACTCGTAAACACTGGCGTTAATTTCGTTCTAATAAAAGCGTATAATACTTTCCTTCGATCACTCTGTTCGCAGCTTTGGATTTAAAAAATTTTCGACTCACCTTAAATATTTCCATTGTGGATTCTTTATCGCGAAGAGACTCGAGTTTCCGATTTCATCGTGGAACGATTTAGCCGTGAAATATCGATCTGAAAAATACTGGAAATCCTTGACTAAAATTTGCTTTATCAGTTCCGGGCTCCTCAATAGTAAAAAGGGTTTGTGCAAGACATAGATTCCCAGAACGTCGTCGTTTTCGGAAGCTTGCCGATACAGATCGCCCATCACGATCGCAGGTGATCTCCGCATCAGTATTCCGTCTTTCATGTTTCCAAAAAACCAGTGTCCCGAAACGGATGGAATACCCCGTCTTTTCCAATAAGTGTGCTGATACTTTAGGTAAAGGTAGAGGATCGCCGCTATAGCAGCGATCACGAAAAAGGGATTTAAGAGCAAGAGGCTGAATGCTTCCATAGCTCTAGATATGTAACTTAATGCTGTCAGTTCCTCAACAGCACTGATTGCAGCTTGAAAAGTCACAGAATTATATACGCGTGGTCATCACGCTGGTTCATGCTTATCTACTGCGTACAACTAATCTACAAAAGTTTCTTTTTTTAATGGCGACATATTTACTAATGTTACCCACACAAAAACATACGTAATCCGTGACTCGGCACAAACAGTATCACATCTACCCCATACGTAAAGATAATGTGCATACAAAAAAATACACAATAAAGCGTAAAAAGCACATTTCTATACAAATATAATTTGTGATAAAAATATCAAACCGCTTGTTCGATGCAAACAAAAAAAAATGCTTCTTTAGTTTTCTACTCGTGAATAACCGAAATAGCAGTTATTTTTCATTTAATCAATAGATTTAAGTGTGTTGATGAGGATATGTCATTATTAAGTGACATCAGTCACTTTGCTATCAAGTGTTCTGGAGCAGAAAATTGCAGATGCATAGTCACTTGCTTTTAGTTCTCAAGATATACTTATTGAAAACCTTGAACTATAATAAGAATTCATGCGGTAATAGGATGTGGGCTCACGCGAACATCATATTTTTTTATAACATTCAAGAAGTATCGAAATACTGATATAGAGAGATATCCGGTCATATCTACTATATGGTCGCCCACTGAAGTACAAACCTAATATAATAGTTTTTGTGATAAAATTTGAGGCATTAATGTCATGCGCATGCACACCACGGACAAAGTACTCCAAATTACTTACGAGAGATTTATTTTAGCGTCTATAATACACGAATTATACATATTTATATATTATTATTAGTACAATCTTACACAATTCGATAAAGATCCTAGTATAAACACCGCATCATTGAACGAAATTTTTAAATCCTACAGGCAACTATAGGTACATATACAGTCGCAACTTTATTTGTTACTCTTTTTTTTTTCTCCATTTATGTGTATCGACAAGTTAAGCGTATTTCTTGAGGGTAAATCGTTTCGTACTAGTCCTCACAAATTGAAGAAAAATAAGTTTACCGCGCAATCAGTGCATCGCAAGAATGTCTTCTGTAAAATACTTAATTGTTTCCCGCGGAATATATTAAAATCAAAACTGAATATACATACCCCTTAAACGAAGTCGCATCGTTTAGTACTAAAAACCTATTTTGTCGAAATCTTGTGACTAAGTACTAAGATGCGAATGATTACATTCCGAACAGGCTCTAATTTCAATAAAAACGGAAGGATAAACAACAGACTATCCGCTAAATTGCATCATCAATTATGTAATTCTACAATAGTCATCAGTGTCATGAGCATTCGGTAAATAAAAATAACTATGACAACTTTACAGTAATGATATCTTGTAATTCCCTCAAAATAATGACGTGCAACAAAGTTATTGTAAGTAATTAATATTACATACAAATTCGGCCAGCAAATTTTGAAAGACGATATACTACAACCATCAAACTGAGAGATCTCAATACTGATCAAACTATGAAATAGTTATCGTTATCGTTGCGTTCGATACGCCACACTCCACAGATAAAATTAAAATAGAAAAGATGTGATACCTTTCACCATATTTCGCCAATCTATCGTCTATAACTGTTACAATAAAAATCGAACTGATTGCTATCACCTTGCATGTAATATCTTTTGGAATGTTCTCATTTTTTTAAGAGCGGTCAAATTCAATCTTTAGTTCGACATGGCTTCATCTCATCAACATGAATTTAAAAGACAGTTCGTAATACTTGATCTATTCGAGCAATAGTAGTTGTAAAGCACATTCACTTCGATTGGGCATCTTGTTGCGTTTGCGATTGCTGTTGTTGTTGCTGTACTTGTTGAGGATGAACAGAATGCGCGATAGTTTGCAATCTAACTTGACTAGGTCCGGGACTGCCTCTTGCAGTTGTAACGATAGGTTTACCTTGAGCAGGTGTAGCTTGTCGCAATTGAGCGCTACTCGCAGTCACAACCTGAATCGTTTGTTTTAAAGCGGCCGACGCGACAGGAATTACTCGCGTCTGCAATGGGGATTTTGCTAGCACCACTTGACCAGGTTGAGAACCCGTTTGTCCCGTAGAAACCTGAAATCATAATACCGTGTAAGCGACGAATTAATATATATATACCACTGGTTTTTAATTCTTCTTATCCACAGACCCCTTTTGACAGTCTGATGAATCCATGGACTCTTTCTATGCAGTATTCCTCAGAATAACGTTCTTAAATATTAGTTAGTATGAAAAAGACGAATAAAAGTCAGCAAAAACGTACGTGTGTAAATTGTTGCATCGCTGACGGCTGAACGTGCTTCATAACTTGCTGTATCTGCTGTACGGTCATGGTCGCAGGTAGGGATTTCTGTTGTACAATCAGCTGCGTCTGAACACCAGTTTTACCAGCGACTTGCGTCAGTTGGGCAACTTTCTGGGCCGGTAATTTCCTCTGAGTGATAATTTGCGGATGAAGGGCGAGCTGGCGTATTTGTTGAGGCGTCCCTGTACGCACCCCGGCAACGTTCGCTGCTTTCACCAAAGTAGCAACTGGAGTACCACCGGTCGATGTTCCAGCTTGCTGTACTTGTAAACCAGCTTGCGCGAATATTTGCGCTGGTGTGAGGCCAGATTGTGCGGGTACTTGTACTTGAGCCACCGCTTTTGCTTGCTGTTGCAATGTCTGTCGTTTGATCAGAGCGGCCATTTCTACGGTTTGCTTCCCAACAGTTGCTTGCGAAACGGTGCCAGCAGTTATACCCTGCTTCATCAATGTGGCTCTTTGCTGTGCTGCGGCGGCAGAAACTGCCACCGACACTTTCTGACCGCTCGTAGCCTGTGCTTGCAGTACCTTCAATTGCTGCTGCCGCAGCAGCACCTGTTGTTGCTGTCTGTAATACTGTACCTGTGCAGCGGTTAGCGTCTTGCTGCCGGAAGCAGTCGCTACAGTAACACCCCCAACGATACCCTTTTGCGCAGCCCCGGGTGAACTTTGTGCAGCGGATACCAAGCTCGCTGTTGCTATTCTTTGCGCAGCTTGAAGATTGGCCACGCTGACGACAGTTGGCGTTGTCCGGGCATCCTGCATGGTCAACGTTCCACTTTGTCTTGCTTTTACAGTCGACGTGGCGACCGTTGCACCGCACGTAGTAACGTTAGTCATTGTTGTAACAGTTTTCATCGTTGTCAGGCCAGTTGTTGCAACGGTAGTAACGACCTGGGCTAGTTGATGTACTTGAGGACTCGCGGTACTCGACGAAATTTGTTGGACCTGTTGCTGTTGCAGTTTTATTTGTTGTTGCTGCTGTTGCTGTTGCTGAGCCTGTTGTTGCTGCTGCTGTTGTAGCAGACGAGCGGCTACTTGTTGTTGTTGTTCGGCCGTTAAAACCTGAGCGTATAAAATACATTGTGTGTGCTATAGAATATAAGCTCTAGTTAATGTAAATACAATGTATTGTATTATACTAACAGCGTGCTTCAGTTTCTCCTTGGCGATCCTGTCAGCGCGTCGTGTCGCGACTTCTATAGGAGCCAAAGGGTTATCGTACTGAATACCACATTCAGCTAAAACTGCAGCGTTGGTGGGGTTCTTCATCAATGGATTAACGAGCAGCGGTTTAACGGTGGATGTTCTCTTATTGGAAACAGATTTTATGGTATCGAATCTTTGACAACACATTAATGTAAAAGAATGATTTTTATCCTGATTATATAATTGAGATGTTTTCATTGGCCTGTTTGTTTTACTTTGTTGCTAAAAGAAGACGATTAAAAAAACATGAGCATCGCTTGCTAACAATCATTCCCCTTCAAATGTACAATAAAAATTGCGTAATATACCTCGGACACCTGAGGCATCTTGTAAACACCTTTCTGTTTCTTTTGTTTTTTCGGTGTGGTGTCGTAAAGTAACTTTCCTTCTTCTCTCGGTACTATTACCGATTCGTATCTACTTCTACATTGTTTAGGAGACCTGTATATTCGGGAAGTATTGTTAACTATGTCCGCAACTAAATCCCAATTGGGTGTGTGGCCAGGAGACAAAATCATTAGATTTAGCGGCAACCCTTGATAGATCTGAATTGCTTGAAGAAGGGCCCAATCCTCGTGTATCATCCAATCTAGAATGTGCTCTTGATCGGCAGACGATTTCGACATATGCGAAGGCTTTATGCCTGGTATCGGTATCGATGGTCGTACCATTCTATGTTTGTGTAACTTCATGTCACGACGTATCTTCATTATTGCCGGTGAAGGTCGATCGAACAAAGATCTCGGCGCATACACCGATTCCTCTTTATGTCTCATTTTAACCGCTCGTCGCCCTAACAAATCAATTAGGCTCGATTACATAATCGTTAGAAGAACGATTCGATCATATTGTAATTTTAGATCTACGTACCATCGCGATCGCTAACACCAACGTCGACTCTGCTTCTCTTTTGTTCTTTCTTAATGTATATTGGAGGCAACTGGGCCTCCGACATAGGAGTGTTTTCATAAAGGAATCCCAAAGAATAATCGATGTAAACATCGTTATCCGTAGTTGGAGGCGTTGGTGGACACCACATCTGACGATTAAAATTATTATGCAACCATATTCTTTAGAAGAGAATCGATATATAAAATATAACGTTTATACTAACCGGCATTTGCTCCACATTGTCGTCCGACAACCATATCTGCAAGATATTAAAGCACGACTATCAGATCTAATTCGTAGATGTGAGTGTAAAAAATCTGCTTCGAGAAGACTTAAAAGAAAGTTTGCAAAGCATGAGCGTGGTGCACACTGTATTTAATTTTGAATTATGCAAATATTCGAAGAACTTTGAACGAAACTGGTTTCCTCTTCGTCTTAACGCGTATCTTCGTAATACTTTGGTTAAAAGTAAAGTCACAAGAATGCAACGTAAACCGAACAAATAAACGATCTTGGAATATCTAGGAAATGAATAGGAAGTGTACATAACACTTTGCTCGTTCAAAGGCTCATTCGTCTTTCTTTAAACATCTCGTTTACTTCGATCTCGCGTAAATTCCTTCAAGTCACTTTGATCTCGAATGTTGTGCAAGACGCTCATTAATGTGCCTGCTTATACCTTGGCTGACTCCAAGTTTGGAATGGCAAAGGCAGTGTTTTGGTGCCATTTTCGAAATAATTATTGGAGCTTTCTACTGCATGCTATATATCATCTGAGTTGCAAAAAATCTGTATTTCTTTTCTATTTAATGTGCGGTCATGTTAGCCTTGCCACACCAAACATCGCGAGAACGCAAGATCGTCTTTCGTTCGATGATCTCGACGTATGTGTATATATAACCAAGCACACTGAGCAAAATTTGACACCAAAACGGAACTGAACCTTTGATCGAACAGACTTGGAAACGTACCAAGAAATAAGAAAACACATCGTCTTCGTAGCAAGGAATATTTTGTTTATTTCCTTCCTCGGACTCACTCGATCATACAAAATACAGGCACGCAACTTAAATATTACAGTGGGGCATACCATTAAACGAGTAACTCCTTAAGTCTAGCATGTAATCAGGTCGTCACCTTGCGAGTTATGTAATGTACAAAGCGTTACACGAGAGCAAAGTACGGCGCATTCACGGTATTACTTCTTTTTTTTTTTGTTTTGTTTACCGTTTCCTGTTACCTCCGATCTCGACTGTCTATTATTCCATTTTCTTTTTTCTTTTATACGATCGATCGTCGCAAAAACGATCGCGAATCGCGATTAATCTTTGCGACGTCGCTAACGAACTAAGTTATAATGCGTACGTGTACGTGTACGTGTTGTTTTGTATGCGTGTGTGTTTACGTGTTTGTGAATTCTCGTTATTATCTCTAATATTATACAGTCGTGGATGTGTTTTGCTTCTTCTTTTCTTTCTCTTATTACCAAGTATAAATTACAATGTCGCTTAAAGGCGTTCACGGGGGAAACCTTTACAGAAGAGCACAAAATTTACAATGCTAAAAATATTACACGCGTGTACTTGGTACAACGAAAGAGAATTTCTCACTTTTTCATCTTTTCCTTTCTTCGGTTATGCGTATATATACAAGAGGATTACGTGAAAAACAAAGAAAAGAAAAAAGAATTTGATAACTCGGGTTACACGCGCGCGCCGTTTCCGAACCCACGGTCCGAAATGGCGTTCGCGCGTGCTCGAATCCCGTCGAGGAATATTTATACAAACGCGCCGCTAAATATCGCAGCGATAGTTTCAGCGAGACTCAAGACACGGTGCCGCTACTTATCTTTTCCAATTGAGCCGTCTGCGAAGAAGGAGGGGGAGGAGGAGGCGGTAACTGAGAACGAACAGACCTCTTCGACGGCGGTATCTGTTCCTCTTCGTCGTCCAACGTGTCGACTACTTGCGCCTGCGTTAATCGCGTACGTTTAATTTTTCTTCTTAACCTCTTCGACCCGTCGGACGAGTCGTAATTAGGATCGTTGTCCAGATCGACCAACGCTATCACCGTCGACTGTACAGGCAACGGAACTTTGTCCGTTTTAAGTTTCGAGTTCAACGACGACGCGCTTTTGTTCATCGCCGTCGAGGCTTTTCCCGTTTTTCCGGAATTCGTGTAAGTACTTTCCACGTTCGAGAGTACGCCGGTGGCCACACGATGATCCCTGGAGCCAGCGTCCACTCCGGAACCGCACCATCCGTCTAATTTACAATTGGAAGTCACGTCCGAAATCCGCAGCAAACAATTCTTTCCCGGGGAGTCGGGCGCGGTGGAATTAGAGTCGGTGCCGCTGCTCTTCTTGGCGTTTTTCGCGTCGTTGCAGTTCGAAGACTTCCCGTAAACGGAACCGGATGCTTTCGCGAGATTGTTTCTGGTATCCAGAGTAAGAATCGCGACCACCTTGGCGGTCCGCTGTGGCTTCTCGTTCGTTTCAACGAAACTCGAATTGTCCGGTTTCGTGATCTCCTCCGAAGCGACAGCGTTTCCGTTCGAATCCGTGTTCGTGGTCGAGAGGGACGATTCCTGTGTCTTCGAGTCGCAAGACGAGTCCGATTTCCGAGTTTGTTTCACGCCCCTGATCGGGGTCACGTGATTCGAGCCCGATTTCCCCGAATTCACCGTGAAACTCAAACCAGATCGAGTGACTCTTGACATCTGTTCAAAAGTAGGAACTGGCGTGTCCGGTCGTCTTTTCGTAGCGCTTACGTTCACGCTCGAAGACTCGCTGACCCTTTTCGACCTGGTCACGGTAAGGCTGCCAGGGTCTTTCGCATCAAATACCGGTTTCATCGGTGGTATCGAGCTACTTCTACGAAACGGGAGGGCAGGATTCACGAAACCGTTGTCCAAGGACTTGGAACTGCGAGTGGTAGGTTTTTCGTACGACGACACGGCGCTCTGTTCCTCGTTTCGTACCGGCGAATTCACGGGCGTGGCCGATGATCTCGTCACTGGCCGCGGAGAGGACTTAAAACATTCCGGGAAAGGAGTGTCGGGTCGTTTTCTGTAACAAGATTTCGCGGGGCTGTTGCTCGGTGGAGGCGTGAAAGAACGACCCGCACTCGACCTCGTGATTCTACCTTGTTCCATGCTAGGCCTTGGTGTATCCGGTCTCTTTATCGCCGACACCTTACTCAATTCTTTTCGCGCGCTACTCAAACTTGGAACTTCGCTTCCTTGATGATGCTTTCTTTCGCTCAACGATACCTGCGTATCCGTGTCTTTGCCTTCAGAATTGTCTGCAGCGATTATTCTACCGCTTCTCGTGGTCACTCCGTACAATCCTGTGTCCGGTTTTCGAAATTTGATTTTATCCTCTACGTTAAGATCAGAGTCGGCAGAGTCGCAAGAATCGTAACAATCCGCGGAAGGAGGTGGAGATTTATTGTCGTTACTACGCGTGGACGAGACCGATCGAACTTTTCGTTCGTCCTCGACCGATTTCTCGCATTTGTTGTCTTCGCTACCGACCTCCTGACTAGAGCTTGTTTCTATCACAGAGATACATACGTTTCCGTTAGCGGCCTCGTTCTTTGCGCGTGAATTCACGACACTATCGTCCGAATGCTCCTTACTCGTCAGCTGTTTTACGTTCGCGTTCGCGTTCGCGTTCGCATTCGTCTCGACAGAGCTGCTCGTTTCCGAATGGCTGATCGCGCTACTTTCATCATCGCCGACATTCTTTTCCACGGTTTTATCCTCCGATCGTTCCTCTTTTAAACACTTATTCTTCTCGAAAGTCGTATTTAAATGATCGATATCATTTGATTTTCTTTTAAATTCCTCCGTGTGTTGAACAATTTTTTCGCTCTTCAAGGAAGTTGTCAACAAATCTTCCGATACGTTGATCTCTTCCGTTAGTTCTGAGTCGGAGATCATTTTTAAAGTGCCCGTCTCTGCCGCGGGCGAACAAGACCCACGGTTCTGCGAAACAAAACTGACGTCAAGATTTTCAGTATTTTCGCTACTACGAGGTGCATCGTTTTCTAGATCGTTACAGTGCACTGTTGGATTCTGCAGAGACCGCGCGATACATACCGAAGGTACGTCTATTCGATCCCGTAATGGTACACTATCGATATTCATATCCGTTTCACTGGACTCCGATGTTTTACGTTGCTCCGACGAACTGGACGCAGAATCATCCGATCGAAAACACGCTTCCGAGTCTAAACAATCTAAACGGATAACAGAATTAAAATCGTCTTTTGTCTCCGTGCTCTTCCGAAGTTTTCCTTTCGACGAAGACACTGTCACGCCGCAATGATTCGCGACCACTTTACAATTCTCAACGTTCTCGATCGAGCCTTTGATGGCAGACGTGGTTTCTTCGTCCGTCTTAGCCGACGTATTCACGTTGCTCGACTTCTTAGGACTCGAGGTGGGCGGTAAAGGCAAAACAAAAGTTTCCCCCGCTTTCATTCTCATCTCGAGCTCCCGTTGCTTCCGCATATTGCTGGCTCTGCCTCGACACTTGGGTTTTATACCAGGTAAAATTGGACTCACGTCCAACGTCCACAGATTTATTTTCACGTTGCCCCTGGATCTTGTTCTTGGACTGTTGAGATCAAAATGGTTCTGACTGAACGATTTGTTCGAACGATTTTTACGTTTCCGGTAGCCCCCGCGCTCGGAATTCTTTTGATCGTTCGCCTCCTCCTCCTCCTCCTCTTCCTCATCTTCCTCCTCCTCTTCTTCCTCCTCGTCTTCGCCGCCTTGACTCTGACTTTCGGTGTGACTCGATTCCTCGTCGAGACTGTCTTCCACAACATCTTCTTGAGACTCTGATTCTGACTCTGTGGTAGTCTCGGATTCACTATCCGACTCCTGAGCACTTTTACTATTATTCCTACGCGACCTCCTCCTCCTTCTACTCGGCGGGAGTCTCTTACTGACTAATTTCTTAGAATTACTAGCACTATTAACCTGATTCTGCGCGTCCTCGCGTCCGAACGTCAACGGTTTCTCATCGTCGTCGACCAACCGCATTTGCCTCTCTTCCTCCTCGCGTAACGCTCGCAACCGATCGAGTTCCCACTCTTTCTTCTGTTCCTCCAGCTCGCGTTCCGCTGCAGCAAGCTGCGCCGCTGAGAATGCACCTTCCGACTCCTCGACAAACTTCATCGCGTAACGTTCGATAGGCGTGAGCTGATGGAAAAGAAAATTATTTTCAGCAAATGTACCTCCTTATCAATCACCCCCATTATCTAGATGAAATTTCATATACAGAATGTATCCTAACTTGAGGGAATTTCAATCTTTGAAATATTTATGTATTCAATATTCACTGACCGAGCTATCCTTGCCCATCCGTAGTTAGGATACATCCTGTATATTATAATATCTTACCTGAGATACCAAATTTTGTACTTCAAGCTCAGCCTTGCTAACTTGCGTGTCATCTTTATCCGCTTCGTCTAAAGGTATATTCTCGTCGAATTCCGCCAAATCGGCAACAGCCTCCGCTTTAGCAGTTTTCGCAGCTTGGACATCGAGATCCTCTTCAGCAGCAGCGAGAGCACTTTCAAGTGCACCCATCGCCACTTTATCCTCTACGCTTTGAGACGATCCTTGACCATCCTTCTGCAGGAATTTCTCTCGATCTCGATTTTGCTCCAATACTTCCGCCATTCGTGTTGTTGCATCACTCTCAGTTTGGTCGACATTAAAAAGATCTTGAATCGTGGACTGTAAAAATGATAATTACAACGACATGAATTCTAGTTGCGTCGTATTTGTTGACTACTTTGTTCAATATATTATTCAAGTTCTTCGACACTGTCAACTAATGTTCTATACACTAATAATGCCGTACTTCCGACGTACAATGCAACATCCTCTATACATCGGAATATGAACACATTCTAGTTTAAAGTGCACTTTCTTTATTTTGAACAATTACTAAATACTCACGCTCTTGAAATAAGCAGTCGTGAAGTTACCACCCTCGATAGCTAAATCACCGAGCAGTCGCTTTTGATTGGCCTTCTTCAGAATATTTTCTTCCACGGTCTTTTCGCTTACTAATCTGAAATATAGTAACGCGCATAGTAATTTGATATATGTACATATGAGTCATAGAAGTGACTTATCGAAAGTTGTTGTACGAAATTCTTTACACATACCTGTAGATATGTACATCCCGTGTTTGACCTATTCTATGACACCTATCTTGCGCTTGGGCATCCATTGTAGGATTCCAATCACTGTCATAAAATATAACGGTATCGGCTCCTGTAAGATTTACACCCACACCTCCGGATCTCGTCGATAAAATGAAACAAAATATCCGCTTGTCCCCGTTAAATCTCTCCATCAAAACCTGTGACAATATGAAACGCGTTCGAAAGAAAATACAAGTCAAATAATAACAACATTTGTAGCAACTTGATAATTACCTGTCGTTGATCTACCCTGGTAGTACCATCTAAACGCAAATATATATGGCCATGAAAATTAAGAAAAGCTTCCAGTACATCCAACATTCTTGTCATTTGTGTAAAAATTAGAACTCTATGATTCTCGGATTTGAGTTTCCTGAGAAGTCGATCCAAAGATTGCAGTTTCCCACAGTCGTACTGTATTAATCTGGGATCTGGGAACTGAGTCATCATTGCACTAGTTACTGGATGAAACAATGCAAATTTCGGCGATATTTGACGTTGCAATTCCATTTGCAGACGTCGTTGACCAAATAATTTATGGGGAGGTGGATGAGAAACATGAAAACGCGGCGTGGGTGCACACACAGCAGGAACATGAACAACAAACCTGTAATGATAAGATTAGATTACATGAAACAAGCGGAAAATTATTAAAACGAATAAAATATATTTAAATTCTTATTTATACACATACCTTTCAAACACTTCTTTAAGTTCTTCGACGATTTGTTCTGTACTGTTTATCGCCTCCGCAAGCGCTTCTGTACGAGAAAAAAATTGCCTTCGCGTACGCACATTCTCTTTAGCAGTACTACAATGTACCCAACCATTATGCCATCGACATGCCGTAGACGGTTTCCCAATTCGCAATGCCATAAACAAATCTTCGCCATACAGAGGACATGCCGCGCATCTTCTTTCGTTAATTTTTGCAATAAGACGAAGTTTGGCCTGTCTTCTCTGTCTCCGCTCTTCTTCCAATTGTGGCTGCAGAAAATTTAATCGATTAGTGAATAGCGACGGATACGAAGGCTCAAGTTCGAGTCTAAAGAGCTTTAATATTTATGACTTGAACTGCAACGCGAACTATGAATAAGATAATTACCAAATAAAATTCGGACTTCGGACGTTCTTTCATTTGTGCCTTTTCAGATTCTTTTTGTGCATGTCTGGTAACAATACCACAACGAATCGGTTGTTGTGGCGATTGTCCATTGCCAGCAGAAGACTGCACTTGAGAAGCGGTTACGTTCAAAGGTGGCACCCTCATTACAGGTCTTCCACTTGCTCCACTTGTCGTTGTCACTACTCCCCCTACAACTTTATTTACCGCAGTTGCCGAGGTAGACAAGCCCATCAAAGATTTAGATAAAACCGTTAAACGTTGTCCACTCGGTGTCATTACTGGAAACGAAACTGCAAAGATAGAGGGATTAAATACATATTGTTACCGAATTTAGAAATTTGTATATAAAATTTTTATTTTAGAATTATGGTGGTGATTTTTCTCCACAAACATAAGGAAACATTATTGATGATCATGCATCTTGTATTATTCTTCGAATGAGTATTATTTTTAATAACATTCATTAAAATGTGCGTATAAATAACATGAAAAAGGAAGGTAGGTTCACATTGCCTTGAACATGGATCACAAATGGGGGTCAGTGGGATACGAGCACTCATGGGACAAACCTGTGTTAGTGTTTTGCTGATTCGAAGTCAGAATGATATGTCTACCAGTAGATGTTTGAACCAGCTGTGCAAAACTAGGCACTGCTATTCTTTGGACGGAATCACCTTGTTTAACTGTGACTGTCTGCGTGGCTAGTCGTTGCAGTCCATCTCTGATATTTGCATTTGCTACTGTAATCCTCTGTGCATTCGTTGCTGCTGTAGTTGGTGTCACTGTTGTACTTTGTGGGTTATGTGCTAGTGTTCCAACAGGAATGGCTATTTTCGAAGCAAACACAACAAATGTTTTACACATATTGTGACTTACAAATGATACATAATAACGAAATGTAAGTTTTTGTTAATATGTGCCTTCGGTTCTAGAATGCCTATAACATGTATAATTATAAACAAGCTGGCCCAAGACCAATTTGCTGTAGCACCATTGCAAGAATGATTACACAGCGACAGTTTGAGTGCAACCACTGATCGATGATGCAAAGGGTTTTAGATTTTAGAAATAAATGTAACATATACGTGTGAAAAAAGCCGTAAGGTAGAAAGATAATATTACCTTTGACGCTACCCTGATGTTGTACTAATTGTACGGAATATCCTTGTAATTGTTGACCACTTGCAACTCTCAAAGTGACACCTACGATCAATATAATATGGAAATGGTAAGATCACAAGAAATCAATTACAAAGATCGGAAAAATTTTAATCTTAATTTAAATGGTACTGACAATTACCTTGTCCTGTAGTGGTCTGATTATTTATTGTTTTTATTAAGGGGGATGTTCCAACTCTTGGGGTAGGCAATATACCAGCAAAATTCTTTAACTTTGTTTGAGTCTGTTGAGGCATAGTTGATGGTTTAACTTGATTAGACAATCTAACGTTGATTTTAATTTTTCCAGATGGGCATCTGGGGGGTGGATCCGGCTGGCTATCTATTTCTTCTATAAGCTTTCGCGGCGTCTGCAATCGTCTTACTCTATGTGCCGCAAATGCAGTAAAGGTAAACTCCAAATCGCATAGTAAAAGATTAATACTACATAAATCGATATGCTGCAAGATAAACACATTTATCTTTTCGGTTCTTAAATACATAAGTAACCAAAATGGAAACGAGGAGCATTAAATTACTACCTTAAATGGATTGTAATCAAGAGCACCCCATATTAAAGAGGCTGTAACAAATTCAATAGCTTCCATTTGAAATGGCGACACTGTAGGTCTCACTTCAAACAAGTTCGGGTGATTACACACTTTCCGTAATTGCATTAATACATTAATGACGCTCAGTAAATTACCGCTAGCCAAAGTCTCCTTTGTTCTAAAAGTAAACGTAAAAAAAGGGACAATTAACGAATGTATAATTAAAAAGTTTTCAAATGTGTGCAAAATATAGAAAGGGTAAATGATGCTTACTTTGCTCTAGACATAAAATCATCGTACAGATATCGTTGTCGTTTTGACAAACGGCACATTATAACGTGCTCGTATTTTTTGGGCAATTGTTTTTCTACTTCAGTTTTCAATCTTCGTAACAAAAAAGGCCGTAAAACCTACAAAATGTACAATTGCTGGATGAATGAAAGAACCACAACTTTCGCAAAAAAGCAAAAACATATGCTAGAAGTTATGTTAGAATTGTTTCTCCAGACAGGATTCGTATGCCATACCATGTATATATAGTGACACGCGAGTTTTAAAAGAGAACTATTTTAATATCTCGCTATTTATATTAAACAGATACGTAACACATTGTCTCGTGTCTGTGTCGGTAGCGAGTAATCGAATATTTTAATAAATGAATTTCAAAAACAAACTACGTACAGACCTTATGCAGACGACGAATAATATTTTCATTGTATTCGCTGTTTCCTTCTATCATTCCTGTAACGGGGTTACTAAACCATTCTTTAAATTCTCTATGCGATTGAAATACATTTGGCATTAAAAAATGCATCAAAGACCAGAGCTCCATCAAATTATTCTGGAGAGGTGTACCAGTAAGCAATAATCGCCTGCACAGAATAAAATGAAACTTCGCGTGAAATGAAATTCATGTGTGCATACAGGATGTTCGGCCACCCCTGAGACAAATTTTAATGGGAGATTCTAAAGGCCAAAATAAGACGAAAATCAAGAATATCAATTTCTTGATTGAGGTTTCGTTAAAAAGTTATTAAAAAATTAAATTAAAAAATTTCAAATCATTCTGAAAAAATTCTTTTCGTTTGCGGGGATCAATTGCAATCATGTTTGGTGAATAGACATACTCCCAAAATCCTACACGCTTTCGAGAACAAAATTCCTTATCGAAAATATACAGTGTGGGCAGAAATGTTCCCCCGAAATTTCATGCGTATGTTTAAAAAATCATAACTTCTGGACGGAATGAACGATTTTAATGATTCAAAATTCGAAGAATGCGATTAATGGAGCTCCAGAGCTCTAGAAAAATGGGACGAAAAAATACATTGGATGTAAGGTCTACTTTAAATGAACTTTAATCTCCCATTAAAATTTTTGGTCGAACACCCTGTATTACCATTCGATAAAATTTTATATAAATTTACCTCTGGGTTTGAAAATTCAGTAATAATTGCCATCTCTGGGATTTAAAATTTTTAATATTTTGAGCTTCATCCAATATTAGATATTTCCACTTTTTTCTTCTAAAACTTTGATGATCCTGTATAACTAATTTATACGATGTTATACATATGTGAAAAGCATTAGGTTTTGTCCAACCTGAGATGGAAAAAAACAAAGTAGTACATGTACTATCGTATTTTATATTTTAGTTATATATAATCAAAAGAACGAATTAATACCTGTCCTTTTTTGTTTTCTTTCTTTTTGTGTTCCATAATAAGTCAAAATCTTAAAACCAGGGCACCATTTTTTACATTCCATTTCCCAATTAAGCATTACAGACGTCGGTACTATTACAAGGTGTGGGCCCCAATTACCTTTCTCGCACGCCAAATGTGCGAGCAAGGCAATCGTTTGAATGGTTTTACCCAAACCCATTTCATCGGCCAAAATGCCATTCAATTTCCTTTCGTACATTGTAACAAGCCAATCCAATCCTATGTGTTGATATTCTCGGAGAAGATGTTTCAATAGAAATGGTATTTTCGTAACAACCTAAAATATAGTGTAAAGCTTGATAAGAAAATGGTTAAAAATATAATTTCAATATGTAAAATTTGCAAAACATTTGTAGTGACAATCTTTTAAAACAAATCAACAATTTCATTTATTTTATTAAAAACCACGTCACCTTTACTCTGCCTTTCGAAAATGGTAATGTGCAAAAAATTACTGCTACACCACCTTGGATTGAAAGGCTATCTCAATTCTCAAAAATCTCACTAAACAAAAGTATGATTTAAAATTACTTACACTGGTGGTAAGTAATGTATTTCCCTTAGGTTGAATGCTCTCTGCCAGTGCCGCTACGTTATCCATTTCATTGTGAGCTTCCGAGTGATCCATGTTTGCAGTCTGTTGAGATTACGAATATATTAATATCTTGACATCCTTTAGCACAATAGAAACTTAAATACAACACATTATTTCACCTTGTCAGCTGAAGATTTCTCCATAGATATATCTTCTAGGAGAGATTTCAGCCCAACACCGGCTTCATTATCGCTCTGCGTTTGAGACTCTTCTTCTCCGATTTCATTATCACTTTCTTCACTTTCACTTTCATTACTGGTAGATTCTTCGTCATTCTCTTGACCGTCTTCTTTCACACTTTCTTTATCCGACTCTAAACGAATAATATACACTGATCTTTCATAGTCGATTTTAATAATCGATACGTTTATGTGAACATGTTAAATATCTCAGACAAATGCCTCAAAACACATCAAAAAATAGGAATCAAAAAATGAATACCATCTCTTGAACCGTCAGGATAGGTAAAGTAACATCACTGATAAACTAGCATCAAACGAAGAAATAATTTGTAATAAATTTACATTACATACCTTGACCAGGACCTTCCTGATCAACATCCATTGGAACGTCCGGAATATTGCCATATTTGGCCATAAGATCGTCAATAGACATTTCATTTTCAGCCTACAAGAATTAAATTCCGTATACAGGAAGACTTATATCTTTCTTTTGTAACGTTAAAAAATTGTATATATACTTTAAGATCATCCAATTCTTGTTTATAATCTGCATTTTCTTCCAATTTTTCTTGTTCCATGATAGTTTCTTCTTCATCCGAGGATTCGTCCGATGCCGCAACAAAATCTGTATCTCCATCTGTCGTCTTTTCATTTTCCTATTAGAAAGATTGATACATGTTATTATATATTAATTAACAATATCAACTGATAATGTAATTAGAATACTAATTCTAAAATAAAAAGTGAACGCACTTCTGTTGCAGTTTCTTTTGGCGCGGGTGATAAGCTTTTACTCCTATTTTCTAAGTAGTTGGGTGGCAAATCTTTCAAAAGATCTTCTAATGGTATTTCCGATTCTTTCTTTAACAACTCAACTTCTTCTTTATGATTTGTTACAGACTTTAATTCCTCTTCTGCTTTAGCTATAGTTTCTTCATCATCGTCTGAACTTTGGTTTGGTTGAAAATCCTCTATATTGAAACAGTAATACGTTAATCGACATAAAAATCTCTGGGCAGCGTAACTGTATTAATTCTCTTACAAAACAATATGGTACAATCATGTAATACGATTAACATACCGTCAGAATGAGATTTGCTAGGAGGAATCGGCGAAGATATTCGTGAACTGTTGATAGAGGCTGGTATACTTTGAGAACCATCAGGTTTATTAAGTCCTTCTGTCAACCATGTTGAATATTTCTCCGTTTGCCCAACAATAAAATTTAAATGTTGATCTAATGCCTGTTTTCTTTTTTCTTCGAGCCTCGTTTGTTGCTTATATTCCACCAACTTTAAGAAAAAAAGAACAAGTGAAATACGCGCAAGTGGAGTAACCATAATAAATAATTTAAATTTTGTAAAATAAATGTCCTGCATCATCTCTTTGATTGCATCTACATAATCAATACAACCATACACAATTAGCAGACTTTGCTGTTCCCACAACGAGCACACACTTTCAACTTGGATGCATTAAAAATGTCGGCTTAATAGTGTGGGGTAGTGTATGCTTAATTGAAATACAAACGAGCGTGTAAACGATGAGTTCTAATAGCTTACCTTTTCGACATTAGTCCAAAACGTTTTAATTTCTTTTGCAATAAAACTAGCAATCTTCTTTAGCCTTAATTCTTGTGATTTTTCAGCTTTTTGTGCTTGAATTGCTTTTTCTTGGAAATATTTCTGTACCATGCGAGCACATTTTTTTGCGGCAGCTTTCTTCCACTTTCGTTCTTGAGCAAAGTCGGCGGCTAACCAAACCATCTCCTCTAATAAATAATCCCAATGAGCCTTTGTACGAGGTGGTTCCTGTACTTTAGGTAATCTTCTTTCCGACCATAATCCTTCGCGTTGCAACTCGGCAATCCTCTGCATAACATATGCTTCCTACAAATAGTATCAACGAATTGAATTAAGTACTTTCTCAAATGCTTAATGGTTAAACAGTGCTCTTAATAAGAATCATCGTACCTGTTTTGCCTTTTCTACAATTTGTTCTTGGTTATTCGTGATATCACATGATATAGCCGCATTAGAGGCAGGTAACTTAACAAGTTTTATAACAGGCTGAGCAGGAGTAGTGGTAGGCGAAGCTAATGGTTTTGCTGTAGTAGTGGTAGTAGTTGCAGTTAGAGGGGCAGTAGGAATAATTGTTACAGTAGTAGTAGTAGTAGTTGCTGTTGTTGTTGTTGTTGTCGTAACAGTCGTAGCTATTGAAGAAACTTTATCTGCTACACTACTTGCTGCTATTGTTGTTATAGGCTTTGGCGAACCTGGAACTATTGGTGCACTACCTGTAACAATTAACGAATTATTTTTTAATAAAAAGACAGAAGAAAAATTAAATATGAGAACAATTACTTCCAATGGAAAATCAAATAAACTGTAACTGAAAAAACTAGAATGCATGTATCAACAGCGCCCTTAGGCCGAAAATCATATTGCTAGACAGCCATACAATGCTGTGAATTAATGTTCCCGCAAAGAGTAGACTACTTCAAAATATATTAATTTGGAGCAGCCGTCAATTGTGGGATTATATAAACAAATGCTCTATAGTATAGATAAGGATACAGTACCATAATGGATGTAATGAATAATTATTGTTGAAAGAACTCACTGTTGATGGGAACCATGGGATTATATGATTGCGCTTAAAAAATATCAACTGTAGAAAAAATGTACCCTATTGGTAACACAATATATTTGTACCTGTATTTTACTTAAATAAAAGTAACTACCCTTCCCTTTTCTGTAAGTCAAGAAGCAACATGCATTACTTATTTAGTTATTTAGTTAAATCTGTAATAAACTTTTCTATTAACAGTGCAAGATGATATCTAATGCAAGTACACAGTAAATAGGATTGTAAAACTTAATTATATCAACTGCTAACATATATTTATTAAGCTTGATTGCATCTCAATATAATTTGGCACACAAAAAGCACTAAACAAAAATTGTATGTAATGAGAATATACGAGGATTTCGAAAGTCAGTTTGCAAAAAATTCATTGAGGATTTTACAAAAGATTAATGCATCTAAACATCAAATGATAAGCCTGCAGTAATCACCTATAATGAGCGCAGGTGCTAGAGTAGAAGTAGGTGGAGGGTGAACGGTGACTGGTGAAGATTGAATTGCTGCTCTGAAGGCAAATACCATGCCATGGCGGCCCCCTTGAGGCCTACCTGGTACGTGTCCTATTACGCAAATTAATTATACAGTTGATATGAAATGTATACTAAAATTTTGAATTGTTTTTCCACATTGTCATATGTATATTTACCAAAAAGGACAAAACTAATGTTATAGTTATCTGCGGATAATGTATCAAAATCTGCTCATAAGTCTTTTTATACCAAGCTTTTAGTATATGAAGTGCTATTATAAACTATCGTTTTCTGTAATTCTTACATTTTTGTGATAATAAAAATAATTATGTGCCTTCTACTTGCTCTAGGAAAAATGATTGGTGCTAAATATAAAATGGGCATTGTCTTATTAGGAGAGTGTTAACTACCATAAGATGGATTTATAAATATCATAGAATTAATTACAAATACACACATAACGATGATATGCTTACCTTGTTGATTAAGTTGAGCTACTGCAGCAGGCAATGTTGTGGATACTGCAACTGGTGTAACGTTCATACCCGAGATTTTTACTTCTGTACACTGACTCACAGGAACTATTGTGGAAACAGTTGTTGTTACAGTAGGTATTAGTGGAATTTCTGATATCACTGGCAGTGGCACTGTTAAATCCTCATCATCATCTTCCGGATCTAATCTATGTTGACGTAAAAAATGCAGATATTGAGGCGTTGGTGGTCTCTTCCTCCAAGTTTGAAAATCCATCATATTGCCTCCAGCATGAAGAAAGAATAACTCTGATGCATTTTCAGCATATTTCTCTCTTATTACACGCATTCTTTTCAATTTATGTTCCATAATTCTTCTTCTATAGCTCATCGTATCGTCAGCACAAGCAGTCGGTTTTTCAGTGGAATCGGTTAATTTCAGCCTTTTCTTCGCAGGTGGTGATTGCATAGAGGCTTGAGATGTTGGTGTGACAAACATGCTCCCGATAGAAGTTCGAACAAGTTTCGGCGATGTTGCTAAAACCACTTTTGGCGAATTCTGGCGGGAGGGAGATGCAAGAGGTGAATTACTTGCACCCGCGACTCCCACAGGACTTGCACGTGGGGGCGTGCCAGTGATATTAACGATTCTCGTAACACCAACTTGTTGAATATTTGCATTTGTCGTTGCATTACTTGGTATGACCTATAATAATACAAACATAAAATAAAAACAAATTATGTACTGTACATAAAATGACTCGATTCAAATATATACCTGTGTAAGGCCAGGAACCTGTGAAGTAATAACAAACTGCTGTCCAGCACTAGTAGTAAGAACATTAAGTCCTTGAGCAGTGGCAAGAACTTGCTGTAAACTAACAGTTTGTTGTGGTGCACCTCCATTGTTTCCCCCATTGTTTCCTCCACCCCCGTTAAGGGGCGGCAAAGTAGGTGCAGTCTGCTTATCACTCATCACACATCACACTGTAATATTAATTCAAAAATATATTAAATATTCATAATCAAAACACTTAAAAACAAAACTCGTTACTCTTCATAATACTTTTCACACTTATAATTATAATTTAATATATTGGCAATATGTATAAAAAGTTATTGTAAACACCCGTACAAAAAATTACTAACAAATGTACTATACTACTTACTGCTGAAAACAATTTAAAATAAATAAAAGAAATAATTAAAAGCTAACATACTGAAACATAACACTGGTTAAAGAAATTAAAAAATGATATTACATTGTTTATTTTGGTATGTTACAACTATATGGTAAATACAGATAATGCTTCACAGTTATATTTAAAAGATATAAAATACAAATATTTAAAATAATTATTTACTTTGTATTTATAGACCAACTTTCATTTAGGAATAATACACCATGTTTAAATACAAATCATGGTTAAAAGAAGCTAATAAAAAAGTAAAAGAATTTAGAGATAATTCAAATTGCAAATTATAAAATATAATATTAGGAGCAGCATTTCTTTAGTAATTACACACAAGTGTTCCATAATTTTAAAACAAAACATAAATATGCTAGTTTAAAAGAAAACAAGTAAGAAACAACATAAACTATAACTTCACTAATTATTAACAATGCTTTATTTTTCAATTGTTCAAAGTGTGTAAACAATTTATCATATAATTTTAGGCCAAATATGCATATTCTAACGTTGCTTCAAGTAAGGTAAACCCAATGAGTCGAAATGAGAACGTTAATTGATTTGTGAAAAAAGCGCCGAAATCAAAATTTCTCCGTCGATCTAACTGATGCATCACATTGGAATTTGTAAAACATGCGTATTGCGCAGAAGAAAAAATACATTCAAAAATACAGCATCAGGAATGGAAAGAACGTGTCCACAATCGGCTGCAGAGTGAAATGGGCGATGTCATTTACAATATCAAAAGATTGCGACGAATACACGAACGTCTGATACCAAGCATTCAGGGCGGTCAAGTCTTCTTATTAGAAAAATGTCAATTTATCTTAATACAATAACAACAATCGTCGCGCCAGTTTATCGAACAAGCTTTTCGGCAGTAAAAATACTTTCTTTGATCTTTTAAACTGTATCGCTTCTCAAGAAAATATATTTTTCGCAATTGCGTCAGTGGAGCCTCGCGGCGATACAAAGGAAATTTTTCGTCCGCCATGTTGGCGTTGGTCTGATAGGAGGGCGGACTTACCATAATGTAATCACAAAATTCTGCGACGTAGGTGAGCCATCCACGAAAATAATTATTACACCCGTGATCGACGAGCGTTAAATTGCAATTAGGTACCTCACGTAATGTACAGTGCATGAGCTATATCTAATATTTTACAGAACATTTTCGTTCGACTCGCTCAAGGACGCACACACTTCTAAACATGGCGACGGCTCCCGACAAATTTCGACCGCGGCCAGACCGAGTGCTGCTTGCTGCTTCACGTTTACACAAGCCACGGAGAGATGCCGCTCCGGCTGGGCACCAATTCTACGATTGGCTGGTTTCAACCGGATACTTGGCAACGTGGCAGCACGAAGCGTTTCCGATTGGTTACTGGGCAAAATATTAAAAGGACTGGTTTTCCGTCTAACAAATCAAATCAGCAACTATTATTCCTGAATGTAGAATTCTTATTTATTCCATGAAATCCATGGCTACACAAATTGTTACGTACGTTCAAATTATTAATAAATAAATAATACGACGTATTAATTTATGGCACAAACTTTATCCATAGAATACTTATCTTAGAAATTAAAAGTTTTATTCTGTTTGATTATTTAACAAAGTGTTAATTTTCCGAATATCGAATGTAAAATAAATATTTATACAAAATTAATAACGTCGGTGTAGAAATTTCATTTTAAAATAATAAATTGTTAGTCTTCTGGTAACGATTCTATAAGGTTATACACGAGTGACCGACAAATATGGGCATACATTACATCCAGCATTACATCACTTTATACTCCTGGCATCGGATATGAAGCAGTTATCCAAATGTTACGATTTAATTTATAAAACAGATCAATTAATATCATAAGACTATGTATTCTCTTAAACATTTGCTATTGTATTTCTAGCAACATATCACGTGCTTCGTCTCTCATAATTATATTTTCCATATAATTATTATCGTAAATATACTATTATTTTACTTCTTCCACAAAAAATTTGACGACACGAAGATTAAAATATTTATTAAAAATTGTTATCTACGGACACTGCATCCCTTATAACGTTTTTATAACAAATCTATTCTCTGATCAACTCGTTCGTCTTCGAAGTATGAAACTTATAAACTATTATTTACAGATTAGATTTGTAAAAAAATATAATATTTTTTAATTCCGATCAAATTTCATAGTTAAACGCAACATGGTTGCCACGTTATGCGTGCTTAATCACACCACGTGCTACTTACGCCAGTACATATGTTTAACGATTATAGAAAAAAAATAGACAGAGTTAAAACAAGAAAAAAAAGGTTTCTACTCACTCTTTAGTTGACCTTCGTGCGACGATGTTCTTTGCCTCGACATTTACCCGATTTTCTAACCAAATTCGAATGAATTAGAATCTTGATAGCGAACACATGCGCGAAGTCTTCTCATGGGACAACGTGTGTTAAACACATTTTTAAACGTAATGATAAACTCTCTATGAGTTTTCACAGAGAAAATCGTAATTGTATCTACGTTAGATTGCAAACGAATCATGTTGAAGTAACAAGTAAAAATTGGTATACTCCAATTTACAACACTTTTTTCTCGTTCTGCACGATTCTACTGTCCTTAACAAGGTGTCCGCATGTAATACGTACAATCGTAAGAATGACGCTGGGGTCATTTCGGTACTCGACGCATCATCTTTTGGGTACCACTGCTATATTTACATTGATCTACGTAGTATGCGCGATAATGATTTGAAATTTCTACTTAAAACGAACGATTGAAGATAAACATTATATTTATTTCATTTTTTAAATAATTATGAATTTTTTACACGAATATTTAAAAATTAAATTATATTACCGTGTAAATTCTTTACGCGTATCACACGAATTCGAATAAAATTAGTGGATTCGTTAATTTTAATTTTCCGGAAGTTTATGTTATATTGGTTCTGCACTTGGTTGATTTTAAAGATACAAAATAAATATATACATACTATTTGAATGAAAATTTTATAATTTACATTCGTCAGTAGCGAATAAAACGTACAAAATCTTAGATATGACAGAATTAAGTTCAAATATAGATCCGAAATTATCAGGTACTGTAATAGCACAATTACGATCTAAACACATTTGTACCGTTAGTCAATTTATAATTGAGAATTCTGAAAAATTGGCAACCTTTTCAGGACTTTCACTTAAGGTATATATAACCCTGTTACGAGAAAAATCAAATCATACGTTTCGAAATCAGACTTAATATCGCGTTAAATAATATAAAGTAGTAATTTTAAGGTTAAATTTACAGGATATACTTAATCTTAAACGAAATATTTTAAGAAAATGTGGAGGTGTAATCAGATGTGCCTCTGATTTACTTAGTGTAGAACTGAGCAATATAATTTGCAGTGATTTAGAAAGGTATTATAATTAAAACAGTATAGTCTGAAGTTAATTGAAAAGATGATAATGAATAACACAACCAAACAGTTTAGATAACTTGTTGAAAGGTGGTTTTTATCCTGGTCAAATATATGAAGTATGTGGTATATCTTCAAGTGGAAAAACACAGTTGTGTTTAACAATTGCAAGTAACATTGCCCTTAGACCCAATAGTCTTGTACACTATATTGATACAAAAAAAGATTTTTGTGGTTCAAGAATAAATCAAATTCTATTAAGAAAAAATTGCAGTAAGCAGGTACCATAATTCTATAATTGTAATAATATTATTGCAAAACATATAATAAATGTATTATACCAAATATATAGTTTTTGTTTTAACTTCAGGTTATAGATGAAGCTATGGAACGAATCAGAGTATGCAATGTGCAAAGTTTGCATCAACTTTTTAAAGTGTTACATTGGTTAACAGTTGCCTTAAAAGAAGAAATGGGAGAATGCCGTACAAGGATTATAATTATTGATTCTTTGCCAGCAATAATTTTTAAATTCACTAATGATCATACAATAACAACTACATTGAACCATTTAGCAAATATATGCCACTTTATAGCTAATGAATTTAATTTATCAATTATTACTATTAATTTGATTACTCAGTGGAATCCGGTCACTGAAAATGAATCAAACACCATAAGTGCAAATAAAAGTCATAATGATGCAGTTCCAACATTAGGAAAGTATTGGTTGGGTGTTCCAAATACAAGATTATTAATGAAAAAAATAGGATTAGACAAGAGAATGATTTCTATATGGCACAGCTTTCAATTAGAAAGAAATCTTGCATGCATATTAAGTATAAGTGATTGTGGCATGTTATGTTCACAATAATATGTAATTGTATATTTATTATCACTCGTATTTCAAATTATATTTTGGATAATAAATAAATATGTAAGTATTCTCCTCACATTTACGAGCAAATAAATTTTTAATCTGCGTTATTTATAACATGTTGTAAAAGTATTGGATAAATTTGTTCTATTATAGCAAAAATTCGCTACCACATGAAATGAATTTAATAAAAATAGAGTTATTTTGATTCAGTTTCGAGCATTTACGCAACAATCTTGTGATTGCCGCGAATTTTGAAAATACGATAATGTTCTTATTAACTTCCGGTGACGTCTGTTTCGCAACGTTGCCGCATTTTCTTAGTGTGGATAGTAGCATAACAGTTTATAATGGTTATATTAGATTAGTGTTTGTTAAGGTATATTGTTAATTAATTGTATAAGAAAGATGGCTTCCTTGGTTGCGGATTATGGAGCTTCCTCAAGTTCGGAAAGTAGCAGTGACGATGTTTCGGACAGTGCCGATAACACGTAAGCTTTCACCAACGGAAGCTTGTATGCTTCATTGTTTGTTTTCCTTCTTTATATAACCTCTCTCAATTACTATAATTTTATCCTAAAACATGATTACCTATTAAATTGTTATTATGTTAGTAATGTACTTCATGTAGTCGTGCGTTATTTCTTGCGATGTATTAAATTTGCCACGTTAGTACAGGTAGTCATGAAACGAAGATCATCGAGGATATATGTTTGCCTTTTCTATTTCACATTCTTTCATTTTAAACGTAATATCATCAATTTTTTTTAATTTAATAGTTTTCCGTTATATTTTCTCTTACCGTGTATCTATCTTTTTACAACATCTTTATATACATGGTTCAAACAGTGGACATTGTGCATAACATTGTTTAATAGATAACTTTGCAAAGATAATCTTCCCAGTACAAGTATGTATTATTATTTTTTATGTTTACATTAGCATGAATATATTAAGACACAGTTGGTGCTTACACGTAAGATTGAACTTGTTCTTTGTAATCTGATATTGCCTAACCCTTAGTTTTAAGGAAGAAGAAGATGAAGAAGAAGAGGAGGAGGATGATGAAGATGATGATGATAATGATGTTCAAGAAGAGGAAGAGGAAGATGAGGATGAAGAAAATAATGAGAGTAACAAAGGAGTACCAAATAATATAGCTTCCAAAGAGAAACTTCCATTACCAACCCCTGATTTTAACGGCACACCCACCATGAAAACTTCAGTCTTCTCAAATCCGTTTGTTGAAGCAGAAAGAGCAAAGAGTGCAATTCTTGAAAAGCATGTCAAAATGACTCCAACTCTAGATGACACAAAAATGATAAATGGTAGAAAGATTTGTTGGAATTACAGAAAAGGAAGATGTCGTTTTGGCCATAACTGTACCTTTGCACATGATTCTGACTTACATCGTACAGCAGCAGAATTAGAAGCAATTCGTGCACCTCAAGAAACAATTATTTGTCAGACTCAGTATAATGGTCAAGTGCCAGTAAATGATGATGATGAAGTAGATCAAGAAAATAACCAAATGAATAAACGTAAAAAAAGGCCAGGATTAAGTCAGTCCTTAATACCCAGTAAGAAAGTCTTAAAAATGTACAAAGCACAACAAGCTAAAGCTATTAGTAGATAAATATAGCTTTATTAATTATACATATAAATAATATCAGCATGCAATTAGCTATTCTGAAAAGGGAATAATTTATGATTTATATACAGTAGTGCCCACATAAGTGGCCGCGCTCGGGACCGGCCGCGGTCATTTATGTGGGCATGGTTACTTCTCAGAATTCAACGGAGATAAGGAAAAAGCATAAGTGCGAGTGAGATAAAATAGCTGGCACCCGAAATCATATATACAATGTATCCATAACGATCGGCGTCAAGTTACGCTCGATGATCAAAGGTGCTTGGCTTCTAAAAATTGGTGAGGATAACCGCGGTCATTTAAGTGGACAAAAATTCGGTCACTTATGTGGGCACTACTCTACTTTGTAATTCAAACAAGTTCATACAAATGGAATTGATAATAACTTACATCGAAAATGCAAGCTATAAAGCATGAAATGTTGTATGAACAAGAGAACATTATAAGAGACTAATTACTTCTTTATATACCAAGAGAAGTATAACAAAGTATGCACTTCTAGAGTGCAATTAACTCTTCAATAAAAAAATGCTAGAGTTAATTAACAAATGCGTCACAAATCATAGCTACTTCGAAATTACTTGGAAATTTCAGAATTATTTAAATACTACTTGATATTTATAGAAAAGTGTTTGTTATGTATATAAAAAGTACATTTTACTTGTATAGTTAATACTTCCAGGGACCTGCATAAATGAATCATAATTCATTGTGTCTTGCATACAAATAGTTTTATAAATGTAGTTCTATTTATATTTGGTATTACTAACTTGCCCACAATAACTGAAATATGTCTTCTTATTACTTGTTTTTCATTATACAGTTTACATTAGCTGTACGTTTTCTCTTCCACTGAAAAGAGGCAGCTATTTGAAAGTTCTTTATAACAGACTCTGAAGTATTTACAAATAGTCAGGAGCACTATTGTATTTAAATATTTTATGAAGTATTGCTACAGCTTTAAGAAGTTTTAGACACTGTTTAATGTACAGAGCAAAAAATTGTCACTTTATGTAAGAAAGCTGTATGTAAGAAAGGATTATATGAGTTATGTATGATACAATATTGTTAACATTCTTTAACTACTAACAATAATGTTTAACTATAATAATCAAGGTATACCAAAAACAATAATTACGCTTCCACTATTCGTTATATCTTTTTACATGTTACAAGATATAAAACAAGGCTTATATGATTCCATACTGAAGTAAATATGATTGTTAATTTTGTTCCTTTGGCAGTGTAATATCACATTTCTTCCTTTATATGTGATTTACCTATTTAAAGTATTTTTTAGTAGTAAATACTTCTTTCATTCAACGTGTATTGTAATTTGTATACTCATTATGTAGTTGGCGTAAAAAGTCTAGATAAAAAATTTAAATTAACAAATCATTTCACAAAATTGAAGAAATGAAACTGTTTAAACTCCTTCACCTACTATACAGGCGAATAAAAATTTGTTAAATTAATAAGTTCGATAAACTACGAAAAAAAATGTCAATACATTCAAGAAAGTTTATATGTAGCTATAAGTTTTCTTTTTTATTTTGTACAATTGTAAGATTATGAGAGAATTTTTTGAAAACTGGCAATAAATCGCAGTGACCAACACACGTTACTGGTTTATGTTCTTCTCCTTGCTGTATCACATGAATATGGATATGAGCCTTAATCTGAAAACAAAATTATAGTTAACAATTATTTAATCTGTAACTAATGCACTTGGACAACAGTAGGCGGGCATTAAAGTAAACAAAAAAAATGATAGGCACATGACATTTTATTAGATAATCATGGGTACAATATGAGTTCAGATCAATTATATGTGGTATAAGAGCATCAGTTACTGATTATTGCATCTTTCATTGAAAATATATATTTATATATCATTCTTTTCATTTCCGCGACTGAACATTTCACAGGCACTTTGTCTCTAAACAATGGCAAAATTTGTGATAAGTGTGTCTATGTAAAATAAGCATATATATAATCATCACAGTTATGTTCTTTAAGTTATACTCAATGACGAAAAAAGTTTTAATTAGTAAAGTATATAATAAATGTTTAATAATTTATTTACTTCAAATCAATGATCTTCATAAAATACTATAACTCAAAACATGATATCATTATCCGCACCAAAAATATTTCCAATAAATTTAAGTATTTTTTGTATGGACAAATTTTTAATGGAAATATACCTGTTAAGTACTAGTATGTTTGACAATTACCTTGTCACGACTATAATACAGAATTCTGACAATACTGCAGAACAGTACAACCATTGAATCATACTTTTTTTTTTTTAATTACTTCACCATTATGCATTAAAAGACAAGTGAAATATTAGAGTTATCTCCGTATTCGCTAATAAATAATTTCCTTGCAAAAACTATAATCAAACACCTACTTGTACGAACGAAATTTTTGGCTTTCTACGGTATAATTTTTAAATTAAATTATTTAAATTTGTTTACGTTCGTGCAGAACATTAAATTTCTATCGAGACAATGTTAAACGTTTCTAAGGAAAAGTATACTTCACACCGATCGCATATTCTTCGACAATTATATAGTTTCAAATATGTAGTTTGCACACTACGCGCTACATATATTTCGTATCACAATAATGTATAGTAAATTTTCTTAAATAAAGAGTTACGACAATACTCTAGACAAGATACACAACGAAGTAAATAGATGAAAAGTGAAGTGAAGTGATTTAGTTTAACTGTCAGTGCCAATAAAATACTTTATCTTTTCCTTGGAATTATTTAAATAATTTGCCTCTTCTCGTTGCCCAACTATTACCATCGTGTTCTTGCATTATCATCTTGAAACTTGTTTTCATTATACTTTTTTTCGTATTCTTTTCTTACGAGCTATCGTTCAATTTTTTCGTAGGACTATCGCGTGCATTGCATTTCACATCTGCTTGATTATTGCTTTTTATGCTATTCCGTTCAACGAACTTCAGGTTACCATTCATAACACCGTGGACACCGTTTTGTACGTCATTTATAACTTTATCTATACCATTTATTCCAATTTCTACATCATTGACTCTAGAAACAATCTCATTTACTTGTTTCTTAACTGATGCGTTATCTTTCACTTCCGAAGAATCGATATTTTTACTTTCTGTTGATCCAGATTCCGCCAAGCCTGCAAGAGCGTAATCTGTGCAATTCAAAAGAGACTGATCAAACGAAAGATCGCCTACACTAATGAATATAAATGAGATGGATTAACTTGTACTATATCTTATTATAGTATAAGTTACAGCTAGATGATTCACTAATAAGGGGTGAAAATATACGATACACACCGTGTAAATTGTGGCAGTATTTATTAGTATTGTTCCATTCCTCTCGTAAACTGAGATTGAACATACTATAATCTGGATTTCCAGTGACCTCTTTTTCGATTGTCAGGAACTGTGGTAATATGTTTTTAAGCTCATCTCCTGATAACGCTGTATACGTTTCAAGCAGCATCAAACCTCGGCATCTGTAATTTATATTAATACTCTCCTCATTTCTATATAGTAACAGAATTTTTTGTATCATATAAAAAATGTAGTTTCCCATTTGTTACCTTGGGTGAGCTGGTTCTCTGTATATATCTAATTGAAAATACTGATTATTGATGAGGAAACAGCGTCGACGTTTAAAGATGGTGAAATGCGAGTCATCGCGTTGCGCGAGCATGTTTAAGTAATCTCGGTGAGTCAACTGTGTCTTAACTTCGATTACTTGTCCGCACATTTTTGGACGCCGAATAGTATGAATGTAGGACCAGTGACCTGCAATGATAAAAAACAACACTTAACATTGATGATGCAGCCAGATACAAATTACAATTGAACGTATAATCCTCAGCTGCAGCACATACGTACACCGAATCCCGAAATAAACACCAATTGGGGCCAAACCTAAATAGAAAATTTCAACGATACTTTTAAAATCTATCGATTAACCTTCTGTTAACCCAAATGATATTTTACCTTCTGAAATAAATTATGCAATAGGACCATTGATAAACACTAATAACGCGCGCAACGATATGGCTTAAACTCTTACAACTTCTATAACATTTTTCAGCCATTTGTGTTCCAAAGGAAATTGCATTAAAAATTTATTTATTTATAAATAGCTAGAAAAATGCCCCGTTTGCGCCAACTTGGACGCCCACAAAAATTGCTTTGTTGATATATCTTTCGACGTTATATCGAGAACCGGTATGTCTCTTTGGAAGGCTGAGTGTAACAAATTGACTACGCCAGGGTTGGCGAACTTATGGCACGCGTGCCTAAGGTAGCACGCGAGACAATTTGATTGGCACGCGGCCGAATTCTAAATAAAATTTAAAGAACACGCGAATTCTTGAAAATGAATATAAATTAAATATCTTGCGCCTTTCATACATGCTGGTGTTAATTTGAAGCGATGTACGTGCTGCGATTCTTCGGATCACTAACGTTCCTAATTTTTTACCGAAACGAAGACGTGTAATTTTATTTTCTCGATCCGTACAATTACTCAAGCGATTTCTTTTACGTGCCTTTCTGACCGCGTTTGCGGAGACGAGCTTGCATCTTCGGATTGTTGCTTTGGAGGTAGTTGTGGACGACATCGAAGTCCTGGAACGGCGGGAACTCGTTGTCCGCGAGCAGAGGACCTTTGACGAGGAACTTGACCTTTCTACTACTGGCTCGTAACCTGTCCCCAGTGTCGATGCCCAGTTTCTGGCACACGCACTCGATCATGCGGCATATCTTCGCCTCGAAGTCCTGTCTGTTGTCTATCACGTCGAAATAAGGATGCCCGATCCACGCGGCCGCCGCTTTGTAATCGAGTTCCCTGGCCAGCTCTACGCCCTCCGATCGACACGCGTGATCTTCCGTCGAGTAGAATTCTTCGGCGCCGTTTGCCGCCGAAATCATGTGGATGATCTGGTTATACCTGTTGTCTCGGAGCTCGACGTTGTTCCATCCATTCGAGGCCATCATCAGTTCCCATTTATCCTTCGATATAACTACGATACGGAAAAAAAAGTGACCGTAAACGAACTGTTCGCGCAAATACAGGCGGAACGTACATACAATGGCGGCCATTTTGGTTGCACGGAAGTCGTATTTAAAACACGAAAATATTTGAACGATTTGGAAACGAAAATACGAACAGTACCCGTAAATTAAATGGCCGCCAGTGTATTATAGTTTAAAAGTATACAGGGTGTACCATGAAATTCGGCCAAGCCATAGAAAACAATTTCGTTAGGAAAATTAAATTCGAGCGACGCATTGTGTCTTCTTCGTAAGCGGCGGGCGTTTCAATGATTTCAAGTGCATGCGTTTTTTTTTTATATGCCAATCGGCGCAGTTTTTAATTCTCTAAAAAAAAGGTATTAAGTTTTCGATTTTATTTCGGATCCATTTCAGTGAATTTCTAAAGTCTGTCTGTGGTTAGAGAAGGAAGTAGCATTAATTATTTTAGAAAACAAGAGATGGGGAAATGGTTGTTGCAAAAATGATTTTAATGTCTAAAACAGACAATAAACTTAATTCCACGGAATACAAAAAACAAAAGAAAGGTTCCTTACGATTATTAACGAAAATGGAGTTAAGCTTTTTGGCTCGTGAAAAGGAATGATAACACGATCGAATACGAAGCACAAGCGAATCATCGATGTTTGGCCATTAACACGTTCATTGTCTATGGCCCGTATACGAGTCATAGCACTATGCTTTTGGACACGCCGCTGAAAGACCGGACAGTCAACGTGTTAAATAATAAGAAACATCAGGATCCTCGTTGCTTGTTTTAAGCATTCGATATATGTACCTTATTTTATGACAATTTTGCTTACATGCAGAGGCATCCATGGCACCGCGATCACAGATTATAAGGCAATTTCGTGAACTACTCTCGCCCAATTGGAAGAACGTGTTTTCTATCTGTATCATCGTACGTAAGAGGTTCTCTTGAAACTTGAATGCTAGAACAAGACAATAGATATAACATTACAATCGCATTCGACATACTTAAATTGTTTCGCGTACAAGAAGACTACATTTCTATCGGTAAGCTTAGTTTTCCCTAAGAATTCTCTAAATACGAAACTACGATGCGAAATGAAAACTACGTTTTTTTCCGACGTTCACGATTGTTTATGTAACAACATGGAAGAATTAATTGCTCGCTCGTTTATTGGATTACGACCGCGTTGATAAATGATAATGATCGCGTAATATTTTTAACCGGGACGTATAATGTATGTAACCGAGGATAGCCTAAACGGAGCATCGTCGATAAAGACACTGTTTTTTTCCTTCGAACTAGAAGAGAAACTACATAAGTCGTATGAAAACCTAGACTACGTTCATTGTTAATATCGAAATTATCTTAATGACTCTCGCAGACTAGCGCGTGACAAAAAATCCGTTGATAAACGGAATAGTAGATTGCGTTCGAGCGGATGTGAATATAAATCACTTATCTTATCAAGCTTTCTGAGGTCGAGATGTAAGAGTATCGATACACAATCACGGTCTCGAATCGATCGTTATCGTTAATCGAGCCGCGCCAAATGCCATTAATGCAACTCGAGGATCGATGCACTTCCAGGTACCACAGAGTATCGAAATTAGTCGAAGCTCGATTCGTCGATTCGATTATTCGATCTTTGCTCTTTCATTTCACAGTGGTTTCACATTCACGGTGGATGACGAAACCATTTAAACGATTATGACGAACGAGAACCGTGAAACGTAATAAAACTTTTTAAATTCCGCTACATTTCCGCTACATTTCTTCTATAAAGGAGGATTAACTTCAAAACTGCATTCAGCAAGATGCAATAATATTTCATAATCATTGCGATAGATCGGATCAATTTCACTTAAGACGTTTCGTAAAAACGTTCTTGTATCTGAAAAAGATCTAACAGGTGATTTGATCGATCGTTGGTCATCGACGATGAATAGTACAAATTGTTCCGTATAAACATAACAAAAAAAAAGGACACAATTGGTGTGCTCGAATATTTTCGTGACCACACAAGTGGGAGCATCGTGATCGATACAGTGTGGCAAAATTGTCGAAAAACACGCGTGCCAGCTTCCACACAAGAGCAACGCGTTCTCGTATGTGTTGCATTATTCTGATATCATTCGTATCCGTCTGCCGGAGATATGACGTATCTCGTTCCAGACGGGTTAACCGCGTGTAACTATCGCGTTGTTGTCACACAAGCAACGCTTTATCGAATCAGTGAAAAATCCAATTAATGAAACGGCCGTCCAAAGGCATCGACGGATTTCGACGATTGATCCAGCGACGTTTTTCGTTTCTGTCGTCGAACCCAGACCGGACACCGCGCTCTTTAGTGTCGATCGCGACCGGAAGTGAGTAGTATTTCAATTCGAGGACATCGATTTTAGACGATTTTCAACCCCTCTATTTAACATTGATTCTTTAAATAGGAGAATAACTTTTGTACGGAATATTTGTTTCGTTAACATTTTTTATTATTTTATAAAGATATTTGTTATAATTTGAAAAAATATCCCTGGACTTCAGCCATTTATAGAGAATGAAAAGGAATCAAGACGCCTTCACGGATTCGAATAATCCAGATCACGATAATATTTTATTCGATAATTCTATCTGAACACGTAGCCCCGCACGGCTACAGAGAAAATGAAAGGATTAAGAGCAAGGAGAATCGAAAGGTACGAGGCTACTCTATCGCGAGAAAGCCGCTAACTTGGTTCCAAAGTTGCAATAATAATTTCACGTAGCTCGAGTACAACAGTTTTCTTACGAAGTTTAACATTTTTGCGTATTTATTTAGCGTCGCGTTGAAAATAAATAATTTTTAAGATTATTCGAACCGCTTTTAGATTACCAAAGAAGGCAACCCGAAAATGGAGATGGAAACTGCAATAATTGAATGCTTGATGGGACTACCACGACTGTATCAACTTTTTACGTTGATAAATAACTACACGTATAATTTCAAAGTTCGGAAGATCGGGAGTTGCTGCGTTGGTGTTCGATCTTTTGCGAGATCTTTAACCTTTCCGAATCCACTGTGCATTGTAATGTACACGGAATTAATATTTTGCAATAATATACGTCATGAATCCACAATCGTTATCTGTTTAAAGTGATATTACAAATAATTTAGCTAGCTTGCACCAAGGGATAGATCGTGCTAGCTGTGAACGTTTGAAAGATGATTCATTAAGTTTGAAACTGCGTCATGAAAATGCTCGTATCTAATTTACAGAGAGTAGAGCACGACAATACGCCTCGACTTTGCCAAACAACAGGCGGGGGTGTCTAGCAGCAGGGATCAAGTCGCATCGCTCTAGCAAAACAACCGGACGAGGGGATCCTTTTATTTCCGAGAACGTTAAGCAACGCGCAGAAACTACGGTTTCTGGATGGAATGAACAATCACGTACGCAACCTGTGATGGATAAAAAAATTCTTAACAAAATGAAGTTTCCAATAATTGATACAAGACGAACAAACGTTTATTCAATTTCAAGTTAAATTTTAATATTCGATCGAATCGACTGCTACACATTCGTCTTATTGGTTACTTATTAATAAAATTTTACCCATCTCTGTTACACAAGTCCTATCAGAAATGGCGATGGTCTCGGGTCACTTACCTTTTAAAGAATTCTAATACATTAAAAAGAAATTTCTAATGTAGATTTGATGCAAAAGAAAATTCAATAATAAAGTATTATTGTTAGTCATCTTCATCTTTTATTAGATCTGCTAGTTGAATTTACCCGCAAGCGTAGTAAATCCTGCCTCAGACGCAACTGTACTAATCGTTTGGACTATTATCAACAGCTGGATGGTTTGTTAATACACATACTCAGCCTGAAGAGGTTCCTGAAACGATTAACTGCGTCACGGTTAAGTCAGAACCTGCCAGATAAGCCTTACTGATAAGTCCAATTAGCAGGTACCGGATGAAACGCAATATTGCACTTTGTCTCAAAACCATTAGTATTATCAAACGTGATCATGACAACAAACAAGTTCTTTGTGTAAGTCTGAAGCTCCTTTAATAGAACGGTCGTTTTCTTTTTTAAAAACGACTTTCGAGGTGGCGTTTGGACTTTTCTTCGTGATACATATTTGTTCTTTAACGCGTTCACTGTCCGGTCTCTCGGCGGCGTATCCAATAGCATTGTGATGTCACCCATATACGGGTCATAGACAGTGAACATGTTAATGATACTCTGTAAACAGTTCACTCGGGTACTTTGACCACCATCGGTTCTGACGTTGCAATCACTTAACTCTAATCCTACCAGGTCACATACCAAGTTTGAACGTTTGCAAGTTAATTTATACAGGGTGTTCGGCCACCCCTGGCAAAAATTTTAATGGGAGATTCTAGAGGCTAAAATAAGACGAAAATCAAGGATACTAATTTGTTGATTGAGGCTTCGTTAAAAAGTTACAGAAACATTTCCGGCCACACAGTATATTTTGGGTAAAGAATTTTTTTCTCACAAATACGTAGCATTTCGGGGGTATGTGTATTCACAAAAAATGATTGTAATTGACCCTCGCAACCAAAAATAATTTTTCCAGAACGATTTGAAATTTTTTTTTGCCGAAAAATTTCACACCAACTCGAATTTTTTTCTTGAAAGTGGGTAGGATTTCGGGGGTATATATATTCACCAAAAATGATTGTAATTGACCCCCGCAACCGAAGATAATTTTTCCGTGAACGATTTGAATTTTTTTAATTTAATTTTTCAACAAATTGATATTCTTGATTTTCGTCTTATTTTGGCCTCTAGAATCTCCCATTAAAATTTTCCCTAGAGATGGCCGAACACCCTGTATAGTTGACATTTTATTTATTTCAGAAGTTAAGAATAGATGAAATATTGGTACTTTATGAGTTACTTAAATTTAGTATGCGATTTAAAGTCATATCCTCCAGTAGAATTAGGGTTAAAACAATTTGTATAAAAGTGTACACACAAAGAGATTGGATTTTTCGAATGGAAAAAGAAAACGATCGCCATTTTAGGTTTGTGACCTAAGGCTAGCCCCGTCTGATAGGGTTTAAGTGCGCGTAAAATTGTTTTTACAAACTCGACAGGACGAAACTTTATAATAAACCTAAAAAACCAAGGGCGTGGGGAGGGGGTTCGTGTTCGTCGCCTTACCAAGCTCGTAATTTCTGCGCGCGTGTCTCAAGTTCACCGCCAAGTATAAAACAGGACCCGTTCTCTCGTCCTTATCGCCTTCAAAGCGAACACTTCTGAAACTCACCCTTGCTGGAGTTAACCTCCAAGATGTCCGGCCATCTTGCTTCGCCTTTGTCGGGCCCGTTCCTGTAATGCCGTCGCGACGACTTCGTAATCGACGAACGCGACCCGGATCCCTCTGCTAGAACCAACCGTCCTTGAAGACACTTCCAGCTCGATAAGTCTGGTAGGATCTTCCCTTCCCCAAACCCTCCACAATTTTCCCTTTTTTCTCGTTGGGGTTTAATTAAATCGTTTTTCTAAGCTAACAAGACTTTACTACCCTTAACATCCTCGCTACCATCATTTTGTTTCGTTCGAATGCGTTAAGCAGTCCTAGTCTTCCATTTTTTATCGCGAGGAATTTACATCGTTTCTAGGTTTTTCAAATTTTTTTTCTCTGACGTAAGGGTTAAGTGAAACGTTTAAAACTGTTATCGATGAAAACAAAAATTGGTCTATATCTTCTGGCTATCTACGAAGGGTGAACCTCTAATATAGCCTAGCGAAAGTCCTATTTAGATCATAGATCGTATACGACTAGTCTTTGTTAAGTTTGGCCCGTAGAACAGACCACGAGTCTGACTCGAAATTATTAGGCAAGAGGTTAATAATACATACAATCTCATTAGCAGATAAATTTACTCGCAAACTCTACAGTTACTTAAACTAGCAATGTGACTCAAAGTCACATCCTGGTAGAATTAGTAGTCGAATATCAGTGGTTTCAACTTCAACGTTTGTCAACCAAATTGCTCGGTAATTATGTTTCATCATTATATTCTGCGTTGCGACCATAGCACGCGATGTCGTTCCATCTCCACGGTATAAACCATATCGATTTCACCGCGTAATTATCTTCTTTTTTGTCATCGACATTCCGGGTCGCCACCAGTCACAATTTCGATGGAAAACATTGAATTCGTCGTTCCGACGATTTGGTTATTATCGTAGGCGGGGAGCACCGATATCTGGCCGCGATATTTTGGTTCGTTCTAAACCTTAATTGATGCAATCGATTGCCTTTCGGATATTAAAAGACTCGTAATAAAACAGAAGATAACGCGTGTCCAAACAAATTAATACGAAACTGACTCAATGGCTGATGACTTCGTTGGCAAACAAGATTTTTCAATTATGAAACCAGTAACCAGATGAAAATCTAAATACTGTTGTGCAACCTCGAGAAGCCATTACAAAGCAACATACCTCGAGAAATATTTGTATATTATTTAAAATAAATTTTACATCACCGTTCGACTGAATTATATTATTTCATTCCCACCCCTGTTCGAAAGTTGGCCCACAGAGAATATTATTCTTTTTGTGGCCCACTGAATTATCGATTTTTTCACAAAGTTACGGATCTACATAAATTTTCTTTTGCCCGCCCATCGTATAAGTTCGACGCCGTTGGTTTACAGAATCGCAACGAGCTCTGATCCAGCATTAACGAAAGATACATCCAACAATCGCGTTTTCCAGCCGGACAAAGCTATCTATCCTTTTGATCGGGATTACATTGATCCAGTCCTATCAGTTGTGTAACGCGTATTCCAACCCTACCAGTCGAGGGTTAATAAAACCGGGGACGACGCTGGTTTATTCGCGGTGGCTGACGAGTGCAGAACAACAGCCGCGTCATCAGACATGTGGCCTCGGCAAAAAGCTCGAAAAACGAAACTGCATACGGCTGGATACCGTTTCCGTCGCGAAAAAAACCAAAGAAGCTCACCCTACGTCGAGGATCGTTTGTCGATAACCAAACGAGCAGTACCTCGCTTTACTGCTTCGTAAGAATCGTGTGGAACAATTTATATTTGAATAAAATAAATCGTGCCTCGTAAGTTTTCGAGTAACTTTTTAAGAGAATAAGCAGAAGGGCTATTATTTAAAATAACGATGTTTTTTGACGGACTGGGGGTTCCTGAGGGTCTATGGCGATAATCAGCCAATCTAGAGGCTGCAAATATGTCTGAGAGATTTTTATTAACAAGCTATTATTCCACTTGATATATGCGTTTCGGAGTTAAAGGGTTAAATGACGATACCACGAGCCTATCACATCAATTCGAGTTAAGGCTCGTCGCAGAATAAATCGTTCTATGACCCGTATTGGGGCTACATCGATCGACAAGATTCTTATTTAAATAAACAAACTTAATAATTTGAGCTTACCCGAAAAATTGATTTCTGGGTTCCTGGATCTCTTAAGTTTAAGTTTACACTGTTTCATCGAGTATATTGAAAATCATGATGCAGTTTCATTGTTTCTTACGTTCGATTCTATTTCTACTCTATTTCGTCGAAAAATACGTATTTTCTTCGAGACAAGTTTTTGTTGCTAACTAATGGAATATTTTACGTAACGTCGATGGTGCGATGCAAGAAGAAAATCTGCGCAATAGAATACATAAGCGACACCAGGCGCGAACGCGATCGCGTTGATAGCGTAAATTAATTCACTCCATCGTGTTTATCAAAACCCGCGGTATCCTGTCATAACCGGAAAGTTCGTTAATTGTGAGTGGTCGCTATTAATCGTGGGTGCAGCCCGACCTTCGAAGGATCATTTTTCGAAGTGTGTCCCATTTAACCCGCGAAAAGAAACAGACTACGCGTCGGACGTGGAAGTTTTGCGACGCCGATTGTGACAGGTTATCAATATTTCATAAACTATACCGCTTTTATCCTCGGCCATTTGCATATTCAATTGCGTTTCAGGCTATTTCGAGAGATAAAGCGAGAACCGAAAGTATTCGTCGTCGAAAACGAAACGAAAAGGCGGCGATCGACTATTGTCAGAGTCTCTTTCGCAAGAATTTTTTGTTATTCTTTCGAAAACGATTCGTGTTGGTATGTTGGGCGCAACCACGTTCGGTACTTTTTTTCTGCGATCTCATTAAATCTGCAACAAACCAGATTCACATGGAAATTAATAACTAACGTTCTGCTCGATGCATTTACTTTCTCGTGACAATGTATTTGTTCGAAACGATCGAGTCGATATACGCAAATTGTTTCACTCTGTTCCATTCGCAACGACAGTTTATTTGCTATCTCCGCAGCACGTGTGCAATAATTTATGACGCAGCAAGCACGTTCCATCGAAAAGCTCGGTATCTAAGACAATTTCAGAAATTCGAACGCATAATAAAACGAAACTGGAACCGAGCCAGAGCACAATCGCACGTATAACACTCGTAGCAGCGCGGCAATTAAGTGGATGCATCGGCTATGAATTTATTAATAACCGGGGGCGCTTAGTATAACGAACTTATTATACTGTATCTGTCGTTACGTCAAAGAAAATATAGAATATGTCGCCACGGATGACCTACATTAACAAATTAACGTCGTACAATGAGACGGCCAATTAAATATCGTTTATAATCGTGCCAATAATCGTCGAAAATGGTCTAAGCAAAATTGGTACGTTCTGATTAATAATCGTAAGTAACGTCGTCGCGACGATAGAGATCAACGTCCATCGATGTTTCTTCAATCGCGTATGTACCATGCTCGAAGAAGCCAAAAAAAGGATTTGGTGACAGGAAGCCTGATTTGTATCAATGTTTCAAGGTCACGGATTAGAACCAAACTAATACATTTACGTAAGCATATCGACATCGAAGAAAACGTGTCGAAGATATATTTTTCACGAGCTATTTTCCAACGTGAATATTCGTCGATGGCCCGAAACTGCAGATACCGACTATAGACTCGTTAACGAGAGTTGAAAATTTAAAAGAAAGAAAAGAAGACAAAGTCGAGAAAACTGGCAGGTATTTCGCGTGCAATGAAGCAACTTTGGTTTGGCATGAAATCGCGGGCGTTGCTGCAAACGTTAATACGGCGAAAATATTTGGCCACTTATGCAGTTTAGTTTCGTGTCGTCAATTTTATTTAACGTTAGCGTTAAAGATTTCTATCGTCTTCCAAAAAATTTAAAAATCCGTCATCGTTGAATGAATTGGAACGTGCAAGTGGAACGTTCGAATACGCGCTCCCGAAACCAAATTCTAATCCCGATTTTATGTTACATAATTTCGTTGGTGTGTATTATTATCCATGGTTGATGTCCCACGAATAGTGCGCGCGCGAACTAAAATTTTCGCGACTCGTGACGATCGTACGCCATTTTCTTTCAAGCCTGAGGCTATTCGAATATTTCATAGGTACTCCAATGGCGATAATGGACTTTAAATATTATTATTTCCCGCGTACTAGCACTCAGACTAAGCTCGTTTATAGTTCATAATGCAGTATTCAAATATTGAGAATATTTAAAGAGGCGCGAAAATCTGTTGAGGAATAGTGCGAAGTGCTATGCGTAAAGTTTACGAAAATAATATTTCAGGTCATTTTTTATGACATTACGTGTTCTATGTAAAACGTAAAACACGTTCGAATAGTTTTATTCTGAAAAGATTTTTCTATTTTTACCGTGACTGTATTTTATTGACAATGACACTTCATGTTTCAACTTTAACTAGTTCGTACATGAATAACTGTCGGGACAATAATTTACAAGGTACAGTAATTCTAGAACTTATCTGAAAAACGCCAACGTAACTGCAAATCATGTTACACTGTCCACGGGTAATACGTTGTTTCGAAAACAAAAAAAAGCAGAGGCGCATTTAAGCGATATTTGAACGAATTATACAATCCTCCACAAAAAACGATGTTACAAAAAATTTGTAGCAATTTTACGAAGGCTCATTATAATAATCGCGCGCTACGAATTACTATGATAACACAATCTCGTATATTATGTAACGTAAGACAATTTGACAGCCTTGCTTCTTTAAAAATGTTCTTACGAAACACGATCGAAACGCGAAAAATAAAAATATTGACCAATTTATGTCCCCTAGTGATCGTCGATCGTCTTGTGTTTTTGCTGTAAATATGTCCGATCCAGTAGGGAGACTTTGTTCCGATAATCGGTACAGGAAGATCGAAATTGCAACTACGTGATAAAATAATCAGTGTTAACATAGGTCATGCGACGTTACGTTTGCGTATTTCGTTTTGTGTTTCGATAATCGGTCATTCGCAATAATCGACGCTTGGATAATCGAAGTTCCGATAATCGACGTTCCGCTGTATGTATATGAATACATAGGAAGTCGTATCAACGTAGGTTCTGTGCGTTACGTGCATACAGATTAGGATAACCGATGGCGAATAACGACCATAAACCTATTGTAAAAAGAATAAAGATCAACACCCTGATCGATAGAAGAACAGTTGTTGATTTTTTTATTCGTTCACTTCCTCGTGACACTGTATTTTGTTAAGATTTATTCGGTTAACGATAAATGGATTAAAATAATTACCCGATCGCCAGATGACAATTAACGTTAAGGGTAGTTGAGCGAAAAAGAGCTGATCCATGACCTATCGAAGAAAAAACGTGCACGATCGAGCCGCCAACGATTACGCGACCAATTATAGGATCCCGATATTATTAGTTGCTTCGAACAAACACAAACACACACGATTTAAATATTTAAGTTACTCCAAGGTAACGCAGTATAATATGCAACCAAAACCTTTTTGAATTACGAGTTTATTGTACCAGAATTAATCGTGAACGCTCACTGCGATAAGTTAATCATTTTTGGAGAATCGTTATTTTTCTTTAAACGTAATTCATACACGATAATGTGCATTTCATTAATTTGCTGTTAAATATTTCATACAATCTCTACTCATTATTATGCATCATTATACCAAGAAGACATTTTTTAGCTTTCTTCGTTCGAAATGCTAATTCTGTTTTACTAAATGGAAAACTTCCTCTGCACAGCAAAAAAAGAAAATCGTACATCCGTCTTGGAAAAATCTGTTTTTAATTGCAGAGTCGACGAAGCGAAATATTGAAATAATTATAGAGTGCAAAAGGTTAATCCTTTGCGGACTTTTATCGTCGTAGGTGCACACAAAAAATCCATTCTCCACGCGACAGCAGTACGTATATTAAATACAGTCGAGACCTACATAAATTTCACATCAGATCTTCCTACGTTTCCTCGAAACGACCATCCGTGGAGGTTTAATATTTTTCCTCGATCGCTGATCGAACGTCCGTTCGAAACATGGGTGGATCCATCGTATATCATCCACGCTTCGTCGCTCCAAAATATCATGTGTGTCTCGTGACTCGATCAACAGCCGACGCTATCCAAGAATTTTGGCAAGTTGCCGGTCCCGATTTTACGCAATAAACGGATGGTTATACGTCAGCCATTTTAATTCTCCGATCCACCCGCGAGTCCGCGAAGATCGTTCAGATTTCGTTTTCTTTTTACGCGTCGTCGCTATAATTAAAATGTTTTTTTTCTTCTCTGCGTTATAAAACCCGTCTATTCGAGCTCGCTTTTTTCCCCGAAAGTTTTCGACGACGAACACTGACGCAACATTGTGCAATTCGACACGACAGAACATATTTTGTTACAATAACTTCACAATCGTTATTAGTAATAAATATTCGTAAAATTGAATACCTGAAACGCGCGACGTACTCGCGTTGCACTTTTAGCGATTAGATCGTAATATTTACATCTTCTGAAACACTTTCATGACGCTTCGAATAATCGCTTGCACGTTTAGATTATGACACGCGAAGATAATATTTTTTGCGAACGCGGTTACCGTCTATCCGTTTATGCAGATACTTTGTTACGTGTTTGTTGCTTAGGAAGCATCAAAATGTTGATAAAATATTGTGTTACTTTGATAACATTGGTCGTAGCTGTCTATCGTCGTACGTATACAGTGTTGTAATATTTTCTTGATACTGTTTCGTTCGAGTTTGTTTTGTACCAATTAATCTTAAATTTCGTGGTTAGAAGCCACTTTCTACGCGTCTACGCGAATCTTTGCAGTATTTTCTTCTTTACTGTTTCTGCGACTGTAGTTCCCCTCTAATATTCTAGTAATTTTCTATATAGAGATCGTTTTACCAAAAACGAATTTTCCGTTTAACTCTATAAAAGACGTTCGCTTAACCCCTTCCCTTCGTTGTTTGATATCAAAAGGGCACGGCCGTTCGTTCGAGAACATTAATCTTTTTATCTGTTTACCGATCATCGATTGACTCCGTCGACGTCCTCGAGATCCTCGATAATGCCGTTTTTAATTCAAGGGTGCCACGAACATAGTTTTCCCGGGTTAACGGAAAGTTTCGTCGCTATTATCGTGTCGACCTGTACGCAACGATATCTATACTTAAACGACCAAGGGATAAAACGAGAGGGCACGAGAAGTGCTCGTGCAGACCATCGATCGATGCTGACGTGACATTGTCGTGTCTCCCGTAAAAACCCGTGCATCCGGCGTAGCTTGCGATGTAAGCTTAACCAGGACACGCTATGCTCTATGTAAGTAATGATCCTTGATTTTCAGCATTCATTAACGAACGAGTGTCTCTGGTACGACCCTGACTAGAAGGAAGCACGCGCCTCTAACGGCCATTTTACGAAAGTGTAGGCAAACGATCTTGAACTAAAACGAAAATTAATTATATGTCTCTATTTCATCTCTAAAACATTTTGTCCGAGTCAAGGTCGGGGAACGGCTTCTCGTCTTTGAAAATTTAATAAATTAATAAATATTGTATCCGTTTCTGTTGTAGCAATTTCCTACGGTTTCTGCGTCCGCTTAAAGAATCTCCGAGAACACTTGAGATGGATAGAAATGTAAATTTCGCAACTGGTTAGTCCGCAAAACCCGTGTATCCAGTGGTGTAACCGTAAGATAAGCATACACAGGGCACATGCTACGTTCTAAACGCATCGCGAAGTACGATTTTCCTATCGATCGAAGCCCAACTCTAGCCTCTGAGGTAGAATGTAAATTTTGCAATTGATTAGACCGCAAAACCTGTGTATCCGGTAGCGTGATCGCGAAATAATTGTATCCTGTGCCATCCAGACTCGGTATCAGACTATTATACGCCTTGGGTGCGTTTCTATTTACACATTTTCTTTATGCTAGGCCCTGTGTGTATCTTGCACGTTAAATGATGAAATTTAAGCGTAATCGTAGATTATTCCTGACTTCGGTCACGACAGATTCATGCAGCAAAAAATAAAACGTAAGTCATTCGGTAATTTCTTTTATCTATCTAGATCAGTGTTCTCCAAAATGGAGGAAGAAAATCTTTAACGTAGACAAATCAGAGTGATCCAAACTATTCTATTAATATAATAATCGTTCGAGCTTAACAACGTATCGTTTTGTATATACATGCTCGCTAAAAAAGTTTGGAAATCACTGATCTAGCTACAGGGCTGAGCTGGAGAAATTCTGATCGAAACAGACATCGCGAAACTTACGGCTAGCGGTACGGAATGAAAGAAGTTGAAGTGGACTTACCCTCTTCAGCGTTCAGGTCTGAAAACTTTATGCCACCGCTGAAATGGAAAAAGCAGACGTGGCATGAAACAGTTGACAAATCAAATGCACGAGAGATGGAAAATTCGGAGGTGTCTCTACTAATGAAGCGTACCGTGTGTTTTGGCTTGCGAAAGAGACTAATCTAGTTATCGTTTTCTTTATAGGTACAATTCATTTGTTTTTGTTTTTTTTCTATCGGAGAAGGCGAGAAAGAACAAAATGTTCCGATGAAAAGCGCAAGGAACTTGTTAGTTTCATTTCTAAACTTCTGAAAGCATTGTCTATCGGCGTATCAACGACAGCATTGAGCTTATTTCGAGAGGTTGTTCACTCTAGATACTAGATATACCGCATCGGTGATACAAACGTTTCGTTAATAAAATAAAAGTTTGTAAATGGACCGAATCTAGGCAGTTGCTTGAATTTGAATAGTTACCATCCAAACAAACATATGATGTTTCAGATTTAAATGGCCAGTCCATCGATACAGAGACATTTACAAAAACGAACAAATTCTATGTAAAAGACAAGATTCAATGATAAGATAGCTGTTTTTAAACCTGACCGTGAATAATACGATTATTGATTCAACTAGTTCTACGAGATTTCGCGTTATTCCGAACGATATTGATTTCAAGAAGGGGGGCTGTGGCTTCTAAGAGTGAATAACCCCTCGGCTAGTTTCTTCGAAACAAATAATGTACAATGAACATATATTCGTAGAAGAAACATTCTCGCGTTTCGCGCACAATGCTGTTCTCGATCGAATCTATTTTAATTGAAACGTTCCATTTAATTCGCGCTGGTTCGGAGCCTTCGGTTCTTCCGATATGTCTTCCTTTCTCAGTCTCTGGAAATTTGTTATGTGATTGCATACCTGAGCAGCACAGTCGCTGTCTCGGGAACACGGAACACCTGAAAAAGAAGACAACCAGCGCTCTATCGTATCCACAATAAAGGGTGATAACCCCAAAACCAGTTCCGATATTCGTTTTCTCGTACTTTTGGCTCGTTAATTGCTTCCCGAACGCGGTTCTCTACTTCTGACCGGAACAAGATGGCCGAAACGAGAAATCGCGCGCCTAACGCAAGCTCGTGCACGAGACATACATTCTTTCCAAACATCGTTTGGAAAAGTAAACGTACATGTTAGAACTGCGCGAAAATGTATTTGGACGCGAACACATTCTTTTCGTTGATCAAAGACCCTTGAACTGTTTGGGGTGCTTTTCAAATTCGATCGCCCCGTTCGAAGCGAACGAGACACGAACGAAAACTCACGAGAGATCCTTCTTCGCATAAGCGTGTTCCTCTTTACGCGAAATCGAAGTAAAAGAAATTTAGCATGCCTACCTTCCATCCCATGTTCTCGAAGAACGTGCACAGCCTCATCTGTCCGGTTGTTTTGCCGCCACAAGGTCCTGAAACACAAACATCCAGATCCTCTGTAAGATTGTTCAGTGAGTCACGAAACTGATCGCTTTCCCATCACCTTCTATTTTGTCAAACTCGTTGACTATAAACCTTTTGAAACGTACTAAAAACATAATTAAAAAATGAGTGGACAGTTGGCCTAGATTAATTTTCGATTTTAGACTACACTATCTTAAATCTGTCGATAAGAACGGTCCCATGGGGTTTCCACGTCCTATAATCTACACGAAAAAGGAACGACGGTACTCGAATACGAAGTGGCTCCTTTTATTTTTAAGCATACGAACGACATCGAAGCTGATTAATGAGGGACGAGCTCTCGAGCTGAAAATTGGCAATTCACAGTCGCGGTACGTATTATCCTTACCGAATGAAAGCGAGACGAGGTTACGACGTCGCTAACCTTGACTTCTGCGATACCACGTGGCTATTGAACTCGGCCAGCGTAAATAGAAATGACGCCGTCGAGGATGGGAATCAGTTCACGCAAAACGATACATTCACACTGTCCAGAAGAAATCGCAACCTGCACCCGTAAAGAAAACACCTATTTTGTCGAACGATTGGTCACTCGATTTTCTTCGATCGATTCTCGGACGATCCAAGGAGACGCGCAAGAAAATATTTACCGTAGAAATGTGCGAATAGCGGACGTTTCATTCTATTAGCACATTGATCAACGGAGTTTAGCAGTTGTACGAGCGTATTTTTCTTCTATTATTTTAACCTCTTCAGGGACAAATTGCTTTGCACAGAGTAAAACAATGACTCGCGACATCCATCATTCTTGTGGTTATGTTCGCGTCTTACATCATTAGGAAATTTAATCAGTAACGAAAGTAAAATAGAAACTGAACGTTCGCGAATGCGTCGGTATTAATAATACTTACTCTCTTTATCATAAATATAATATAACATTTGGAAAGAAAAATATAAAAATAATTACGAAATCTTTTCGTGAAAATGCCTAGGGCTTTCACGCTGCGCCATCTATTTGATTTGAGCGAAAGGAACGTGGTTCAAGTTTACAACAAATAACGTTTAATTCTTTCAAGGTTTACTCGAAACATTTCTTAAAATATTCACAGATAACAAATGTATATCAACAAAAAAGGTAACCATTATTATTCATAAATCGATTTTGATAAAAATCTAATAGGATCTTAAGATAAGAATATTCGTTCCATACAACTGTTCGCAGTTACAAACTTTGGTGCTGGAGAATTAACTTTCGACGCTTAAAAAGTCACGCGTTCGATAAGGCAATCGTCATGGATACTTGAGCATTAACGCTAAACATTTGTAAGAAATTAACGAATGGTCGGGATTAAAAAGTATTCCGCTACGTATTTGAGATGGGCTAATATGCTTCGAGTGTATATACGATCGACTTCGCGTTGTTAGCCAGCTGTGCACTCGCCTACTCGTAACTGGTTCGAATTGTTGCGTACTGACACGACGCTGTCTCATCGATACTCAAAGTGTAACTGAGCTCTGCTATATGGGGACGTACGGTTCCAAATGTTTCTCATCGTTTCGAAACTCACCGTAAAAAAAGAAGAATGTGAAGTTTTATGGTTTCGCTCCAAGAATTAATAATTAAGGTTTATTATTTTACAGAGAAATATAAGGAAGACGTATAAGACTTATTGTTTCGTAGAAACAAAATTAGGAAGGCAATATTAACGTACAAGACGTGTTTCTGATAATCCACTTTTTCCTTAAAAATATTGACATTAGCATCATTATGTTTCTACCAAACAAGATTTTTTAGCAGTTAAATAAATGGTACTTCGCTGTTGTTTCAACTAATAATAACACATATATCATCTCTTCCTTTATACATTAATTAATACTAATATAAAATATAGTAAAGAAGTGTTTGTTCGAATAAATATGTCCCGTAGTTAGTCATTTGAAAAGGTTAATCGTATTTATGTACCGATGTATTTGCTAGATTCAAAATGATCAAGTCAATTTGAGAGATGAATCACTGTTCGACGCGATCCTTTATTTACAGTGCGGTTAATAATTCTAGATTACGCGTCCTATTTCTGGCATTGATCTTGTCTCATCAATATGGTCATTGCTTTAAAAAAAAAGAACTAATAAACAATGCCTCGATAATTTGTCATTTGTGTACCTTCTTACCGTTTCTTGTGCAATTTACAACGCGCACATGATTTTGTAAAAGTTTTTATCATACGTATGCAATCGCTTTAACCATTTCTATTTTACATTTAAAGTTACTTTTGATTTTCGTTTACATTAACGTCTGCCATATATTGCCGCGATGCTATGTAAATAACTCAAGATATGTGTTTTTGTCGAATTAAATTTAGACACAATGATTGTCAATGTTTAGAAGGAGCGTATTTCGTTCGGTCAAAACATGGGCTCGCATGTAGCTTAAAGGTATAACTATAAGTGACAATTATAATGATATATGGATGTTACGTGCACTCGAATTCATTGTAAAAATTTCAACGCAATTTTTCTTAGGTACTATAAAAATTCAATAAATATTTTCACGCGAACGATGAGCTCACGAAGCAACGTGCGAAGTAACGCGTCAGATGAACGTAGAAAACAAAGGCGAAATATGTTTTGCACTTTTATATGCAAAAGAACGTAACAAACGAAGGTGATAAAAAAAATACGAATTAGGTTGGGCGATCGCAGAGCATTCGCGGACACGTGGTTTCCACAGATGCGTATGGATTGCCTCGTATAAAGAACACTTTTTTACCGCGAGCGTATTAAATAAACTAACAAGCATAGAGGCATTCGTTTGGTCAGATGAAAAAACATTACTCGTTCAGAGCGAAATTACGACACATGAAACGCATGACAGTAAATAATTCTATAAAAAAAATGATTGCTTACCTCCGGTGAGCACTATTTTGTAAAGGCGCTTCTGCTCCATGTTGAATGAATGGTCTTGGAACCCCTTTTTTGGTTGAGCGAGTCCACGAGGTGTCTCGAGTCGATGTTGTTAAATGGATGAAATAAGGTGTTCGTCTGGCACGTAAATGGTGTCTACTAGATGAACACTTCACCGTACATTTCGTGGTGCCGCGGAGTCAAATACTGCGGAGACATGGGAGTGAGTGAAGGAGCGATGATATATCGTCGCAAAAAAGACAGTAAACTGCCACTCGAGACAAGGAGCGAACGTCTGCCTTGAAACGGAGCAATCCGCGGGTTTGGTTAATCGGGTTATGCCACTACTCCCTCTGCGCGACTAGTGTCTATCCAGGTGTACCGCGTCATACCCTTCCTTCGCTCTGATTGGCTCCGCCATTTCCTACCAAACTTCCGCTTATTTATGGCGGGTATTTATTGTTTACAATATACAAATGCTGTTTTCACGATAAATACGTACAAAATTATTAAATGTACTCTTAGAAGTATATAAATGTAATAAAGGTCTGTTATTTATAATTATTGTACGTGAAAATGTCAAGAAAAAATAGTAAAATATGGACTATTATAAAGTGTCTAACTAGAACGGTAAACTAGACCGTTTTTAACACGTCGTAATTCAATATTGATGTATTTTGAAATAATTCATAATTCGTACCTTATTTTGTATATTAATGTGTAATTAGCTGATCGCGATGATCTTTTTATTAACGTATTTTTAGTATTAACGTAGAAAACAATGTGTTTACCGAATTTATGATTTGAAGTACGTTTTTATCAATGATTTGAAACGAAAATTTCAATTAATACTATACACATTACGCTTTTGAAATGAACCGCGGTTAACATCACTCGCTCCTGACTCGACAGTAACTGGTAGGTAGGGATCGCTGCCGAGAGTTTAAGACACTATTGGTGGGACATTGCATGCAACGATCATGCGTAACACGAAACAGCACGAGACTACAAGTACCGCTTACGGAAATATCCGAATGATTGACTAGAAAATTTCGACATTCATTTTTCTTTTCGTTTATTTCAATAATTATCGGTAATGAAATTAAAATTCGATAAGTTTGCCTAATAGTATGCTCGTCCAAGGTGACGTTAATCGATTCTACACACACGAACGTAATTTTCGAAAATAAATGTAGACTGAATTCATTTTTTAAGTTAAATCAATAGAAAGGAAATGTAAAGACAGTTCATATAGCAGAATTTTATCTTTCCTTCGTTTGTACAACAATAATAAATACAATAAAACGCTTTCATTCATTTTCACAACAAATCTAAATGTACAATGTTTGCTGCCTGAATTTTGTTTCTTAAAATATTAGTTTAATGAAACAATAAACGTTTTTAACGTACGTAAAACATACAATTTATTTTCATAGAATTTCATCGCATAAATTTCCTTTCGTTTAAATACGACGAAAATGTACAAACATCAATTCACATTTATAATCAGTCTACTCGCAATATTTAGTCTCACATACGTATTTATTTATATGTTGTATATATTAAGTCGTTGAGTATTTGATTTTATCGACAGTATCTAGGTTTAATTTTCCTCCTACCGTATTTTCAAGTATGCGAATTTTGTATGGGAATCGAATCGAGCCAAGTATTGCAAACATTTTCAATCTGTAGTCAATATTTAATAATTAGTAGACCCAGGTTTCTTATTATTGACATTTTCGTGATAATTACGAACGCGTGCACAGACAAAGAATAGACACAAAACAACAAACGATCGCAAACGCGTACCCGTGCTATAAAATACTTTCACTGTTATTACAAATGCGACAAAGGCAACAAGTGGAAATAACAGCCAGACCGACAAATGAGATCTTAATTGTTTCATTAATGTACCAATTTAGATTTCAATGTAGTCTTTGCACAGCTGCTTGAAAATTCTTAGGTTCGATGCAGACGAGCGATTTTTTGGCATACGATCATACATGGTTTTCCTTATTTTTCCAAATGAAAACAACGAAGACAGATGCATAATTGTACGGCAGAAGTCGCTCATCAGCATTGGGCCTTACTATTTGATAAGTTTGTCTAATTTACGGTCGTACATTGTACGATGTACCAACTGTTACATCCATAACACTTTGTATAATACGCATACACAATTTAAAAATTAAAAATAGAAACATTTCTCCCAATTAAACAATTAATCGTGAAAGTTGCAATCATGTTTAGCACGTTAATTTACACGATCGTTATTATGTTAAAATTAATATCCATATTATAGGGTACGAGAAAAAATAAGCAGGATTAAAAGTATCAGCTGAATTGTATTCAATTTCCTATTTACAATTTAACATCGCTAACGCATACCTATGGCATGCCTCCTTAGATATTATACAGTACCGAGAATAGAACAATGAGAAGAGAAACGTCCTGTATACCTACTTAAGTATAACTCGCGTGGTTTTAGGTTCCGACATGTTCATTTGAGAACCAGTAATAAGATTGTTGTACGTGCTGTCGCTTGAAAACGTGAATACATTTTAGTTTACCTAACTTTAAGGCAAGAGTTTTTATTTCACACAATTCACACGTAAATTTAGTTCGTATTTATCTGTACCGCTTTTGATCCCCGAGTTCCCTTTTAATAACGTCCGTGCCTACTAATAATAATTAATTGTATTCTGCATTGCGTACTTAACAAAGTAATTTTTAAGCTATTTTGTACTCCGAAAATTGGTACGCAACATACTTTGTTTGATATGAAATTCTGCTTCAGAGAAAGACAATATTCTATCATCTACATATTATAATAGTTTGTGCCAAGAGGGATGCAATATCATTACGTTCCTTTTCTTTGTTTATTTAAAGCTTTTACAAAAACTGAGTCATTTTCTTCTCAACTAAATTTTGTAATTATTTTGTCTCAATTGTTTGATGATATATCACTGATATTTGCTTGAAAGACTGAACAACTTTTTTTGCTACTTATCACTCTTTAATATTTACAAGAATCAATACTATGGATTAGAACAACATACCGAATGCAGCTGAAATTTATAGCATCGAAATTTAGACTGCAATATTACTATCGATTGGAGCTAACATTTTGTATTATTACCGATTGTTATTACTCTGTTATTTACACTTGCAAGCCAGTTTGTATTTATTAAAAAAATAATGTGTAGTATACTCTAGATAATAAACAGACATTAAGTAATTAATATCCTTATCAATAATATCGTCGTAGAAAGGCTTTTCCCTGAACATAAAGTTTGTACAGACTTATTCATATTTTAGCAAATAGAATTTTTGATGCGCTGTCGATGTTCTATTGCAAAAGTATACTTTATATAAGAACTAGATTTAGGAATCTTTGCAATAGATTTGTAACTTTGTACTTTCTAGGAATAGATCAAGAGAGTGTGTATGTATAAGTATTATGCTGAAACTTAGAGTACATACACATGAAGTAAATTTGTTCAACTAATTAATTAAAAGTATTTTAGCTATGCCCAAACATTTTGTGTGTATTTTATACCATTAACTGTATTTTATTATGCTAGTAATACATTAACTTTTAACATAATATTATAGTTCTCCGAAAAATTGTTAAATTAAACAAATGTTATAGCTCAAATCAACCAGTAATTTTCGATGTCTCTTTTATACATCCTTATTTTCCTTTCATACTCTACAGTACATATACATATGCTATACTTAATGCACAATTAATTTTGTTTGATACCAGTTCGTTATTGCTTATTTACATTTATGTATGTACATGATAGAGTAAATTTTAATTAAGGAAGTCTTACAGTGTGTATAAAGTAGAAATAGCTTGTATTTTTTTTTAACAAGATATACATAAGTTTCCGTTATGTCGAAAATTTATGCACGTTATTACGCAAGTTTATAATCATGAATGTTGTAAGTATTACACAACATATAACATAAATTGGTGAGCATACTTGCCATTAATTTTAGATAACATGCAATATAGCTTTTTTAACTATATCGAACTATATTTTTACTAATAAATATTAGGGGGAAACGATTCTGATGTAATATTTAAAACTTGTAAAATAAAAACCTCAAGATTTATAATTAAATATTTGTGTAAATTAAAGAAGTAAAGGGAAAAGCATTCTTTATATTTTGTAAATAATCAAGCTTTGGTTGTAATTCTGGTAATTGCTCAAAATCTAAATAGACCAGAAATACTGCATACAACCTACTGTATTACTTATAATAATTGTACAATATAAGTAAATTTTTAAAACAAGTGATCTATTAATAATCTCTTTCATATTAATTGCCCAATATACTATGCTTTTTATAAAAATATGGTAAATAAATTATGGCAATAATGTTCAACAATTACAATATTTATACAATGAATAACTGGTAACAGTGGTCAGAGTAATAATCCTCTAAATACTTAGTAAATATTCAAATCAAATATAGTAATTCTTTCAACGAATTTTGAAGGTATACCTATGAGAAGTAACTGATGTGGTGATTTATGGCATAAATGTGGAAAATAATAAATTAATGCTTGCCAACATACCTCTGATAATTTAGGGATCTTTAACCAAACAGAATGAACTGCAGCTGTCCTTACAACCTGCAATACAATGTTCCTAAATAATTTAGAAGAAACTACTTATTAAAGAAAATGTAGAAAGGTAAGCAAGTTTTAGTAACCTTATTATTCTTTTTAATTATACCACCGAATGTATACATGCGTCCTTCTGGAGTAAGAGCAGCCGAATGAAAATATACAGGGCATGGCAGGATACATTTTCTTAAACATGTCCATTGTAGATCATTCAAATCTAATCTCCAAACATCACAGAAGACATTATCCCCATTATATCCTCCAGAAATAACTACAGATGTAACACCTGTGGTTCCATCTGTATATTGTACACAACCATGGCAACGTCTAGGTTCTGGTACTCTATTATCTTCATTGGTACCATATGTATTTAATGTTGTCCATTTGTTCATTTCTAAGTCAAAGGCAGGAATTTCCTAAATCAAAATTTAATATAATAAATAACTTATTCTAACAGTAAGTGTAAAAAAATTATTTATTACGTTATACTGTTTTACATACCAAGAATCCAAATGCTTCTACAGCTGTTCCTCCTCCCAAAACATAAATAAATTTTCCATCAAATGCTAATTCATGCCTATATCGTCCTGAGGGTTCGTTCTGATCAATTCCAGAACATATGTAAACTTTCTCCCAAATACCGGTCCTAAGATCCAATCTATGGATATCACAGGTATATTCGTAACCTGAAGTACCACCAACAGTGTAAAAATACCCTTTATGATACATTACTGCTTGTCCATAATGAGGATCAGGCAGATCTCCCTTTGCTGCAACTATACTCATTTTACCATTGTTAAGATTGCATAAATAAAGGCGATTATTACAACTCATTCCAAATGGAACACTGGTTCCACCATAAACCATTAGGATGTTGCCCCTTAAAATCACTGCATTAGATGCTAATTCAGCTGGCATATTATCTTGTCCTGGTAAACGCCTCCACTGTTGAGTGGCAAGATTAAACTTCCATACTTCTTTGAAAAGAGGCTTGCTAGACATCCATGCTCTATCATTTCGCATCTCAGGATCATTATCAGAGATACCTGGATTAAATCCACCATAAGAATATAAATATTTATGATCACAAACTATCCTGTGTCCACTCCTGGACTTTGGACGTTTCACGCTGTTTGTTTCATGTTTTACAAACACAAACGGTTTGAATTTATACATTTTTGTCAATTAATTGCCAATGTATCGTTAGTTTCTAGATTAGCGGTTGATTGTTCCGTGTATTGTTTGTCAGCAAGGCTTCACCATAAAAACCAAACCAAATGTCGGTTATTTAAAGAATAATGAAATGTGTCTAGCAGACGTTATTTTTTGTCGTGTTGAGGTTTACAAGTTACGATGAAGATCGTGCTGCTTCGATTAAGCATACAAGCACATGTCTCGATGCATTTAAGAAAATTTTAATAAGAACAAAGACATTTTAACACAGACATCTTGCACAAATTCTGCAGTACATCCGGTATGCTATTTGTACATCAGTGAATATGCCGTAATACAATAAAAATGTTTCACCGTTGTTTTTCGCCAATGGTCATTTATACGACGCTTAAAAATTCTATTTTAACCAAATTTTATAGTTCACTTTAAAACCCACTGTTTTCAACGATGCACATACAGCTATCAACTCACTCTACGTTTACAACTACAAACTTGCAGTTTTACGCTTATGCAGTAATATATGGTAACATAATACAGCTGCGTCTGCGTGGCAGCAATCATCTGACAAATTACATACAATTGTGTTCATAGGTATCCTATTATTTAAACTATATTAATCTAATTTCAAAGATGAAAATGTCATATAAATTTGTATTACTCGTTGCGTAAATTCTATACGTTTATTATAAGAATGGTACATATAAATATTATGTAAATGGATATGTATTCGGTTCCCCTTGTACTTAGACTCGATGACGCAAATTTTAGTCGCATGAAAGGAACAGTTCTATACATAATATATTGTAACTGTATGATCGAGAATCGCCCTGACCACGACGCGACATAGTACGTAAATTAACGATGAACCACAATCTAGGAATTAGGGCCCAACTATTTCCTCCAGAAAATTCGAGAATGAATTTTTCCCGTTGGTTGGTCTAACGACAATCAACAACTGTCGACCTTGACTTTTATTTCGTAGCCCGTAGTAACAAATACGTTAAAATTACGTAATTAAACATTAACCATAATATTTTATATTTATAATTGAGGAACATTAAATTTATCACCAAATCATGGTGCTGTTACGTCGGGATTCCGTCGGTATTGGTAAAAAAGGATTTCCCTAGACTTACTTGGTTTGATATTCCTCCGGGGGTGGCGTGCCGATCTGGCGAAGGTATTTCACGTAGCGCTATAGTGGATCGCCCTCGGGCAGAGATGCCAGAAGAGCACCGTCGGGTGCACAGGACACATGCCAGATACGCGTACGTGAGCTCGTGGAGTTTCGGAAAGTCGACAAAGGCAAACTGACGCATGCCCTCTTTCTCGATTCTCCGAAGCTGCCCGAAGTAAATTCGGATCGCCTCCTGGGAGTCGAGAGAGAAAGGCTCACATTTGCCTTCTCGCTCTAAACAACTGAAATCCGACCTCCCGTCAACGGCATACGATTTGGATTCTTGAGCCGACATTCTCGACTGTCCAGGCATTTTTACTTTCCGACCTATGTAGCCGCACATAAGTAAAGTACCCATAATGAAAAAAAAATTTTGTAAAATTTATTTTACGGAAATACACGTTTTAAGACCTCCTGATCATATTTTAATTATTGAAAAAAAAGAAATTTTTTTTTATTAGTCCCATGTATGAGCGTACGTATGTACATATATTATTAATACGATTTTTCAAAATCAAAATACTTTAAGATTGAAAATTAATAAATTAAAATGAGAGTCCACTCTTTGCCAGTATCGTACAAGCTGTGGCATTTTTCAATAAGAAGAGTTCTTATTTTTATAACATAAACAAAACAGTAGAATTAATAATTGCAGAAATTAATTAATAATGATTTTCCTCGATTGTTTTGGGATAACCGTATCAATTTGTCATGACTAGACTGCGGATCTTTATGCAAATTCACATTTTTATTAATAGAATTAATGAAACGAAAGCTGTCTCAGCCCCTAAATATAATAATTCGTATCTTACTTTAAGTATTTCCCATATTTTTGCATATTAAATGCATTCTATAGTTTTTTGAGGATTACAATTTCCCATAAATGCATAAACATCCGCAGTCTAGTCATGACGAACTAAATAGAACTAACTAGAAACAAAGGAAAAGTGATCCCGTTTGTCAGTTTAATACAAAGTATGGGTTGTATCTTAAATTTTAAAAGGACATAGTCGAATATTTTTAAAGGTACAAAACATAGCGTTTCATTGTAGAACAGTAACATAAGTTAGCAGGTAATGTCATAAAACTGTTTTTCCCAGCTATATCCCTTTTTACCTGAAGTATAAGGTAAAAAGTACGAGCTACAAGGTACGACTATCCGAAAATCGTTCACATTTTATATAAACTTTTTCTCTATCTTCTCTAGAAAAGAAAAATTTAAATGAAATCTTATACATTACATGCTTACTTAAATCGCATTGAAAACGAATACCACAAATGTTTTAGAATAATGTGCAAAATGTGATTGCGATTTTCGCTAAGACAAATTGAAAACTCGTTTCTAACAAGGAAAAGTTGGAATGGTACCAGGTTTTGGGTTAGGTTTTACTTTGAGATATTATTAAAGTTATTACAGGTACTTATTTTTAGAAATAGAACTATGTTCACCACTAATCAGCGTGGCGTGAGTGATGAGGTCTTTGCCTGCAAGTTCCGAACTTCTTCTGCTCTGCTGGTTCGAACCCTGCTTGAACTTTTTTTTTTTATTTTTTCAATCATACTTTAATCGTACACTAAATATGACATTATATTTTTGTCTGACCTTCGAATATTTTTTTTTAAAGTTAAATTTAACCGATTACATTTAACATATGTTATTTTCAATGTACGAAGTACATGAATCTGGATGGTACTTTTCACAAAAACAGTCAAAACATAAAAATTTCAAGCACCACGTACATTTACTGAAAGTTTTGTTTTCACAGAAATTACAAAATTTTGTATTTAACTCTGATGGAAAGGCCGCTTCATTTACATTGATAAAATGTGAACGATTTTAGGATAGTCGTACCTTGTAGCTCGTACTTTTTACCTTATACTTCAGGTAAAAAGGGATATAGCTGGGAAAAACAGTTTTATGACATTACCTGCTAACTTATGTTACTGTTCTACAATGAAACGCTATGTTTTGTACCTTTAAAAATATTCGACTATGTCCTTTTAAAATTTAAGATACAACCCATACTTTGTATTAAACTGGCAAACGGGATCACTTTTCCTTTGTTTCTAGTTAGTTCTATTTAGTTCGTCATAACTAGACTGCGGATGTTTATGCAAATTCACATTTTTATTAATAAAATTAATGAAACGGAAGCTTCGCAGAGGGCTGTCTCAACCCCTAAATATAATAATTCGTATCTTACTTTAAGTATTTCTTATATTTTTGCATATTAAGTGCATTCTGTAGTTTTTTGAGGATTAAAATTTCCCATAAATGCATAAACATCCGCAGTCTAGTCATAACCAATTGATACGGTTATTTCAAAACAATCGAGGAAAATCATTATTAATTAATTTCTGCAATTATTAATTCTACTGTTTTGTTTATGTTATAAAAGTAAGAACTCTTTTTATTGAAAAATACCACAGCGTGCACAATACTGGTAAAGAGTGGAATCTCATTTTAATTTATTAATTTTCAAAGTATTTTGATTTTCAAAAATCGTATTAATAATATACATACGTGTGCTCATACATGGGAATAAAAAAAAATTTCTTTTTTTTCAATAATTAAAATATGATCAGGAGGTCTTAAAACGTGTATTTCCGTAAAATAAATTTTACAAAATTTTTTTTTCATTATGGGTACTTTGCTTATGTGCGGCTACATAGGTCGGAAAGTAAAAATGCCTGGACAGTCGAGAATGTCGGCTCAAGAATCCAAATCGTATGCCGTTGACGGGAGGTCGGATTTCAGTTGTTTAGAGCGAGAAGGCAAATGTGAGCCTTTCTCTCTCGACTCCCACGAGGCGATCCGAAATTACTTCGGGCAGCTTCGGAGAATCGAGAAAGAGGGCATGCGTCAGTTTGCCTTTGTCGACTTTCCGAAACTCCACGAGCTCACGTACGCGTATCTGGCATGTTGCGTGTGCACCCGGCGGTGCTTTTCTGGCATCTCTGCTCAATTATAAATATAAAATATTATGGTTAATGTTTAATTACGTAATTTTAACGTATTTGTTACTACGGGCTACGAAATAAAAGTCAAGGTCGACAGTTGTTGATTGTCGTTAGACCAACCAACGGGAAAAATTCATTCTCGAATTTTCTGGAGGAAATAGTTGGGCCCTAATTCCTAGATTGTGGTTCATCGTTAATTTACGTACTATGTCGCGTCGTGGTCAGGGCGATTCTCGATCATACAGTTACAATATATTATGTATAGAACTGTTCCTTTCATGCGACTAAAATTTGCGTCATCGAGTCTAAGTACAAGGGGAACCGAATACATATCCATTTACATAATATTTATATGTACCATTCTTATAATAAACGTATAGGCTTTCAAAAGGCCACATTCTACCAACTGGATGTTACCCAGAATTTGTCACATTAATGTTAATAATAAATACCGATCCAAAAAACAAATTATTACGCGTATCAACATTTTCTCAAGCATAGATTTCGAATGTAGTTCAGAAATCGTTTATCTTTGAACGAATAGCGCGACGGTCGTATTCTCAATATTCTCATATGAGGATTTCCTGAAGTTATGGTTGTTTAACATGGTTCAATCATTATAGCCGGTAGTTCTGTCTTGTCAACGAGAAGTTGTATTGTTTATACTTTGCGTTTGCTTGTATAAACGTAAGATATATCGTCGTTAGATCTGCTACTTGAATCATTATTTTCACCGTATTCGTTTCAGAGAACTTTCCTTACGTAAATTTACGAACAAAATTTATTCTGTTTTAGAATAAGTTTGCACTATAGTCTACAGGCTGTTAACATATTTCTAAAGGAGTAAAAGCATTTTTAACGTTCAAAATGGTAGTCAGGCAATATAACGAAGAATTAAAGTATTTAGAAAAGATAAGCGATACGTGCTGGAAAATAAAGAAAGGTTTCCAACCTAATATGAAAGTATGTATCTTGCAACATTGTGCTCCATAATTCTTTCACGTAAATCTTATAATTTCTTGCAGGTTGAAGGTGTATTTTATGTTAATAATACACTGGAAAGGTTAATGTTTGAGGAGCTACGTAATTCATGTAGACCAGGTGCAGTAGGAGGTTTTCTCCCAGGTGTGAAACAAATTGCCAATGTGGCTGCCCTTCCTGGAATTGTATGGAGATCTATTGGATTGCCTGATGTGCATTCTGGGTATGGTTTTGCCATTGGTAATATGGCAGCATTTGATATGAATGATCCAAAATCAATAGTGTCTCCTGGTGGAGTAGGATTTGATATTAATTGTGGTGTTCGTCTATTAAGAACTAATTTATTTGAAGAGGATGTTTTACCTGTGAAGGTATTGCTTTCCATTCATTGTATACCATCTGTATCAGTATATATTGCGATATTAAATGTAATCCAATGAAATTACTAGGAACAACTTGCACAAAGCATGTTTGACCATATTCCTGTTGGTGTTGGTTCAAAAGGAATCATACCAATGAATGCTAGAGATTTGGAAGAAGCTTTGGAAATGGGCATGGATTGGTCCCTTAGAGAAGGTACTTGCTCGACTATTTATTAATATAAATTTCTTTATCAAGACAGTTATTTTCAACCTCTTCAAACTGTGCACAGGCTATATCTGGGCAGAGGATAAAGAACATTGCGAGGAATATGGCAGAATGCTTAATGCAGATTCTTCAAAAGTATCAATGAGAGCTAAGAAACGTGGGCTTCCACAAGTGAGAAGACACGAATTTGATTTTTTTATAATACTATAAAAAAGAAATGTTAAATTACAAACAATTGCCTTTCAGTTAGGAACTTTAGGAGCAGGAAATCATTATGCTGAGATTCAGGTAGTCGAGGAGATCTATGACAAATGGGCTGCATGCAAAATGGGTATCGAAGAGAAAGGTCAAATTTGCGTGATGATTCATTCTGGTAGCAGAGGATTTGGTCATCAAGTTGCAACTGGTAGGAAATATATCCGGCGATTGAAGTTATTTTCCGAAAAGGGAATTTGGTAAATTTTTTTCTTGTATCGCAGACGCACTTGTCCAAATGGAGAAAGCTATGAAACGAGATAACATTGAAACTAATGATAGACAATTAGCTTGCGCTCATATCAATTCCCAAGAAGGTCAAGATTACTTAAAATCAATGGCAGCGGCTGCGAATTTCGCGTGGGTCAATAGAAGTTCTATGACGTTTCTTAGCCGACAGGCTTTTGCAAAACAGTTCAAAATGTCTCCCGACGATTTAGATATGCATGTTATATACGACGTATCTCATAATATTGCGAAGGTAGAAGAACACATAGTCGAGGGTAAACAGAAAACACTTTTAGTGCACAGGAAGGTAAGTTGGAAACGTGCAGTTTAGTTGACTACATTTAGGTGCTTAACAACATTGTTTTTATAGGGATCCACAAGAGCGTTTCCACCTCATCATCCTCTAATTCCGGTAGATTATCAATTAACAGGTCAACCAGTTCTGATAGGTGGTACTATGGGAACATGTAGTTATGTTCTTACTGGAACTGAACAGGGTATGAAAGAAACATTCGGATCGACATGTCACGGCGCGGTAAGTATTAAAAAATGATTTACAAAGTTATATTATATACTAAACGTTAATTACAAATTGTATACAGGGCCGAGCTTTGTCTAGAGCCAAGTCGCGTAGGAACATAGATTACATGGACGTGCTAGGAAAATTAGAGCAACAAGGAATATCCATTAGGGTCGCATCGCCGAAGTTGGTGATGGAAGAAGCACCAGAATCCTATAAAAATGTCACGGATGTTGTAGATACGTGCCACGCGGCAGGCATTTCTCGGAAGTGTATTAAATTAAGGCCAATCGCAGTTATTAAAGGATAATTCCTTGATCGCGTTAGAAAGATTTTTTAGATTGTCAATCACGATTTAATAGGTGTTTCGAGCATCAGCAGAGCCATATTTACATCATTATCGTAATCGCCGCATGTATTTATTAATAATTTATCATGATCAGATATATTCAAACAATAGATACCTTGTATCTTTTGTAAATTGTGTAAATACAAGATGTATGCGTAATGAATTTATAATAAAAGTTATACAATGATATTTTCAAACAATGAGTTACTTATTTACATTCTACTCTATCTTTTCAATAAGTTTCTTAATTTTTATAAATTCTGAAGTTTTGTAATCCCTTATAACTACTCCAAATATCATTCGAATCTGATTATGTTCTTCAACCATTCCTCTATACGTTATTTCATATAATTAATAAGTGATAAACGATTACTGGAAGCGATTCTTACTTCAATATTGCGCTAAAAAGTGCCTAAAACAGTGTCGCAACATTATTCATCTAATTGATAAGTTATAAATAATTACTGGCAAACGACAGGTATGGATTTCTTTTTATATTGAATTTTATTATTCGTAGCCATCTCTGAACGACGATACCAGGATGGATATTTAAATTATTGCGCTAAAAAGTACCTAAAATAGTGTCGCCATCTAGTATCAGGGATTCGTACTGCTAAAATCGTGCCAGGATCACAGAATGTTAGAGGAGGTATCCGGAGTACAGGTTCCCCCACTCCTGCTACTTCTGATACGCAGTACCTCGATTATTCATTAATAACGCCTTTCCTGGGATTAAAATATGAACTTTTAGGCTTGAAGAATATAGTATAGACCCTTGGCTACATTCAAGGATACTTTTTATAACCATTCCGCCCGTAATTAACAAGTTATTAACAAATATCGGGAGTCGAAACATTTACGGCTGTACCACTGTCTGCTTTAATCGATTAATTATCAACTTTTTAACAATAACACACATATTTTCGCTATTACAGAAGCAAGTAGACATCCCTGGCAACATTCAAGGATCGATTTGCAACGCTCCGCGCTCTAATTAATTAGTTATTAGTGATAGATCCCTAAGGTATCGCGTTAAAAGTTTAGAAACAGTGTGCCGACTTCCAATATTCGTTAATAACTGTTTAATAACTCATGGAATGGTTATAAAAAGTATCCTTGAATCTTGCCAAGGATTTATACTATATTCTTAAACTCTAAAAGTTCATAATTTAATCCTAGGAAAGACGTAATTAGTAAATTAACGAGCAGTGATTCATTAATACCGGTGAATTATTGATTTTTGACATGTGGCGCCAACTAGTGGCGGAAACAGCGTACTATGTATTTAATGAACTCCTGTTCCTTAATTAACTAATTACGCCTTTACTGGGAATAAATTATGAACTTTTAGAGTTTAAGAATATTGTATGGACCTTTAGAAAGGTTCAAGGATACCTGTTGCAACCATGCCATGCCTCATTAAATAGTTATAAGCGAATATTGGAAGTCAGCACCCTGTGTCTAACCTCTTAACGCGACATCGTAGGGATCTATCGCTAATAATTAATTAATTAGAGAGAGGATCGTTGCAAAATCGTTCTTTGAATGTTTCCAAGGATGTCTACTTGGTTCTCTAATAGCCAAAATATGTCTGTTATTGTTGAAAAGTTAATAATGAATCGATTAAAGCAGACAGTGATACAGCCGTAAATGTTCCGACTCCTGATATTCGTTAATAACTTGTTACTTATGGGTGGAATGGTTATAAAAAGTATCCTTGAATGTAGCCAAGGGTTTATACTATATTCTTCAAGCCTAAAAGTTCATATTTTATTTCCAGGAAAGGAGTTATTAATGAATAATCAAGGTACTGCGTATCAGGAGTAGCATGAGTGGGGGAACCTGTTCTCCGGATACCTCCTCTAACATTCTGTGATCCTGGCACGATTTTAGCAGTACGAATCTCTGATATTAGATGGCGACACTGTTTTAGGCATTTTTTAGCGCAATAATTTAAATATCCATCCTGCTATTGTCGTTCAGAGACGGCTACGAATAATAAAATTCAATATAAAAAGAAATACATACTTGTCGTTTGTCAGTAATTGTTTATAACTTATCAATTAGATGAATAATGTTTAGAGGGACGGTTGAAGAACTTAATCAAATTCGAATTAATAATTGGAGTAATTATAAGGGATTTTAAAACTTGGGTATTTACAAGAATTAAGGATTTATTGGGAAAGGTAAAGGAGAATGGAAGTAAAAAGCATGGAAAGTATGTACTATGATTTTGATTTTTTTATTAGTATAATCATAAGGAATGTTTTACACATTGCTAACACTATTAAATAAAAAACATGCCTCGAAATCTTGACAGCACGTTTTATAAATAAATTAAATTAATGAGTAATATGTTTTTATAGTAACTGTAAAATGAAGGCAAGGTGTATACATATGCACGCACATACATAGGAATAAGTAAAAAGAATTTCTTTTCTTTCAATAATTAAAATATGGTCGGGGTGTTTTGAGACGTGTATTTCCGTAAACAAAATTTGTAATTATTTTTTTTTCCATTACGGTTCGAGAGCGAGAAGCAAAGTGTGGCGTCGCCTCTCACAAGCGCTCGACCGACCCCTCGGTTGCTATATGTATACAGGGTGCCCCAGCATCGGTGGTTCAAGCGGAAAGAGAATGATTCTAAATGAGAAAACAAATCGAAAGTAAAGAATGAAATTTTTTCATTTAAGGTTTCGTTGTCGAGAAAATCAATTGTGAATTGATCTCGATACAAATAGCACCAATATCATTAGTATCAACATGATGTACTGTGTTACCTCTGTTTATGGATTCAAAGTAGATTTAAATGAAAATAAGGCATGTAATTTACTTATTAAACTAACTTAATTCATACAGAAATTGTTAAAAACTCCCCATTGTGCTACATATACAACTCTCTAAATTAGATTTGTATGAACTAATGGATTCTAACGTATTCTGTATCTTCAATTCTTTAAATGCCAAATGATTCTCGCTTTTAATCGAGGAGTGCATAAAATAGTCTTCTTATACTCGTTATACATATCCCCTATACAAGGAGTATTAACTATGGGGACCATGATTAGTCAAAATTGAATAACATACTAAGACAACAAATAAAATTACGATACGTGCTTAGGAAATCATGTAAACATGAGTGTACAGAAGTATAAAGAACATAATAAAAGTATCGAAATCTATTTATCTAAGCCATAGCTATACTCAGGTGAATACTCAACGAAACCTCAAATGAAATAATTTTATTCTTTATTTTAAATTTGTTTCTTCATGCAGAATCACACTCCTTTCCGGTTGTACTACCGATGCTGAGACACCCTGTATACGTTCCTCGACCGACTTCCCAATTCCCCAATCGTCTAAGGCAGGGCCTGCTAGAAAGCCTTACTCATGAGTCCACTAGCAGGCCCGAACGAAACGCGCCCCCTCCTTTCCTTTTCCATTCTTCTACGAGATTCCCGCAGAGTTCCTAACCGCAGCAAAGCAACGCCACGGCTGTTTCTTCTCTCTCGACTATCACCTCGAGACGGTCCGAAGTGCATCCGCGTTCGCTACGGACTGCTTCGGAGAATCGAGAAAGAGAACGAGTATCAGTTTGGCTTTGTCAACTCTACGAGCTCACGTATATGTAGTACCATGTGTCCACGAGAAGAAAGCACAGCGTGTTTCCATCCCCACTCCTGTTGCAATCCACTGTCACGCTGACGAGTCGTAACGAGACCGAGTGAGACAGAATAATGGCAACATTGGCGTAGTCTTCGAATGGAAACGTTAGCTATTAACGAACAGAATGATTTCCTTCCTGTTTAGATATTACCATTGATTCGATAAGCTTCTCGTAATGAAAAAATGAGTTTAATTTAATATTTTGAAATTCATTTATAGCAAAAAGAATTAATTTGTGTTTGAGGGTGCTGATGGTGGAATGACAACCCAACTAGCTACCCTTAATTAGAAAGTTTATTTAGGGGTGTAGCCACGCGTAAGTTTTTAAGAATATTATACTCCGCAGTCTAACGGACTGTGTTAGCAATGACTGCGTCCAATCGACTAAGTGTTTTGACTTCAACTCCACAGAATATACAGGGTGTTCGGTAACTGGTGGTACAAGCGAAAGGGGGGTGATCATTTTTTCATTACGAGAAACTTATCGAATCAATGGTAATATCTAAACAGGAAGGAAATCATTCTGTTCGTTAATAGCTAACGTTTCCATTGGAAGACTACGCCGATGTTGCCATTATTCTGTCTCACTCGATCTCGCTACGACTCGTCGTTGATCTTCGTCACCGTCTTCGGCCAATAGCGATCCCTGCCTGTGATCCGTAGACGAGCCAGTGGACTGCAACAGGAGTGGGGATGTAAACACGCTGTGCCTTCTTCTCGTGGACACATGGTACGTGATCTGGCATAGTGTACGTAAGTGGAACCAGGAGTTCCCGGTGCAACCAGTGCCCGGTCTGGTAACACTGCTACTGCCATCGACGCATACAAATTTACACACAAGCGTTACTAGATCTCAGCCGTGGATGACGATGCATATTCCATATTCCATTCCATTTTTTTATTATAAAAATAAGTCTCGGAACAAGTTTATCAAATAGACTGACGTATCGAAAACCACCCCTGATTTTTTACAGGTAGACATTTCATTCTGCGTGTCAGTAACTCATAAGATGCATAATCTATCTTCCACCTCATCCGTGGTTACGCTTATCCGAAATATTTTTATTACAAACTATACTCACATTTTGTTTTCTTTTCTAATAAATTTACATCTTCGTCGCATGCTCGGGATACTAACGATTGTACAAAATATATACAGAATGTAATTGCATCGATTACTTGGGTATCATAATTAACGTGCAATTAAAACAATCCGTGATTTATTGAAATTAATATTTTACTTCATCACAAAGATTACATCGTATTATACTATGTGGACACGTTCGAGAATACAATTGGAAATGTTTAATTTCACGTAATGTGTTGACGAAGTTACTATTAGCCGATATAAATTAAATAACAAAGTAGAAATTCGCATTAGACAATAAATAAAAAAAAAAGAAGAAGAGTATATGTACTTCGTTAATATCCACTAATGATTTTTATACATAAATACATGTTATGAGTGAATATTGATCGAGAAAAGTGTACAGATCATTTTTCAATCAAAGCGTTAATCGTTACGTTAAGAAAAAAAATACATATTCGCTATCGCGGAGAATCATACTCGCGTTCGCAAATTCGTATTCGTTGTATAAACTGGAGTTACAAAAAAAAGAACAAACAAAAAAACAAAATATATAAAGACATAATTGCACATATATGAATATACTGAGGTATTGCATTGACAATAAATCGACAATTGTAGAAATTAAGTACATACGTGTAAATTCATATTACATATTCTCGTACGTTACTCAAACATTCAAGGAACTCAAAAATTGAATATCATCGAATCTCGTTTGAGGAACGGTTCACGGTACAAGAACACGAACTTTTGTCATTTTTTTCCTAACTGCAAATGGACCCTTGATTTTGGGGGTTGTACTTATTGTTATGTAACAATGTTAATTTGACTCGTTGAGATTCTCATATAACAGTCTAATATCATAAATTTTGATATAGCATTATGCAGAGTGTCTAATAAAATATGGGTAGGAGTGAATTCAGCACAGAAAAAATTTTTCTAAACATTCATCCCATCCGAGCGAATTCTATCACAAACTTACATTTAACGGTCGAGATCTCGTACGTAGAATCTCGCTGTTGTTTCTCGATTTACTTTCTTGAAGACAACGTACGCTGAAAAGGTCGGACACGATAAATGTTTTTTTTTTTTTTAAATTTTTTGTGTGTCGTATCTGAAATTATACCCACATTTTGTGAAACACGCTGTATCAATAAATCTTATATATCATTAATCTGATTTCCATTAATCTTTATCCTTAGAATCACCCGAATCTCCAAAAAATTACTTAAATCGTTAACCATGTGTAAATGAATCACAAATATGGACAAATAATATGGTGCGTTGACGTATGCCAGGGACCGCAGACTTTTCCCAAGATCTACGGAGTTTCTACCACCAGTCAATGTACCCCATTCCTGTATGGGGGTACTCGATTCTTGATACAAACAGAAACAAGAAGACATGCATGTTTCATGGGTACCCATTACACGCTACCGCAAAGTAGATATAACCGGGGACACTCTTTGTTGACTTGGCGTGGGAGGGTCTAAGACCGCCAGTTTGCGGTCCCTGAATTATGGTGTGTTCCACATCGAATCGCGCACCCTTAGAAAAGTCTTAATTTATACGCGTTCCATTAAAATCTAAATATTCTCTATTTCAAAAGAAATAGATACGTATATATACACTTCTTTCGCGCTGAGTAATAACTAGAAGAAAAGTATACCATAAATAAATGCGCGATTCGACGTGGAAAACTCAGTGATATAATACAATACTTAAATAATACTGTGCAAAAGAATTGAACACAGATGTCCAAGAAATATATGGCTAGACAGAATTGAGATTCTATGAGAAGCAGAACGAACATTAGACATCAAAGTTCTTGTGCTTCGGCAAATAAGAAATTTTCATATGCTATTGCCCGAATATGTCTCAGTTTAATAGGCTTTCGCTGCTAGGCCGTGGCTTAGTGACCAGATTCTGTAAGGCTCTTATTTTGTTTTCCGTTAAATTCGGAGGTCCGAACAGAAAGTCCCTATGAGAACTCGGATTGGACAGAAGGTCCTGCATGTTCTCGTTGGTTAGCACCCAATAATGCAGAGAGGTTTGCGTTAAATTTACTTTCCTAGCTAACGTCCCGGTAATGTGGACATCGTCGATCCAGAAATACGGTTCTTTCTGAGCTTCGCGATACAAAAGAAATACGCTATCGGGAGAGTACAGTATGGCCCATCCAGCACAATACGCGGGATAATGTCTTCCAGGATATTCTTGGGGCGAGACTCTCCATTTCGAACGCCAGGATCTCTTTACGTTACCTACGGGTAGAAGGTCGCAAAGGATCAACCTTCTGGCACCCAAAGGCGACAGATCACGCGTCAAGAAATCCAACATGGCGGGTATATGAACAAAAACATCATCGTCTAATTTTAGTATATATTTGGCACCTGAAACAATAAGAAAACAAGAAACGTGTGTGTAATTTTGTCGCCGATCGTAGCTGAGATCATAGCGCGAGGAGTTAACACCGAATTCAACACCGTAAACCAACAAAGTATAAGATCAAAGCAAGTACATGATCTATTTAACCCAATTTCCAAGCTACAACTCTTTTGATAACCGACTGCGGCCACGCCCACGTATCTTTCCACCAATTGCCTAAAGTGGCCTCGATAGCAAGCCACGTAGGCGTCCGACCATTCGTCAACAGAGTAAGTTCGATTACAACGGAAAAAACAAAACGACTACAATTTGAAAAGAAGGCGAAATAAGTCACGCGTTTCTATGAACTTCTCTGTCTTTGTTGTTTCCGGTGTGCTGGATGCATCGCTGAATCGGGTTAAACGCCCGCGTATTAACGAGACAAGCAATCCTCCCCTTACTTGGACAATGATACGTAGCCCATTTCAACGCCATCACATGCTTGTAAGTCATGTTCCTGTAGACATCGAGAAAGTTGCCTTGTATCAAATCTTTGTATTGTTCATTCTCTTCCACCAGGCTGGCCTGATACTCCTCGGACGAGCCGACTATAAAGAGTAGCGCCACGCCCTGCGACTGCTGGCCCCAGGTCTCCCGTATGATGGTCCTCTTGAGAAAGTTCTCGGGCGCCGAGTGGACTAGCATCAACAGCAACGGGTGCGTCCTGTTGCACGGATCGTGATTAATCGTGAACCTGAAGTCCTTGATATTTATTAAAGTGGACTTGTCATCGACAGGAAGCTCGTTTATCAAGTACGGCTGCGGGGAGGGCGTCGAGTTTCCAGGAAGTATAAGCAGATACCCCGGCGCCGACGCACCGACGGTGTACGGCGTCGGGGACCCGGAGCCATCGATGTGCAGCCAGAACGAGTAGCATCCAGTCAGCGCCAAGGCAACCACAAAAATCAGGGTGCATGGCGACGAACCAGAGGCATGGAGCCGTCGCTTATCCAGCATACTAACGGGCTCCTTTCATCGTACGCGTTTTACTCTGGCTGAAACATGAAAATCATGCGTGTTACATGCGTTATACTTATAGTCTGTGGCACAATGTCAGTGCATTTCGTGAAACTGTATTCTATAGCAGAAGGAAAGAAAGGGATAGGGGGTGAAAGGAAGCGTTTCATCCTGGATCTCCTAACGCAACCCTAGGCAATAGTAGAATCGTATAATGCATTCGACACGTTCTAGAGGCTCTACAGATTTAAACAGAAGTAAAAATTCATATCTTTTACCTTACATGCCGGGGACATTCGATGATCGGTGTTGCGGTCGTGAAGGAATGGGAACAACACTCTGGAGCTATCTGTAGTTTGATCAGGCTTCAAGGTCTGGTTTCCCTTTTCTACACTACGTTTATTACACTTGAAAATGACCGTTGGTAGTCCCTTAACTAGGCTTGTCAAGGTCATTGTTCCGTGCCCTGGTCCTTACTCAGAGGACAAAGAGTGCGTGAGGCAGGGACCATTGGTGATGAGAGACCGTCTCTCTGCACGATATCTTCAGAGTTGAAGATCACATCTATATACCGGGTGTAATTACCGTAACATTGGTCGAGGAGGGTATATACAGGGTGTTCGGCCACCTCAAGCAAAAATTTTAATGAGCGATAGTAGAGGCCAAAATAAGACGAAAATCAAGAATACCAATTTGTTGATGGAAGCTTCGTTAAAAAGTTATTAACGTTTAAAGTGCCGCCCTTACTGAATTTTTTTCTCGAAAATGCGCAAGATTTCGTGGGTATGTCTAATGACAAAAACTGATTGTAATTGACCCCCGCAACCGAAAATAATTTTTCCACAACGATTTACAATTTTTTTTCTCCGTTGAAAAATTTAGGCACCTAATTGGATTTTCAGTAAGGAATTTTTTTCTCGAAAGTGCGTACAATTTCGGAGGTATGTGTAATGATAAAAAATGATTGTAATTGATCCCCGCAACCGAAAATAATTTTTTTAGAACGATTTGAAAAATTTTTTTTCGCCGAAAAATTTCAGCACCTACTCGATTTTTTTTCTCGAAAGTAGATAGGATTTCGGAGGTATGTGTACTCACCAAAAATGATTGTAGTTGACCCCCGCAACCGAATATAATTTTTCCAGAACGATTTGAAATTTTTGAATTTAATTGTTAATAACTTTTTAACGAAGCTTCCATCAACAAATTAGTATTCTTGATTTTCGTCTTATTTTGGCCTCTACTATAGCTCATTAAAATTTTTGCTAGAGGTGGCCGAACACCCTGTATAGGAATGGGTTAGTCAGTCGGGTACTTACGAGAGAGCGTCGCCCTCTGTTGGCGTGCGCGGGAGGTGTGGTTACAAATTTTTAAAACAATGTATAGATTCATAAAAATATGAATTTCTACTTTTATTTCTATTTATAGTGCCTCTAGAACGTGTCGAATGCATTATACGATTCTACTCTGTTTATATTACGAGTGGCAATGTACCAACGTCTAACACGGTGAAAGTGTTACGAAGCAAACCGATTACCAATTTCCTAGGTATGCTGTTACGTCGTGGAGGAATGGAAACTGAAGCTCCTGGAGTTGACCGAGCTTTAAGATATCTGCAGAGTAGCTCCGAGGTGGAAGGTCATACATATGTATCAGGTGTGATAATCATGACAATGTACCTTGGACCAATGCTGTTCTTGCATCATCTAAATGCGCACTAATACCAAATGAATACCTAATGGAACCGCCTGATTGAAGAATCGAGGAGACGAAAATATGACCAACCGATTTAATGTGCTTGCCAAGTGCATTGCGACCGTATACGATTCAAATGCGTAACGGTGGACATGTAGCGTTGGTCCAAGAAATATTCGGCCATCTTGCGTATCGAGCAAATTTTGTGTAATATAAATCCTCGAATAAAAACAAATTGAAGCAAAATTTGCTAGTTTACCGTGAACCACTGTAAGCATTGCCTTTGGCAGTTTCTACGAATCACTGACGACGCCCACGTCTTTAACTCGTTGACTGCTGATACTGTATTCATTGTAAATCCTACCAGCTATGCTTACGTAGTTCGAATGCGACACAATAACACAAGTGTTGGAATAACCGAATAAGCAAAAGAACACTTGTTTCATTTTCTTTATCCGTATCCTATATCGTGATACCTAACTCTCGAAAGAATTCTGAACGAATACGAATACACGTTTCGTTTGGCAGGCTCGAATTCAGACGAGAATATAGAGAAAGAAAGTCAAAAACGAACGACTAGAAACTGTAGGATGTAGTTTGCTGCGGGATTAATGCACGCGACGAACCTTGTACACAGAACTTTATTGAATACCAAAAGACGGATAATACACGAAAACACTCCGCACACCTCAATCGCTCCAATCGTTCTCCCCGGTCACTCCTTACCCAACACTCTCCTACGCGCACACATACACACGCCCGATTGACAAAAACCACACGCATTCTGCATTCGTCAATTCATAACCCAATCAATCGATTCGTTTCCAGGCTCGCACAGCTGACTCCCGTCACTCGCCTCACGCACTGACACAACAACGCACTCGCACACTCACATCCCACACTCGGCCGTCCTGAATATGACAGCTGCCCTCAGGTGTCGTCGATCGATTCATTCAAGCCTTCAAATTCCTCGTCGTCTTCATTTCCGCTATCATCAATGACCCACGACTTCATGTGGTCGGCCGACGTTGAAGTCTGCAGCGGACCTTCATGATCGCCAACCCTTCTCACCAGATAACGATCATTCCTCAACTCTTTGGTGACTTCGAACGGTCCGAGGAACTTTGCCGTAAACTTTGCCCCAGGGTGGGACTGCGTCCGCTGTATGGCCACCAACTCTCCTTGTCTGTAGCGCTGTGCTTTCTTCCTCTTTTTATCGAAGCCTCTTCTGTTTTCCTGCTGAATCTGCGATATCTTCTGTCTCGCCTTCTCCCGTAATTCGTCGCGATCTTCCTGAAACACAGCGGTTACCTCCTCCTCCAGCATTTCGCGTATCGCTGGATCTTCTCGTAATTTCATGTCCGTGCCAAACAGTATTTTAAACGGTGTCACTCCCGTACTCCGATGCGGCACCGAATTTATATATTTTTGCGCTGTATCTAAATGTTTAAACCATTCCTCTGGCTTCACGGCGGATAATTTTGTTATCAGTGGGATAAGGGTCCGATTGACACGCTCCACTTGCCCATTCCCTCGTGGTACACCAGTCGCTATTTTCACATGCTGAATATTTTCCCGCTCGCAATACCGCTTAAAATCTTGAGACGTAAACGCGGTCCCTCTGTCCGATATTATTCTCCTTGGGTTTCCGAATATCGCCGCCTGGTTTTCCAACCGTTTCACGACCTCGGCCGTATCCGTTGACCTCGTCGCGTACAACCAAACAAACTTACTGAATGCATCCGTTACGACGAATATATACCTGTAATTCTTCCGTGTCGACGGCACCGGACCCAAGTGATCTATGTGGTACGTTAGTAGCGGTGCGTCCCCCTTATCTATCGGATGTAGCAGACCCTCTTGTTTGCCTTGTTTTTTATTCGCTAGGATACACGGCACGCAATTTCTCACCACTTTCTCTACCCTTGACCTCATGTTGGGAAACCAATATTCCCTCTGCACGAGGAGTAATGTCTTCCCAACTGAGAAGTGCCCCCTCTCGTGACCCTGCCTGACTATCTGTGACTGCATACTCGCAGGCACCACCAACCGAATCTCGTCATCCACCTCCTTAAACAAGATCCCGTTCCTCACGACGTAGCCATCCAGATTCCCCTCCTTGAACGCCTCCAATATCTTCCGTAGAAGAGCATCCTCATGCTGCGCTCGCCTAAGCCGAGCCATCAGCCCCTCTTCTTCGCGACCCGCCACCAGACAATTAGGCAACGGTTGCCGACTGAGCGCGTCAACATGCGGCATGCTCTTCCCCGATCTGTGTTCTATTACATACTGGAACTCCTCCAGGAGAAGTGCCCACCTTGCCACCCTCAGGCATAAGTCTTTTTTCCTGAGGGTTAACGCAAACGCCCTACAGTCCGTCACAATTTTAAACGGCACACCTAACAAGTAGACTCGGAATTTCTTTACCGCTTTCACTATGGCTAGCGCTTCCAGCTCATAGCTTGAATACTTCGCTTCCGCTTCGCTCGTCTTCCCACTCGCATAATATATGGGATGCAGAGCGCCGTTCCCCGCATCGCGTTGCAAAAGAACCGCCCCGTAACCGGCACTCGATGCATCGGTATGCAATTCGGTGTCTGCTCCCACCCGGTACAATCGCAGCTCCGGCTTCTCACACAACGACATTTTTAATTGTTTAAACGCGCACTCCTCCCTATCCCCGAACACAAATTCGCGATTCGCTTTCGTCAAGTCCGTCAACGGTCGTGCTATAACCGAATAGTTGCGGATAAACTTCCGGAAGTATCCCGCCAGGCCTAAGAAACTTAGGAGGTTTTTAATATTTCGTGGCCTTTCAAAATTAATTACCGCCAGGGTTTTCTTCTCCGACGGTCGCACGCTTCCATTCTCAACAATGTGCCCTAAAAATTCGACCCGTCTCTGTAGGAAAGCGCACTTCTTCCAATTAATTACCAGACCATACTGAGCCGCTGTTTTCAATACCGATTCCAGACTTTCCAACGCACTCTCGAACCCGTCCGAAGGTATAATAAGGTCATCCATATAAGACAGCACTACCCCTTTCGCGATCAACTCTTTGAACACGGCGTTTATGAACCTTTGGAAAACTGCAGGCGCATTACACAACCCGAACGGAACTCTTAAAAATTCAAACTGCCCATCGGGAATCACGAAAGCCGTGTATTTCCGACTGTCCTTGCTAAGGGAAACGTGGAAGAAACCATTTTTTAAATCGAGAGTGCTGAAAACCCGTGCACCCTGCAGGCGATCCAGTTGGTCCTCGATTAGGGGAAGGGGGTAGCGGTCTTTAATTATCTTCGCATTCAATAATCTATAATCTACACATAGTCTTTTCGCACCG